GCCCCCCCCGGCCCCCCCCCCCCCCCCCCCCCCCCCCCCCCCCCCCCCCCCCCCCCCCCCCCCCCGCGGAAGTATGAGACAAGAGATAACAAGATTGATACGAGATAGACATGAGAATGCGCCAAGCTGCGAGATTGCGTGCTTGATATTCTCGCCAGGGGATGACTATATCAACTTCCGAATGTGAATAGGGCCAAGGAGCACGCCATGCACGTCCATCTGCCGCCTTCCGCCTTGCAGAGCAATGATGTTAATGAAACAGACGCTTCGGACGAGGCCATTGGGCTTGGCTAACGTATTTTTCTAATTAGCACGTCATCATATATATCGCGAAGGAAGATGGCGCTGAAAGTCGGGGCCTCTGAGGTATTGGTATCGCCATATGGGATGATCACCCCATGTGATGGTACAATACCCCACGACAGATAAGTGGGCGCATCACCATTTTGATATGGATGCTGGGATTAAAGTGTTCCAGCTATCTGGTAGTACTGATTAGCGACTGGAAAGACGTCGGTAAGAAGCTGATATTACACGCGCCGAACGAGCTGGACGCGCCTATATGTAGATCTCAGCGGTCAATTGAGACAGTCTCGGTCTCACTGAAGTGAAGCTCTTAGAAATCTCGTGACTACGACACATTGCGACAGGGCTCGAAGGCTAAGGACACCCGTTCAATTGAATACAACAAGACCAAGGTCAATAGGGATGGAACGGATCTGTCTACGTCCCATCCTCGACCAGGGTTGTCCAATAGGCAACATCTCAGCAAGTTTCTGTTCTCTGGATTCTAGCGATATCAAGGATTTCGAAATTCGCCTCCTGTTCAGGCTCTTGAACTGCATATATAGCCTGCTTTGACGCTTGGGGAACGAAGAGAATGATCTCTGCTCCACATTGGACTGCCCGGTATGAGTGGATGTCACAGTATACACCACCATCTAGGTAGAGAAGAGTCGCTGTTACTTTAGAGGTGCGATAGGATGAATGACGCTCCAGAACGTGGCTGATACGTGAGCGGGAACAACAAAGCCAAGCCCTTTACCCCCACGACCGGTATGTCCTCGGCCAGGCGGGGGAATCAGCACGGGGGTGGTTCTTCAATTGAAGGGAATTCGGCGAATTCAGGGGCTGCTCGCAAGAAGCTTATGGCGAGAGTCCGCTCGGTATGGGCCGCCGGGGTGTGCACGGTCGCTTTTACTGTACATACCCGTTGAGCTAGTTATTATGACGTATAATTGCGGCAATCGACATATTCCTCCTGATAGCTCAGTTGGTAGAGCGATGGACTGTAATTGAAATTCGCATTCGGATATAAATCCACAGGTCGCGTGTTCGACTCACGCTCGGGAGACTTATCTTATTCTAGTTGGATGAGTTACTTTTTACCCCATCTTTGTTTAGCGCTGGTGATGTCCTCCCGGCTAGAATAATAGATTCGCAGTAGATGCACTTGCTCTATCTTATCTACCTTTCAATTTTTCTTTTTCTTCTTCCTTTCCGTCTCAAGCTCCGCTATGCGCAATTGTACTTCGTAGGTTCGGGCGGGGCTCAAAATGGTATCCTACCTAATCGCATCGTTGCTCACATCATATCCGAAAACGTAACTCCGAGAAAAGTAAGAATGCACATTGATCTAGGCCGAGTGTGGATCATCTATCTTAACCTGTCTATTGGGCGACGTCGGGACAACGGACTTGCGTTACCATGATGGACCTGTCCTTAAAAAATAAAATAAAAAATAAAAAAGATGCGCATCCGGTCCCGTGATGAAGAGATCTCATTACCTCATGCGTTGATGCTGGACACATATAATTGCGGTATTTACGGTACTCCTCTGTATCTTCGTTCGACATTCACCTTTCTTTATAGTTATACTAGGCTTGTAGGATCTAGCCACATCATGGCTACACATATATGACTCCAGAGACCACGTTGAGTCTAGCTGTTAATTACACGCGCATACAGCTAAACATGCAGGTCGCCTACGGTCTATGGGCGTCATTGCAGTCCGGTCATGACTTTCGAGAGGTGTACAGGCAAGATTGAGAATAAGCTCATATATATTTTGCTTCATTAAGAGAAAAAAAAAACAAGGAGATCTAGGCTACCAGTCAGATTGTATATAGAGTCAAGGTCAAGCCACCAAGGTTGGAAATAAATCTGATTGACCAAGAACTTTTGCAGCCCCAATAGATCATTATATTGCGAATAGCATCAATTTCAAGTCTGGACCTCTGCCCTTATTAAACTAACTAATATAGTACGATTTGCAAGACATTCGAGTCGTTGACATTTCACTGGACATATACATCTTCCATACACATTCATTGCCTTGGGTCTCTATGAAGACGTACTTACGACATATCAACGGGGTCAAATTAGACTTGAAGGAAATGGTATACCATAGGTCAATTGCTTTGTTGTCTTGGAGGCTCACTTTACAAATAGTAAGGTAACAACGGTACGATCATATCAAAATAATGTCATTGAGGGCTTTGCTAGGTAACGTTACTCAGAGGAGTGGAAATCCTGTGAAATACGGCTCTCCTATGAACATCGTAACCCACCAATGAGACTAAGTGCGTGTGTTTCTATTACCGGTATATGCCTCAATACATATGGGGCTTATCCCATTAAAGTGTAGTTACTTGCCATCATTTGGGTTCTCATACGACCCTCAGGAAATCCCTTATTGGAGAGAGGAGTAAAATTCATTGCCAGACTTGGAATCTATATCTACGAAGGCTATCTGATGTGAAGGACCATTCACCGAGAAAAAAGTTGCAGCTCTAAGCTTCGTGGTAGCGATTTTTTTTAACAGAGAATTTCATTGAGTCGAGAATCGTTATACTTTGGTTCAAGAAGAGAATACATACAACTAGTGACTGTGTGAGAACCTAAGGACACTGAAACTCACACTCCACAACAAGAAGCTATTTACTTCTCTACTCGGGATTGGTGACCTTGAAGTAGAGGAATAGAGAGAATGCTCGACATAGCGTACAGGTAAGTAATGTATGGATTATTATATATGTCAGAAGGGCTGTACAAGGTATACAGTAAGACTCATTGTGGCACAAGGTCTAAAAGGTCAGAAGTCTGAAGGTATTCAGACTTCTCTGACTATATACAATGTAATCATCTCTTTGTTCCTCTGCCCTGAGACCCCTGACAATATAGCAGCCGGATAAATGGCCTATGCGTGGCTTATTTCCGATTATCGATGTTGCCTAATCGTTATAATCACTATCACAATGGTCCGTCTTATGTTGCACGGCTATCATAAGCTTGTACTGATAGGTTTCTGGACAAGCTCTTGCAAATATTCGGCCACTTACAGTTCCGCATGACAAAATACATTCATTCTGTATGTCTACGCCATATGCTATGCCTCCCAGATCATCATTTGTATTGTTCGCGGTATCACCACAAGCTTACCCATTGCAAAATAGGGAACAGAAAGTTGTATACTATTTGGCCTAGGTATCGGAATACCCCAAACCTCAAGTTCGGATATCAAAGCCGTTTCGACCTCCCAGAGACCTGTTGAAATGTAGCCCGACGTCTCGTTGCAGAGCATAGCTAAACTTACGTATATCAAATTGTTCCACATCAAGCCACTACTAGCCATAGTACTGTGGCCTAGTCCTTGACCTCCCTTGTCTTATGCGAGTCTCAAATCCTTCTCCAAAGGCACATAATGATGCCTAAGTCTAGATTCGCGGTATTGTTTCCGCAGCGCTGACTTTGTTCTCCCTACACACCAAGTGAACCCCAACCCCCAGAAACCACCAGAAACCGAACGACCACCGCAGCCAGCCCGGAGATTCTGCCCAAGAAACCCCTGAGATTTGCGGATGCCATTTTGCCGGCGGAAGGGCCAGGCATGCCAAAATAGACAAGAGGATACTCGCAGATTCCGCGACAAACAATGAGGGCATGAGATCATCTAGATCTTGGCGCATATCACAGCCTCCAAAGATTGTTTCTAACAGCGCATTTTGGGAAGGTTGGAGGTGGTGTGGTGGGAGAGATATTAGAGTCAAAATAGCCATGGCGAACACGACCTGAGAATCTACGGGAGGGGATATCACCATGTAAAGAGAAGGTACACAGTTGTATCAGGTGAGGCATGTAGCTGCATTAAACGGAACAATACACAGTAGCTCGCCCTGCAGATCTGGCTTACTGCATCGTAAGGGTCGGCTAAGTTCTACTGGTCAAAACTGTCTTGCACATACCGTACTCCACATGTAATATGGGTTTACCCTACCATCCAAGCAGCTGAGAATAGAGTTCTCATTTCGCTTCTTGTTCGCCTTACCTGTCCAACGTGTAGGGAGCCACTTTACAGCCTTCGTCTATGTGTAAATGAGGAAGAGAGCTATACCGAGCGGTGAGGCTGCAGGCAGAAGGCGAGAAGTATCCCAGCTTTCTAGTGGCACGACCCTACGGAGGAAAGTTATAGGGATTATATTCTTGCTTATGTTGGAACCTCACCCACGTCTGTACTATACTGTCTGATCGTATATTACAATGACGTCTCTCACTGGGGCGATTTCTGATAAAACCTTGTGCGCAGATATTCGTTGAGGACTTCAAGTTGTCAATCCTTTCCCCTTGTGTCTACATGGCGAAAATGACTTGCATTGTCTTGCATGTCTGCCTCATCATCATCTAGATGGGTATGAGGTCTGCAACACGAATGAGAGCTGAGAGAGTGGAAATTACCGGGAGGTGGATTGCAGGTGTATCGCATCATGTAGTAGCAATATTTCCGGGGCCAGAGTATCATCGTGTCTTTCTATTCATAGACATTGACCTCACCTTTGGCTGTATCAGGTAGCATCGACTAAATTGCCCTTTTCACACGTAACATGGCGGGACATAGTGATTCACAGCCGGGATCTACCACTGCCTATCACCTTCATAGTGGCGCAGGATCAATAGCCTCCGTGAGCCGGTGTCGGTAGTGTTTTCGAGGGGTATAGGAGTCTGATTGCACAACCGGGGTGGTCGATCAGCCCTTTCAGTCTGAAGGATCAACGTACAGGTGTCGAACTCGGTAACCCAGTCTTGTATACACAACGCAAATATATTGCTTTAAGCAGGTTTCTTCTAACGCAGGGGGACTGTGGATGGACGAATGTGGGAGGTCTGGGGCAGGTGATAAGATGGGGTACGCCACTAAGCCAAACAGCTAGAACATGTCAGAAACCCAGACGCCGCCTCTGCCTTGACAAGGGGATTGGCCCCGGCACATAAGACACGTGTCGAACATGCCAGCTCTAGTAGTTCTAACGGTAGATCGAATAGTAGCTTGAGCCACATCCGGGACAGAGGGATCCGATTTGGAAGGCCTTGTCCACTCCCACACATCCACTCATTCACACGAATCATGCGTTTTGGCGTCTTGATGGTTGAAACGTCTGCATTAGTCTATTGTTTGCTCCTGGTATCTCTCTTGCCTACCACTCGATAACCCACGCCGGAATCCCATTATCAAATACACCACCGCTTCTGGAAACTCGCTTTGCGACTATATGAAAGTACTGTACATGAAATCACGAACCACGACCAACTAATTTACAAATCCCCAACGCCAATGCTATCATGGACTCTTGCTCAGACTCTCCGAAGGACGCCGACTGTGTTGTGCGAAATGCCCCGTAAATGCTTGCGTAAATCAGCTTCGAGCTGGCCGAAGACTGCAAATGAAGGTGCTAGACCCCGGGCGTAGTCGCCAGTCCCAGTCTCTCTCAGACGTCTCAGCAACCGCTCAATCAACTTCAACACCACCTGTAATTCCTCGAGAATCCCTTCAGTGCTGGCTAGTGCCATTTCATCTTGCGTCGTTTTGGAGTACCTGTCCATGATCTCGAAACCAATAAGTATCACGAACATCCGCACGTGGCTGTCATGGGCAAAGCAATCGCACTCGATCATCTGAAGAATATAGTCCATCATCTCTTGGTTTTTGCCTTGCCCAGATGTTGGATCATGACGCAGGGATAATAACGTAGCAGCAGCCTGCGAAAGGCAGTCGTGTTGCATATTAGGAGTATAATTTTGGACAGGCCGCGCTCTTGGCGTTTCTGGCGGGGTGCCGAAAGCCACGGGTGAGGTGTTAGGGAACGTGCTAGTATTATAATCGTAACCCGAGGGCATACTCGACGCACTCGAAACGCTCCTTGAATGATGTCGCCTGGGGGCTTGGTGATTTAATGAATCTAAGCATGGGATGTAATTTAGAGTGTTGAAGGTGGCTACTGTGGTAATCGGATCTGAAGTGGGAGTAAGGGTTTGATAAGCCTGGGCGGCAATGGGCGCCAACGGCGCAGTGGTTGTGTCATAGGTCTGCCCCATGAAGTTGTTGGGAGTATGAGGGTCGTGGTAGCTCACGTTGGTAAATCCGTTGATAGTCGATGTATTAGCGTTCAGCATGTGCATATTCGATTCACTAAGCCAAGACATCTGCATTGCGGTCGGCTCTGAAGTCGGAGAAGGCGTCCTGGAACCACTGGGGATGAGCTCTCGGGGCGCAGACGGATTTTTCATGGCCGCCTGGTCGATGAAGCCAGCAGCACTGAGTTTGGCACGAGCTGGAAGACGTCCATAGCGATACGAAAGGCCGTATGAGCATTCAAGGCCTCGTTCATTGCACCGCGTACATCGCGGCTTTTCTTTGCTGCACCTGACCTTAGCCCCAGCACAGTGAGTACAACTGTCCTTGTACTTCTGCCGTGTTCTTGTTGCTTGTCGTCCAGTCATTGTGGGATGATTGAAGAGTGAATGGCAAATCTAGTTGCGGCTGGACTATGCAGTGACTCTGTCAAGCCAGAGCCGAGTATAAGTAGTCTATTAACGACGAGGAAGACTTAAGGAGAAGCCAAGGACCAGCATTGGAAAAGTTAAGCAAGGCACTTGTTGATGACCGCAGTGGCGCCATCCTGCATTTGTGTAAAACAGAGGATTAACGTCGGCAGATGTAGGTAGCGTAGTCGTCCTCTGTCCCAAGACCCTATTTTGAAATCCTGGCGGAAATCGTGGAGTGTAATCGATGCAGGTAATCCGTCAGGCTACCTGCCGTGTTTTCAGCCACAATCTGCAAGTGATGGGTATCTTACAAGCCCACCCCCTTCCCATAACCGCACTACGGCTGTGGGTTGCTGTTTAGTCACGGCATCGCCTGGCAGTAGTGGTGTACTGTATGTGTGGTAGGTATGTGTGGTATGTGTGGTATGTGTGTGATGGAACCGGGGTGTTTGGTCCCTGCCCGTCTCGTCGTCCGATTTAGCTCACGCCAGGGGTCAGCACGATCAACCACTCCAATAACAGCTATGCCTACTGTAGGTGTTTTCTCGAGATGGGGTGGAACACCCTCGCTAAGAAGGCTCTGGTTCAGGTTAGATTTGCTACTGAAGTAGTTAACCTACAGAGCCGGACATTCTTGGACTGACATCCCCTTGCGTTTGCTATCTTCTTAGTGTGGGCAGAAAACCCCCCTCTCGTTTAGGCTTTCAGCTCAACGGTCGAGCTGCAGATATAACCCCTAGCCTGCACACCGATTATTGACGTATTCGGCAGGTTGGCTGGCTTGGGGACGGAGGAAGACTCGATGCTAGCACTACTTGCACAGATTCGCAGGCGCCTCAAGAATGGCATGCAGGCGCAGGCTACGGTAGCTAAACTCATTCGGAGGACGCCACAGCGGATGAAAACAATAGAAATATGGCTTCGGACCTGTCAGCCGAGGCATAAGTCACCTATCTCCAGAGTACGCTAGGCTCGATTATGAGTAGTGTGGACGCGGGCCGCTATTCAGCCTCACGCCAAGCGGCCTTATATGCCTGGTCCGCCGGTGTCTCTGTGGTGGCTAGAGAGGGGGTTGAAGGGGTTGAAGGGGTTGGAACGGGTTGGAAGGAGTCAAATTGGCCTGTCTGCAGGCTTATACACCACATACAATACAGGCTCATACAGAGACTGGACTTGTCTGCAGGTTGCAGTTCAGGGCTGCCTGACAATCATGTGGCCTGTATCAAATCCTGCTGCATGTAGATGCAGGAGAGATACAACAGCGAGCAAAGAGCACTCAGTCCACTCGGAATGTGGTGACCTACAGTAGTGAAAACCCACATGGACAACATCGAACCTCGTGCTTTGTGTAGCATTGTACGGGGGGTCCAATGCTACCGTAGCAAGCTGAAGCCGATGAAGCGCGTGGCAGACGTCGTGTGTAGACCCTAGGATGAGCCAGCATGCAGCCTATCAGATACGCAGCGCGCATAAATAAGATCGGAGGAACTTCTCGCCAAGAGCCGCCCACTCTTACTCTCTTTGCCTACTCACGCAAGTGTCGAGATACATTCTTGTACAGTACGATACTGTATGGCACCTATTACCGAGTGAGTACATACAGTAGGTAGAACAGACTTGTGTATCCGAGCAGGGGCATGTCTTACATGTAGGGTCTTGGTGCCGGTGTAGTTTACCTACTCGAGTTACTTCGCTGTGGAATCTAGCCTACAGTACCTACAGTAGATCGTGAACGACAATGCCTTGTCCCGCAAACCGCACATGGATGGAGCAGATGTCCCGATGCCACACATGGCAAGATGCGGGTCACGGCTATCTGCGCCGTGCCTAACTCTAACTCGAGCTGAATACCTGCCTCCGACTTCGTACAACAGCCCATACGTAGATACGTAAGTAGGCACTGGTGTTGCTTATTTACTTATATTTCAACAACTACTTGCTGCGTTTTCTGAATATAGTCCATGTAGGACAGATTCTGCATATGCTGTGGCCCGTAAAGTGTACCATACAAGACCTACGTGATGAGATCACTCACTCTCCGTCTCCTCCCATGCATACTACATTGCGTGACATGTAATGACCTATCTCAACGGAGACATTTTTGGTCCCAAAACGGAAATTTTACTCGAGGAAGTGCAGATGGGTATTTCACGGAAGATTTGGAATCCATCCCCAGATGCCAGATGCCAGGCGGAGGAGAATGGGAAATCTGCCTACACTAGGCCAGCGTTTGTCGCGATATCTTATTATTTAGCGTCATTGTGCGTTATTACTTAGGCCCAGAAAGAATAAGAGTGTTTTGCCACGAGCCAGGAAACCCCAACCAAGTAGACGCCGGCCGATCAAATACTAGGAGTAGTCTAGGCCAGGCCAGGACACACCAGGGCACACCAGGCGAGACCGGGGTTCGAGTAAACGGGTGGCACCGCCTTGGCCCCGTAACGGAAACTTTTCCGTCATGTCTACGCACACTCTTCAAACCCTAGTCAGTACATGGATGTAGTGTAGAATATCTCCCCGCATTCCGCCCGTGGAGTAGCTTGTTTGAGATCATTCCCAAGTTCTGTCCTGATTACGAAGACAGCACGGAGAGGAAGGGAAGAATGGGAATGGAAAGCAAGGTTCGAGGCGACAACGCCAAGGATAACGATAAATGTTGTGATGTTCCTCCATACGCGCGATTTAGACAATTGGTCTCGTTGATGGACTAAGCATACTAAGAGTGGACTTGCTGCAGAATTAAGCAGACCACCTGAGCCAACCACCATCCCATGTTTCTCGTTTCCGTTCGCCCTGTCAGACTCTCTATTCTGTTTAGAGGAAACAAAGGGTTTAAGGACTGCTCGCTCTTACATCCTACATGTACTTACTTACTTCAGACTCCGGCAAATGTCAGGGGTATTGGAGATGTGCCGGTTCCGACCGTTACGGCCCGTCATGGCTTTCAGGCTCGGTGATCTGATTAGGCGAGGATCGTCTCATGTATGCAACGGCCCATCCGCCACGTTTGTACCCACAGCTTGACTAAACTCTATATCTTTGATGAAAGAGCGCTAACCTTAGGACAAAACATTGCCGCAGCCACACCTGAACGCCTCGAGCGAATCCTCCAAAGCGTTAATGGTAAGGATTCGGCCCACATGTAGATGATGACAGCCTAGGCTTGCGTAGTCATACGTGTGGCGCTCTAGTCAAGAGGCTACGGCAGCAACAATCAAGATGCTTACGTGTAGAAAACTTCCTCCGGTGGGGAGACCCTAGACAAGTTGCAGTTAGATTAGAACGACCATGTCGAAAAACGTTTGTGTACATATAGACAACTCCCTTGGACATTTTGTCTTTACGTAAAACAAATGGCATAATATCCACAGAGAGCTCGAGGTTTGTTCATCATTGAACACTTCAATTGAATGTAACATCGGATTGTCAATCCTCCGGATCGAATTTTTTTTTAACAAAGACCGGATTTGCCTCAACAGAGTGGTAGCCCCTTACTGTATCATGTACAAACTGGCAGTCCGCAGCGACGATAAAAAATCAACTCAATATATAGCCACCACCTCTCAGCAACTTACCTTGAGTCAGGTCACAGCAATAGGAGACCAGCCATATGGAGGATGTTAATATTTTCTGAAAATGAGTAACTAAGACAATCGGAATCATTGATATTACCAATATATCACATCTCATCAAGTCGCTAGTCGCCTATCCTCTAGTTACTCTTGCTGATACCATATGGCCTCATTAATAACGGTGGCTAACTAGGCGGGCCACGTAGATGTTTAGTTGCTTGCATGATGTAGGACTAACTATACAGAAAGGCACAATTGTGGGTATTACCCTACAATTCTAGCACGTTATGTAGGGAGTTTCTCCCTCGTTCCACGCTGAGTATGATCCTGGTACACGTGCTTGTACCAGCCGCCGAAGTTTATAAGGCCAGTTTTAGTCAAATGTTAGAGAACCATGTTGACATAGGTAGGTTACGAACTAAGTCAGTGGCTGGTGATAACAGCACTGGTTTACTCTTAGAGAAGTGTGTGCTATCTTAGCCACAAGTTCCTAATTCGTCACAACCACGACCCACGAACGAGCCTTTGCCCGAAGGAAGTCTTGACGATTTGCCAAGTGCTTTCCAAGGACTAGCCACGTGCTTATATTACTTCCTATCACTGGCGATTGAGCCTTATTCTCCATAATTTATCATGTATAGCCCGCCGTGGGTTGCACGTGGCAGTTGAGACTTGGTATTTATGGAGTCCACATCAAAGAACGTTAGTTGTTCGTCTGATCTGAGCAACTGTCATCGATTGTTCTTGTCTCTTACTAGGCCCCGTTCATATTCTTTTATACCTTCCGGATACGTCACATTGCTAGGCGGTTATCAAAATATAGAGTAATTCGGAGGAAATCGCGATTCACGCTACTGCGAACATGGTCTTTATAGATATCTTAGGCACTGATCAGAGAATGACACAATGTTGATAATACTTCCTATCCTCCTCTGGGTGACATAGCAGGGGAAATAGCAAGACACTAAAGGGCGACTTAGAGATTAACTTAGGGAATTTTCGGCCATCGTGATAAGTTCCATATGTCCTGGTTCTGTTTACTAGGCTTTCAATGTTCGCTCGCTAGACTTCAGAGTAATGGGCAAGAGGGAGTATGGTAATTAAGGATGTCGCCAACTCATAGCGTAGGCATTTCTGTAATACCTCGTCGCTTATTTTATGTATAACTTTTAGTGGGAAGATTAATCATGAATGGTAACTTTTTTAATGTCCTTAAAGCACTAGGCTTCTAAAATAAGGATGTATTTGTCCTAGGAGAAGAGTATCTATCACACGAAAGAAAAAGTGTAGCTCTGTTTATAAGGGTCCTAGTACAATTCTGCAAAGTTGGGCGCTGACAGCTTCTAATCACTATGTCATAGAAACGTATGACCTAATTTCCGATATATGGTAATAGCTGCTAACACTCTCGTGTATGTAACATAATTTGGTAAATTCTAGCAGGGCTAGAGCACCCACCTCTGTGTTATAATAATGAATCGATAAGAAGAATGTCGATATGTAGTGATAAGACACAATTTTTGATACCACTGAAATGAGAGGTATGTGAGCGTTGCATTGAACTGAGCTACTGGTTGTGAGTGAGCTGGAAAGTCCTCATACAAATGAACGGGTCTTTCCTGCCTTTCGTGTCCCCTTGATCCGTACGCTACGTGAAGTGATTTCTTACCCACATATACTTTCAACAGATCTACGATACTCAAACACTTTTCAACATGGCCATTGTCGTGAGCCCGGTCCGTTAAGAAAAGGTGATTGTAACATCAGAATGAAATAGACCACTTCCATTCGACTTCAGTATCAGCTAAAAATTCACCGTTGACATGCATTTCAGAAGAGTATTTCCTATGTCATATGACCAAGGCAATTGCCATCAGGCCTTTTGAGTCAGTCTCACGAGGTCTAATTAAGAAGAGCAAATGGAAGTTAGTTGATCGGATTTTGTTATATTTTCTTCCGGGACGAAATAACAAGTATCCATGTATAGTCAACCTTTAGAAGGAAACGCCATTTGCTATGCATGATTGGTTGCTTCTTGGGTGGGGAGCCGGATGGAAGACGAGATTTACCGATTTTTCGGCCTTGAGGACCTCTGTATCATATCCTCACGTTGGTATGGAGCACTAGCTAAAGCTCGTCTTGCGCGCAGTGTTACACTGTTGCTCTAAGTAGAGAATGCGTGTGTGTCTGATAGAAAACTCGTTCTCTAAATACAGCTACATGGGACTGGGAAGACATGGCCATGATAATGGTAGACTTCGCATCAGTTTTTAAACGTACGGTGTACATAATCGACATTTCCAGGTTGGGTGTTGAGATGGCAGAGCACATTTTAGAGTGGCAAGAATTGGTGGGACATTCATTTCAAAGTCAGTGATAGAGCGGAAGCTTGGCCAACAGATTTAAAGAGGTTCGCCTTTTTAGGGCTGGGCTTTTCGTACTATCTACCTACTTCGATGTGAAACTCACGTGAAGTTAGCGCTTTGAATTGCCCAGTAGGCTTGTGTGATAGTTGAGTGTCATTGAGGACACGACCGCAAGGGTGAAGGAAGGGGGAAGACTGTGAATTAGTATTGTTGGTATATGGAATTGATATTTTCATGCTCGGCTACTACTAGAAGTCCTTAGTACATACCGAGCATAAGGTTGGTAATCGATGATAGATACATTATCTGACGAGTGCATGCTCCCAAAATACGTTCAACTTTTGGTTTATAGTCTATATAAAACACTATTCTAAAAACCCACAATACCATCGAAGGACCCTAAGATTAGACAAATAAAGCTGTCCTTTCATTATTTTATTGGATTTATCCACATAGCTCGAGTGGCCATATCGATGATGATAAGTACGCAAACTGGCAAGGGCTTAAGCGTAACAAGAAACAGCCGATTATCTCGCAATCAGGGAACCCATATTAGCCACTATGAGGCGACTGTGTTTGATCCCTAGAGACGTATTACTCTATGCAGGTTGAGCTGTTGTCGTCTGGTTATGGGGCGCGTTTTGTTTCGAGACATCCGCAAGCTCTACGTTATTATTCGACGTGGATGGGCTGCGTATACAAGCAGTGCAGAAGATGATAAGAGCCGCGACGCATAAGACCCATATCAAGGCACCAATTCCCGCACAGGCCGCTGTTGTTTGACCAAAAGTCTTCCAGTGCCCGCGGATCGGTTCGTAAGAACGATAATTATCAAAGGACAGTGTATAAGCGGCCCAGGAAGCAGCCCACGTCCAGCCTGCTATCCAGAACAGAAGAGACAAAAGCTGACCAACCAAGACACCAATGCGGTAGTAGAATTGGGGCGCATACTGTGCTACAGCGAGCACAGCGCCGTAAACCAGCCAAGTCCAGATTGACTAGGAGAGTAATTAGATTCAACCACATCTAGTCGGGAGAAATCTGATACATACAGCGAAAATAAGGAAGCCCGGGACGCCTGATTCGTAGTAATAGTTGCCCGAGAGAGCTCTAGCATGGGCAGCCAAGCCTAGTATAATGACAGACAGCAGTATGATTGTTATTACAATGTAGTTGAATAATTTTGGCAGGGTAGGAACTCCGCGGGCGATAAGGCCTCTTGACGACATATTGAAAAATGAGGAGTTAAGCAGACGTTGAGCTATGTAGGTGGTCAGAGTTCTTAACCGGGGGCAAGGGGATGAAGCCAGTACATGAATGAATACTTGTCTGACAAGTCACAATCTTCGGGTCTCTCAGAGTTACCGAAGATATGAAAACGGTATCAGCTAGCGGATTCACACGCTGGCCAAGGACATTGTTTCAAACTCAAGGGCGGCATTGACCCAGGAGCGATGTGGCTGGATGCGGCGGCTTGTCTCAGTACGAACTTTATAGTTACAGTTATGATTTCGCTGGCTCGGGAATAGTCGCTTTAGATTCGGATTTCGGCTGAGTTCAAGGACTGGTGAACCTTTTTTCCTTGGCTGGGGATACACGACAGCGTTACCGCCGTGATCGTGGCGCATTAATATCAAGCCATCGGCCCTTCTAGAGCGCAGTAGCGCTTGTGGTGTATAAATCCCACGTATACATGTATTATCCGGATACGGTCACACAGTTCAAGACACTCGAAATGTGGGCAAGCCGTTGAAGTGACCAAGTCCGCAGCGAGAGTCCAGGCTTAGTAGCACCTCCAGGTTCTATCAACGAGTACAGGGTTCGTTGGGGAACCGGACAAGACCATGCCCTCACAAACTCAACACCAAGAGTGCTGTTTATGTGTATATCTCAAGGAGAAATGAAATATGGTGGTTTACATATGCAATGCAGCAAGGTGTTCAGGATCGCATGCCGTCTTCATGTTATCTAAGGTTGTAAGTTGCCGGATGCGGCATTGCATTGGGGCCCGGAGGCCCGGCCGGCTTTAGCGCCGAGCTTTGGGGTGTTGGTTATGGGGACTCCTAGATGAATACCGGTACCTAGAGCAGAACATAGATGTCGGTGCGATGTTTCGCGAGCCTTTAGATTTATTTGCTACATATAAGTATTCACTCTTGACGGCCCCTTGGTAAATGTCTGGAACTTGAGGTGGAACGTGTGCATATGACAATACCTAAGTACATGTAGTTATCGCTTATCTGCACGTGAAACCTGTTTGCTATGGTCCATACCCAAGAAAACTTAAGAAAACTTGGGAAATTTTGGAAGTAGCCTAGGGACCGTATTAGGGCTCCTTCTTTCTTGATCTGGCGGGTTGTCTATCGCACCTACTTTCTTGCATATATGAACATGTATCGCCATGTATTTGCTCGCATTCTTGTCTACTGGGAAGCCTCGGCCTCAGTGCCCTAGTCTATCCAACAGGTAGGTTACATAGGCAAGGAGGTGCCTAGGTACATACTTAGACACTCTCGTCGACTCCCGCTGTGATATCAAGGCTTTCTTATTCATCTATTGTCATCACACTCAATGGTAGCTCGGAAGTCTCAGATTCACATATAGAATAATCTGATCTCGATTACCGAGCTCCTGCGCTACAGAACACGCAACCCTGCTCCGTGACAATGGATGGCGATGACAGCGATACCAGTTCACAGCCAGATCAATATGCTAGGGACAATGGTCTATCAATCGATTCCCAGATCGACCCGTTCTCGTTTATCTTCCGGATTCACGATTCAGTCCCTCAGCTCACTCCAGACGCGGGTCCTAGTGGTCTGACAATTGACACTTCTCTTCCTCTCCTCCATCTTCCGACCCTGGACTTGCAAGACCAGCTCGGGGCCCCTGAAGAGTGCCCTAGCCAGATAGCTAAAGCCCTCCATCATGATGGGTCTGATTTCAATGATCTCTTTTATAGACCGCTAGCACATTATGAAGCACGTGAGCGTCTCCTGGGCTTAAAGCTTGACCAACCAGCTCTGTTTAGCGACCCAGATCACGACTGTCGCAAGCTTGCTAGGGCTATACGGGAGCAACGGCGGGCAGCCCTTAGCCCTGAGATGTTTCCATTGGAAAGGCTAAACATGAACAATGATGAGGGCCTACATTTCCCTGCCTCTGCGCTTCATTTTAGGCGGAAACTCGAGCGTATTGTCCTTCGCGAAAAGCTTGATGTGCCCAAGGAGGCAATACATCACCTCGCCTATGCCCTGCAAGATGACTGGTCTAGCAATGAGAGATGCAAGCTATTCCACGAGGAGAGGTCGCACCGAATAGTATGTTCGACTTCTAGCTGGATGTTAAATTCCTTTGACTTATATGGTTTATGCTTTAGTTTGTGCGTGACTTAGTGGTCACTCCTCCACTTAGCCCATTTAGCGGGTCTGAAGAGCACTTCATCCCAGAACCCCATGTCTGTGAAGTTCCAATTGCGTCCGACTTAGTTTCTATGCTTGGCGACGATGTTGAGGCTGCAGAATCCGTCATCTTGCAGAAGGAGTTCAGCAAAGATGTGCCCCAAGTACTCAATGTGAACGCCCCAGTACTCCCTTCGTTGCTTGCTCCGCCCGCGACTGGAGACGCAAGGCCTAAAATTCGCTCGTTTAGAATGGAAACCCCTTTATCCCCTGTTACATCACTGCCTCAGTCATTTGATGAACAGCATGACAATATTCCAAACCTGCTGAGGAGTATGGTACCCGATCATATAATATCCCCCTCAAACTCCTTCAACATGAATGCTCCCCAGTTTGACAACTCGGATTACGCTTTTGATCACGACCTTGAGATAGCCATGTTGGAAAGCGCGGCAGCAGTAAGGCAGAATCTTGAGCAACAGCAAATCAGCATTGCAGATGCCATAGCTCGAGTTGAAGTACCGAATATGGACTTTTCATTTCCAGAACCCGGATGGCAGAGCCTAACTACGGATTCTCGGAGTCATCTCCTGTGGCTGTGTGAGTTCTATAGTATCGCAGTACCTCCTTGTCCGAGAGAACCTCGAGTAGACTCCAAACTTCGCTGGATCCCGTTTTTGGGAAAAATTAATTACCGCGAATTAACGAAGGAAGAGTTCGACTGCGGGAACAGCTGGTCCCTATTTCTCGGATCTCTAGATTCTAAGGAGATACTAACTAGCGAGAACTACGTATGGAAGCGACCGGGGTTGACTATCCTACATGAGTCAGAGATTGACGATTTTGAGGTCGCATTATCACTTCCTGATGCGAAGCTCAGTTTGGCAAGTCTTGCTAGGAAAAGGCGGCTCGAGAATAGTCAACTTGAAACGAATATGCGTCTTTCGCCAAGTTCAAATGAGTCTATTGACCTTATAGTACCCTTTCAACATAAGAGGCCATCACAACACGCTCCGATAGAAAACCTGGTCGGAAATACTAAGATTCTGCCTAGTACGGAATCAAACCTAAACGTGGCAACTCTGCTTTCCAATTATATCAACATACGCTCAGCTAAACGTCATAAATCCAACAAGAGCGAATTCTTTGTACCTAGTTCAGGGACCCAAGCCGCGCTGGAACTGGTCCCAGTTTCTGAGTCATTCCAAACTGAAGAAAATAACTCTAGCCTTCCAAAAACACCAGGATTGTCAAAGAAGTTGCTAACTCCATGCCCAGGGATGATGATTCCAAACAGGCCCACAAAGCTTATCAAGGGGTTGACTCTCAGCCGAAAGCTGTTCTCTATGCTTGAACGGCTCTATCCCGCTGCTGAGATTATCGAACGTGATTTCAGTCGCTGGGACACAGCCGCCCGAAGCCTCTACCCTGCACCAAGATCCTCCGTTGCCCTTCCCCTTACGGCTGAAGCCGACATTATAATCTCCCCTGCTACGGGAATAATAGTAACAACACTGTTGAAAGCCATACAAAAGCCGGTAAATGCTAACGCGGGACGGTCGCCATTACGTGAACGAATTGCGCACACGGCGTTACGTTACGAGAAATTGATCGTGCTTGTGTCTGAAGGTAACACCATAGACGAGGCCGTGCGTGATTTCACAGTCTCAGAGACTGAAATATATGCCGAGTTTATTGCGTTCCTCACAAGTCTTGGTTCTCATGTTGAAGTATTCTACGTCGGAGGCGGAGAAGCCACGTTGGCAAAATGGCTCATATCTTTTGTCGTTCAGCATACACCAGAAGCCTCTAGCATCCAGGAATATCTTATTCACGATGAGACAAGGTGGGAAGTCTTTCTTCGACTGGCTGGTTTTAATGCATACGCAGCGCAAGCTATTCTTTTCCGTCTCAAGGCAAGGCGCGGTGGCTCGAGGGAATCAAACGTATATGCCAAGTGTGGCTTATCTACATTTATGTTGATGACGGATTCGGAGCGAATGCAGAATTTCCGGGAATTAATGGGAGGCGAGAGTGTGTTGAGCAGAGTTAATCACATGTTGAGGATGCCATGGAAGTAACCAACTTATCTCTGTCGGATTTTCGGCTTTTGACCGTTCAAAAGATGTACTACAAAAGGGCCGATCCCTTATCTTCCCATCATTGGCTAGATTCAGACTGTTTACTGCAACAGCAGCTATTACTAAGTCCTGAATGCTGATGGGGCTGCGCTGGCTACGAGATATATACATCTATTTCATTGCTATGAAGTTGGGTATCATGGCTCACTCGTGAAACCTTACTTATGCTCAGCGCCTTGGGCTATAGTTGGAGCATCTCCAACACTCCAAAGTTTCAAGCTGCTTTCTTTAATTCGTCTGTGCATCCAAGGCATCTGGCTCGCCGTACTATGAGGTTCAAAGTCGCTTCTGCTAACATCGCTGCCTCTCTCGGAATTGTTACTGTGGCTCTGGTCACTGTTACTGGGTGAATCGTCCGGTAATTCGTCGTCTCCATCAGGAAACTCCCATGAACCAGCACACGTCGCAACGACCGTGCCGCTAGGATGGAGGCATGCGTTACTAATGGTAGATCGATGGGCAACCCATTCCCACGCGGGCGCGTGAGGTCCCTCCAGGCTTCCAACACCCTCCCAAACTTTCACTATACCATTCGACGTACCGGACCACACCTCGAAGCCGCTGTTCTCGTTCACGCTAGGGAACACGTCGCAAGCTACCCGCTGGTTCCCTACTGCGTCACGTTCCGTCAAGTAGCCGAGAAGCTTCCCAGTGACGCGTACATCGTATATTAGAGCACCGCGGGACTTACGCTCGCAGATGATAAGGTACCTCCCACAAGGGCTCCAGATAGTTTGAGTAATGCCATCCCCCCCTATTCCCCTCGGTTCTTGGCTCCACTCATTATTCATAGCAGTTTCGCGCAGTGCGGCCGCAATACCCCACGTCGCGACACACGTGCCGGCCTGGGTGAAGTCGTACAATCCAACCCACCTGGTCCATGTACCTGCCGCGACGAGACCCGCGTCCATCGGTTGCCCGCCCAGCGCCGAAATGTCACCTCGCATACCGACACCACCTCCTTTTGATAGATGCCGCTCTGAAGGAATTGTGCGGATCCGTGTCAGTGGTTCCTCACCTGTGCGCTGTATGTCGAAGCGCGCTAGAAGGCTACGGCTACCCGCTATGAAATGCGTGCCGGGTGACGGCCATATGAGGGACGTTGCAGTGAGGAATGTTTCGCTGCGAGCTTTTGTGAAAGGGTAGGAAGATATAGGAGAGTGTGTACTTGCTGGCGAAGACGGAGAGGATAAAGAGGGGGTAAGGCAGAATAACTGAATAGGATGATCCCGAGCTGAAACTAGGAGCTGCTGTGTCCAAGGCTGGGCGAGGGAGAAATATGGCGCCCCTGACAACACAATGCTTGTTTCGGGAAGCTGGACAGCTGCTTGTGGCTCTAGAGTGAGTTCGCTGCTTGCCGTAAGGAGATGCTCGGGCACGATATACCCTGATACCAGGTTGGTAGAAGAGGAAGCCAAGAGCGTCGTGCCATCAGCGGTCCATTGTACCTTTTCAAAGTAGCTAACAGTGCCGTCCTGTGATCTGGCGGTCTCGGTATCGCCATCTGTGGCTTTTGATGAAGTACTATAACCGGTGGTGATATCTCCTGTTGATGCTACAAGCTTGACCCTGTCTTGTGACGGCCCATCCTGCGTTTCCATTGCAAAAGGATACCGGCCGGCTGGTTCATTTGCGCATATCCTTGCTGAAAGCTACATTCACGTCGCATTCCACAAGGTTAAGAATGTTAGTCTAGTGGTTACCTAATGTTGAATTCACCAGGAGAACTTGCCCAGGACTTGGTTGTTACCTGAGTTTGATGTTGAGTAGGAGTACCTACAAGGTACGCTATACTACATCGTAAGTAGAGCAAGTATCTTATCGATTAGGAGAAGCTGGGCCATACAGGACGTCATTGTGAATTGGCTCGCCTAGCGCTACTAAGACGGTACCTCCACGCCCCACCCTAGTGCCAGTGTAGGTAAGTACCTCGGTTAGTATGTAAGTACCTATCTAGGTACCTACCTGGTACAGACTGGTAGTACCACCTGTACTGTACCTGCATCAGTAGGTAATGTAGGTACCTAACTGAACGCCTTGTAACGAAAGGCATGTGTTCTGCTGGTCAAGAAGCTTCATCAAATCCTGGGCGGGAGCTCATGACCAACGACGTTTCTCCCAGTCACTTTTCGTTAAACATCTTGTCACATCCTCCAGCTACACATTGTAGGTAGGCATGCCATGATAACCCATCTACATAGTACGGGTCCTGTGCGCAAATCTCGATCACAGGCTTCACTAGCTTCAACTTGTCATGCTTGGTTCCAGCCGAGCCCAGCCAGACGCCTGATTACTTCAAGTGACTAGGTAGGTAGGAACTATTACTGTCGATCACCCGCTTCCCTCTGCGTCCGACCGACCGCCTCTCTAGACTCATCCATATTCAATAAGCCGCCGAGATTGAAACGCAAACGACCATCTCTTCGCTTGAGCTTTGTGCTTTGTGCTTCGCCTCATACGTTCGCCAGTGCCAATACTGGCATAGTTATCCTCACCGAACACGACATCACCATCGTCGTAAATATACCCCGATGGAAGACCGTTGTCAGCTGCTCCGCGAGGGTGGCTTCACGAACTTCTTCATTTCCATGTAGGTGACATTTACAAGTGCTTCCAGACACGACGCGTTAGAGCGGCCAATGATACTGACTACCTATGCGTCTAGTCTCATCCTCCTCGGTATCCTTCTCTCCTACAGCACCCAGCACTACCGTATCATTTCACGCGGCTCCTCTGAAGGCATATCTCCCTACTTTGTCTTGCTTGGTGTGACTTCTGCCAATGCCCAGTTTGGCAACATACTGTCTCTTCCCGAATCGCGGGCCGATGTTGCGTGTTGCAAGGAGGTCAGCCCCTTCGAGTGCACGGCCGGTTTGTTAGGTATCGCCCAGATAGGAACCCAGTGGGTTTGCTTCGCTACCATGTCAGTACCTACATTGTTTCGCTCCCATATCGGTAGCGGCTGCTATTGCTGGTTTCGCTAATATGTTAAGATAATAGTCTCGTGTTATTCCTAGTATTCTTCCGACGCGATGACGCCGACATTACCATCGAAGAACTTGAGCGTGATCCTGACCAGCCTTCCTGGAGAACAGCTCTCACGGTGGGTGGGGTCTGCCTGATCCATGGTCTTCTCGTGGTCATCGTCTCTGCCGCCCTTGCCTTTGGAGCACCCACTTACTTAGGTACATGGGCCAATGTCCTGGGAATCATGGCAGCGGCGCTTGCCGGCATCCAATACATACCCCAGATTTGGACCACATATAAGTTGAAACATGCAGGTAGCCTGAGTATCTTGATGATGACGATTCAAACACCCGGCGGGCTTCTCTTTGCAGCTAGCCTTGCTGCACGTCTGGGCTGGGCTGGCTGGAGTTCCTGGGGGGTCTATGTTCTAACTGCGATCATGCAAGGTATTGTGTTGACGATGGCCATTAGATATGAATGGCCGTCCTATAGAAACAGCAGAAGTCACTCGCCTTCATCACCACCGTTGTCACGGCCTGCTTATAACCGGCGTACAACACCAAGAGTCCTGCCATCGCCAGGCCCGTATTCAGCCCATCTACACGCATATGGAGAAACACAGGAAGAAATTGAACGAGCGCTTGATCGCGAGAGCGTACAAGGCGTCGGTGAAAACCAGCCGTTACTTGCACCGGGTGGCATCGGTAGCTCGGGTACACGATAGCCACGGACCAACTTTTCCCATGCATGCTTTTATTGATAAGAGTAATCTAATTAGCTTTCCTTAATGGAAGAAAGTGCCTGGTTATCCACCCTATCTAGAGCTTGATTATTTGTGTATATACAGCTCGCTAGATGACTTGAGGTTTAGCCTGCGACCTGATTACATCCTTAACAATTACCACAGAAGACGATCAGACCTCATTATTTGTCTAATTTTCAATAGTTGACCCGTCAGTCTATTTTGGCAACTGTCGAGTCAATGCGTTCGTCAGCTTTTTCGTTATCGTGAATTCTAACCAACGATTTCTTCTCTTTTTCTAACATTTGCTTTATTGCCATTTGCGCCCTTAGAAGCAGTAACACTCTATTGTCGATCATTGAATTACTTCTTCACCCCGCAGTAATGGTTTGCATATCATTCATCTGATGCAGATATCTGATCAGTTCTCAAGTGTTGAATGGAACCCTTCATCAGGAATGGAAAGGAATGTGACTGCAGGGCGGTGACCACAATACTATGCACCTGAGGATCTACGAAGTAACGTAATGGCTCACGTTCGCCCCTGTTCTTGATTGCGATCCCTAAGGGCGTACATCCCGTTCGTCTCATAGCTACATTCACCCACAGATGTCGTTGCACTCTGACATATTCATCGGATCGGCAATTCGTCTTTGAGCGTTGCATTCCAACACACTCTTGTATATAGCATGAAAAATCCTCCCCCCCCCTCCTTTACATCGCCGCTATGCAAGACGGACTTGTCCTCATGCAAACCACGAGTTGGTAACCCTGTGAACTGTAACTCCACGCACATATTTCCCCAATCGGATCGAATCTGGGACGGATCTGAATTGCATGCTCCAGGACGTGCCGCTCACCTGCCACAGTTTCAGATTTTGGAGTTCCTGTGTACATCCGTCGATCCAACATGGCGAATATTATCCGCAGCCATGAAAAGACATTAGCCAACAAAAGAAAACGACGAGTGGCGTGGGGGCTCAATATTTTCATCACTTCTTGCCTGGGTAGCTTGATCAAGCCGGGTGCTTTGACACGATGTAGTCATTCCGAGCTCCTGATCGTCGACGGAAAAGGACGACTACAACACCATCAGTGTTGTTCAACCGCCATACTACTTGTGAAGTGCCCGCAGCCTCTATCTCCCCATATAAGCTACCATTGAGCCACTACAAGCGTTTCCTGGGTCTCCTTTGCTAAAAATGTGTTGCAGTTCCTAATTCTTATTTCTTTTACTACGTCTTGAGCTACACTAAAAGAAACTTTCGCTGTGTCGCGTCTCGCATTTGCACATATGCTACCTTTGTCAGCTACACCTGGAAGCGACACCAAGAAATGCTTCTTCCCGGCTTAAGACTACAAGAGAGAGAATTCTCTCATGCGCCTTGCCCAGCAGGTAATGGCACGACGATTGGAGACCAGCAACAGTTCGTCGTGTTCTGCAATACTCGCCTCCGAGGAGACGAGCTTTTCCGCCAAAATGTTGATTCACTTACTACCTGCACCAATATATGGTACGTGACGAGATGCCAAACGACTAGTCCCCAGTCCCCAGTCGCCAAACAAAATATTTTAACCATGGCACCATCACAGTTCATCTTTCCAAAATCCGCGTTGTGAAGGCGCGCAATTCAGCGATAAGAGCGACTGCGTGCTTATTGGGAATCTGAAGCCAGGACGCTCGCGACCCAGTCGCTTTTTCGACGGTGCGGTGGCGGTTTTCCCACAGCCGCCCCCAACAAGCTCGTGCTCGCAACAGGGAACTGGCAACACCTTTCTCAGCCAAAACTCCCGATTTACCCTCCAGTGTGGCAAGATTGCGAATGGCAATGACCTCGAGCAGCAATTCCAGATGACGCTCGAGTCATGCATCGGTGCATGTAGCGCTAATTCAGCTTGTGCTGGCGTTAGCTTTGACCCTCAGCAGTCGGCGGGTTTCAAGAATTGTTATCTGAAGACAGCAATAGATGATGCGAACGTCTTTTTGAAGACGGGGGTCGATTCGGCCTTTCTCGCGAACAATGTAAACCAGGCGGCAGATCCGGATCCAAGTACAGATGTAATAAGCACAACGCTTACCGCTGCGATTTCCGAGTCTACGACTTATGTGACTGTGGTTCCAGAACCTGGTACGGTGTCCATACCGGTTACCGTAGTTCCTACTTCAAGCATGGCCGCTCTTGGAGTTGCTACGTCTAATGTCCCGACCAACGCCGCCTCTGCTGGAGCCGACGACGGCCTGGGCAGCATGAACGACAATGAACGCCCAAAATTCGGTGGTCCCAGGCCGAGCGCTTCATCCAACGCCTGGATTGCTGCCCCGGTCATTGGCGGCATCGCCGCACTAACGCTCGTTTGTAAGCCACCCCTAGAGTCATTTTGTTCCTATTCTCGACACGCGTGGAGGCCATAATTGTCTTGTAGAGGCACAAGCATATCTCAGGAGTACACATAACTCGCGAAATCTGCTCCTATTTTACCTAAGATAGCAATTACTAACTCCAGCGAACTTTAGTGGCTATCATTGTCCTGTGGCAACGACGCCGGCGGCGAGAGGTTTCCTCTTTCCCCGAGAGGAAGGCAAGCTCCATGTCCAGAGTTACCAGAGGGCTAGGAGACGCTGCTAATTACATGTCTCGTGGCCGAATGCTCGGCGTTGATAAAACGCGACTGAGGGACTCGGAGTCGGACGACGATTCCCGCTACGGCAATAACCGCGGCGGGTTTAAAGTCGTGAGCGGTAGCGGGCGTCGTCTAGGTCTTGACGGACAACCGATAGCGCTTGGCACGGGGCCGGGGTTGGGAGGTATGATTGTCACGACTGGCGGAGGGAAGGTCGTGGATAGGTCCGACATAAGTAGCGGCAGTTCGGCTGGGCTACGGGATAGCCAGAACGGACTACGCCAGAACAAGCCTTGGTTTGATTCGCGACCTGGGATACCAGCAGAATTCTCGGGCCCCAGCGATCGATAGCCTGGGGTGAGGCGCTCTGTCAAGGACAGGACCTCTCTTTGTTTATTTGAGTGCGCGTGACGAAAGATAGATGCGATGCTAGAAGGGGACTTATATACCAGATGAGGGGCGCTTAGAGCAAATCTCCTTATCTTCGCTTCTTTTCACTCATTCATGTTGCTGAATTATTGTCGCGCTTTATTTCCACATTCTCGATTGTTAGTTAACCCTTGTATAGTAGATATTGTATTCCCAGATAATTATAATATCATTCACCTAGGAACACCATGGTACTCAAGCCATACTATATGAAATTTCCAACTATGATGTACCGAGATTGGACATCAACTTCAAGCTGTTTTCTAGAATGCTCATTCGTGTGTATAGGTAATTTCAACCTAGAAATCGCTTCCACGTCGATAGAGGTAGGCGGAGGAAGGAAAAAGTATAAGGGCGTGCCCAGCGATTATTGAGATATTGTATGGTCTCTCAACCAGGACTCTCAAGCACGAGATCTCAGGAGATGGTGTGCATGTACTTAAGTACCTAGGTACACGTATCTTATGTAGGTAGGTACGCTGTGAGACAGTGGCCAATGTGGTTGGATCGGGTCTGATCAGGGCTCCGATTGGCCAGAATCGTCTTAACAAGCCAGAAGCAGGGGCAGACAGGGGCTCTTACAGGCCTACATGTTGCATGTACATGGGCACTAACAGGGGGCCTGTGGGCTGGCGACGAGTCAGTGCCGATGTGTCATCGCTCCATGACTACTAGGTACTATATAGCCGAAGGCGAGTGATAAGAGCATCAGGACTCTTCTCGTCGAGACCTATCATTGTGGCCGGTTTTGCTCTCATTCCGTGAAGTTAACTCGACAGGTTTTTCCTTTGTCCAACGTGCCGCGAAGCCCCTCGGTTAAGATGGCTATCTTCAGCGCAGTTCCGCCACCTCCGGCGCTTGCTAACTCTCACGACACTGCGCAGCAGCAACAGCAACAGCAGCAGCAACAGCCTAGCAATCAGCCTAGCAACCAGCCCTCGTTGCCGACGAATGCCAATGGTCTCGATATCGAATCATGGGCTCTCTCAGCGCTCGAGTCCCTGAGCGTCTCACCCCTCGCTCGAGGCACAGGTGCCCCGTTGTCAATCCCGCTCGACGAGACGAAAGAAAATGCGAAAAAGAAGGAGAAACCCTCCGTCAGCATATATGACCCGCGTGCGCAATCCACTGCCATCACGCCGCCGCCTCGGCCCCCTTCGCGCCGAGACAGCTTAAAGCGCCGCGAAGCGCTGCTCAAGGGGAACGAGGGGAGTCGGCAGCGGCGGCGCTGGGAGAATGGTACGAGTCTCCTTTACTCCCTCCATCAATTCTCTTTTTGGCTCTCATATCTGCGCGTGCGCTCCATTGTCGCATGATGGGTTTACGATTGGGACTAACCTCAAGATCTCCCACGATTAGATCGTCTTCTTCACGTTCCTAACGCAGTCCCACCGGAACCCCAGGATTATCTGCCACGCCCCACGCACCCCGTTAACCATGTCCCCTACCAGATAGCGGCGGCTTGGGAATTGCGTGTGCGCGCCGAGGTTGAGTCTCGGAATGCTGCCCACGCTCGTCGGAAGCAGGCCCACACGCGCACGCTCGGCGTTGAAGGCGTCGCCGGGCGCGTGCCGCGAGAATTATGTCAGCGCGCCAAGAAAACACCTGCCGTGCGTACTTGGGTGCGCTCCCTCGAAGAACCGGTCCGCAAGTATCTGGTAGAGCGCGAGATGGCCAAAGAGCCAGTGCCAGATCTGAAGACCGATGACAGCGATAGTAGTTTTAGTGATATGGATTCCGAGGATGAGGAGATTGTGTTCGTTGGCCGCAACGGGTCTATGCGCGATGGTAAGATGAAAGACAGGGGAGCTCATGGTCGCAAGGCAGGGCCTGAAGCTAGTACCGCGGGCGGCCAGTGGAAAAGGGCCCGTCGAGAAGAGAAAAGGAGCGGCGCGACCCAGGACGAGGGCATGCTGTTCGATGCTTTCGGGGATGAAGATGGTGGTGCCTTTAGGTATGTATTTCTCGCTCTCCACTTAAGCGTTAACGTGCCATTCATTTTGACGCCGGGAAAACTGAGACTTGTTTGCTTGATATGCATAGGCGCTGGATTACCCACTCCATCTCGGATTACTATGGCTTACAATCGCGCTCCGTGCTTGTCGGCGAGCCCAAACGCAAGGTCGTTTATGTTGGCATTAAGCAGATGAAGACGGGGCACACGCCGCCTGTTCGCGCCGACCTTCCACGACCTCTCTGGGAGCTTTGTTAAGCGATGAAGATGGCATGGTGCGCACACAGATATTTCGTTATAGGTGATTGGTTGTAATGGGTTTGTATTTATCGGATTAAAAGAAATAACGTGTTGTAGATCGGTTTGTATATTCGCATCACAGGAGGTAATTTCAACTAGAAATCAGCATTGAGGCAGTTATATCTTTCGCCAGTTTTAGATAGATTATACAGTGATGGTAGACCCCATGGAGAATCAGCTTATAATAAACCCAATACCTTATTTCTCTCACTAAAAGTCAATATCCTCTTATAAGGATAGCCCAAGACCTCGAATATTTCGAGTTTAAATTTATAATAGTATGCCTAGGGATATATGTGAATATTATATACTCAACCTAAAACATTACGTCATCGTCGAGTAATCCCATAAGCTGCTGATTTCCATAGAACCAAAGACTCAAATCCCCGTTGAGATTCGAATCTAGTCCGGAGTTATCCGCTCCATTATTAGCCTCCATTCCCAACGACGCAAAATCGAACACACCCCAGGGGTCGACGAAACTCATGTCTGTCTCATAAGAGACTGAAGGAGGATCCTGTTTTATATAAAGACGCGCAGCCTCGCATAGTAACTTGTATAGTCGATAAGGGTGCGTGACAGACCCCGCTGAAGACTCTCCGAAATATAATGACCCTGCGAAGCGATCCAGGTAGAACAGGTCGGCGCTATCAGACAGCTGAACGATGCGCGTGAACAGGACACTGAATGGCACGAATGGAGTGTGGAGGATCCCCCTGGCCCACCAATATGTTAGCAAGATTTTAATCCTCTGGGGCATAGGTAACGATGATTATTGTAGATATAATATGGTAAGCGCAAAGTCATGCCTGCAGTTCTGCCTCATCAGTGTCACGGCTTACCAATGGAGATATCGATCCGTCATGAACCGGTCGTTCTTGTTGGCTTCGATGGCCGCCATACATTCCTGGTGCATGTCCAGGGCCTCGAGAGCAGTTGCCGCACACGCCTCCGTGATACTAGTAGATGCGCCCGGCGGTGCGGGAACCGCGCGCAGGACGAGCGTAAGAAGCGAGAGCTGCTTGACGAGCTCAATCTTGAAATACACATCGCGCATCTTGTCCTGCTCGGTCCCTAAAGTCGAGTATGAATTCTTTCATCGCCCATGTTAATGGGGCAAGGAACATCAAACAAGAGAGGGGCACACGTACTTGAAGAACGAGCTTATTTTCGTCGATGAGCCCGCGTAGCTCCGTCGCTAATATCTGCGCGATCGCGCCGCGCTCGCTTTCGGGCCTGGCCAATCCGGGCGGACTGTATAATTCATCGTAGATCTTCCCCTGGATTATCGAGGTCTGGGAACATCGTTTCATGTTCTCTTGGCTCGGTAAAGGGGTTGTGATCTCGGAGTCCCGTAAGATTGATGGCCGCCCGAGGCGGAGTGCGAGACTTTTCTCAAGGAGGAAAACTAGCCAAAAGAGACTCGCTTGGGAATCCTGCGAGCTACCGCTTTGGTCTGAGTTGGGTAGACGGTGGAGCCTTAATGTTTGGCAGAGGTTTGCTGCACTTGAGATATATGTCCAGGCGAGCGTGGCTCTGGAGCTTTCAATGGCGTAGGATGCCTATGTATGGGATCAGCTCAGATCGATAGGAGATATCATGAGGTGCGTTATACTCCGAATGTAAGTGTCGCTACAGCTTCCGTAGTTGCCGGGAGCAGAAGCGGAAGCTGAGAGAGAGCGAATTGCGCGTTCAAACGGCATTGTCTATAATAGTCTCTGTATTTATCTTTGCCGGTCAAAGTGTTATACTCGGAGAAAACGTAGGATAAATAGCAGTTGGCGAGTATGAAGTCAAATTGGGAGTAGTCTTCGACTGCGAAGTACACCTTCTGGCAAATATCCGTGAATCTTTGGAGAGGAAGGATACGGGAGAGTGAATCTATTCTAAAGAACATTTTATGCTCTTTTAAGTTTCAGTATCAGTGAATTAGAAGAATGATGGGTGGATTAGCTTACTGACCTTTTGCCCACCTTAGCGCAAATACAGCGACCTCAATGGGAGGCATCGAACGACGATCCTGTATTTTCACATCTTTAACCCCCGGGAACGACAAGTCACGAATTGCATTTGATTCTTCTAGAGCACGCGCAAGCCCTCTCAGAGAGGCAAGGACGTGGCTTTCCTCTGCCCCTGAACCTTCTTGAAGAGCTCTGTGCTCGACGACGGTCTTGACAAAGTCGTTGACCTGAGTCGGGTGATCCCATTCTGCGGGCTCTTTTGATGGGTTTATCTCACAATCCTTAGGTGTTAGGTATGCAAGTTTACGAAGTTCCGGCACGTGTGGCGTAGTATTGTCCCATTCCTGGCTGATTGGAATATGTGAGTTTTGCAGCAAGGCTTTAATTGACTCGAGTCCTTCTGCAATGTCGTCGATTTTCTGTTCACTAAGACGTTCAGGAGCCGGTCAGCATACATGCTGTCTGAAAAGTACTGATTCAGAATCACCGTACTATTGCGCTGATATCAGCACCCTTTGTTTCGCAGCTGTGGTCTTTGGGGTGACAACACCAAAGGTGCAAGCTAGCTTCGCCGAGACACAGTTCGAGCATGGCGAACCCCTGTCACACCCGACCTATTCCAAAATCTCGATATCAGTTGACCCATCCGATTATGACAAAGATGGCAGTATGGTCGGCTAGTTTAATCACCTTTCGAGACCGACATTGGTCGCACTGCCCCAGTATTAGCTCTCATGCAGGAAACCAGGATGAGGAAACACTCACAGACCGGCGAGGGATAGCTAGCCGGCGGCTCGAGTTCACATTCGCAGCATCTCCGCGGGATTCCATCTTGCTTTCAGGAAGGAGAATATCTAGCACATGAGCGTGTATGAAGGTGAATGTATTGTTGTCCTTGTCGGTTTGTACCTATTTACGGAATCGCGCGGGTTTCCACCAGCTTACACTACTTTGACCGCACTAGGAATGATTACCAATCACGTATCAACGACATCTCCTAACCCCTGATGAGGCGCGACATTGTCAAAATACGCAACTGAGAAAATCTCAGTTGATGGATATCGGTATAGATAGAGTCGAGTATAAAGTAGCCATGGCTTCAATTTCCGTTCGACGGCACTACAACATCGCCGTAATATCGAGGACTTCCAAGCCCACCCCTCAAGCATATATCGATAAATCATCGCAAAATAACTAAAGCTATCCCCGTTCAAACATGGCAGATCTCAAAATCCTAGTTACTGGCGCCGCTGGCTACATGTATGAACTGATGCTTCCCATGGGACCTGCTAGTACTGACGCTCATAACAGTGGAGGATCCGTTGTTGCAACCCTGATATCAGAAAAGACTCATTTTCCAAAAAACAAGGTCTTCGCGGCTGCTCGTACAGAAGAGCAAGTGCAGGCTCTTCAGCCACTCGGCATCAATGTGCTCCATTTGAACCTGCAGGATGAGCAAGAAGTAGCCGAAGCTATATTTCAGAACGAAAGTATGTCGAATGAAGTTGCAAACCCTTAGTATGGCAATCTACATTTCTACTAATTTAGTTTATAGTCGACCTTGTCATCCATACAGCTAGCTCCATAGAGGCTCAATTGGCATTGCATCTTATTTCAGCGTTGGGAAAACGCCGCGCGGTCGTTGCGAAAGACACCTATTTCATCCATGCAAGCTGATAACTACATCTGAGATATTTGCACTTGACACTGACGCCTGGACAGTCATCAGTAACTACGGGCTATTCTAAAGAGGGTGGGTGGCCATACGGAACCATCAAGGACGGTGATCAGGTGTACAAGCTAGAGAAGGAATTGAACGACGGGTTTCCGATTCGCGTGGTAAGGCACTTATGATTTCAGACTCAATAAATGCAGTCGATTGATCACCCGGGAGACTGAATACCACTAGACCAACACGGCTATCACAGAGCTGGCACAAAAGCAAGGTGTCACGAGCTTCATCGTTGGAGTGCCATTCGTTTGTGAGTTATAACATCCCACAGTACCGCCGCGTGGCCGCATCATAAGCTAACCAGTTCATAGATGGAACCGGAACGGGCCAATGGAAGAAGCTGTCTCAAAATATTCCCGCTATTGTCAAAGCAAGCATGAAGCTCAAGACAGTCTATAAGTTCGATGATAACAGCGTATGCAACTTCAAGTTTTCCTATCGATCCTCCATGCTCCTGCTACTCACTAAAGCTGTATAGAATTTCATAACTGTCCACATATCAGATCTAGCAGATTACTACGTGCTCCTTGTCAAAAAGATAATGCAAGGAGAGAAGCTTCCGAGCGGAGAAGTGGGCTACTATTTCGCCGTTGCTCACGAGGCAGGTTGGTGGGCCATGATTGAGAGTCTCACAACCGTCCTCCACGCCCGTGGACTCGTCACACAGCCCACGGCTCAAATCGTATGTAACCACTGGAATCATTTTCTTCCTGTTCTAGTTACTCCTGGAGGTCATAATTGCTTATTGGTGGCACAAGTGTGCCTCGATAATATGTAGAACTCCCGAAACTTTTCCCTGAAAGAGTAATTACTGACTGCAGCGGTTGTAGTGGACGAGTGATGACATGGCTGCAGAGACACTAGTTCTCCCACGTCAATATGTGCGACTGATGCACACCGCGCGGTGAGTAGGAGTAATTCCACGACGGCAAGTAGTCATATCTGATAATTAATAGTGTGACAATTGATTACAAGAACGGTTTCCCCCTTGGTTGGCAACCTAAGTGGAATGAACAGAAGTTCTTGGCGAGCATGGATGAGGAGGTCAGCGCTACTCTTCAGTACGATAGGGGTAGGACTACTCTCTTCGATACTTTGAAGCCGATGAACTAGATAGTGCATCAATCATGCTGTATAGCGAGACGGTACTGTGTGAGTATGTTTGCCTGACGTTAGATAGCCGGAAAACCCAACAGCTTGTGTGCTATTGTCGCAATATAGCTGGCAGCTTCAAGAGAATAGGAAAGTCAGGGACAACGGTGTTTGTCTAGGAAGATCAGAGTCGAGAAGCCATCGTATTCAGAAAGCCGTCTGTAACATTTGCATCAATATGTACCTAATAATGATGCCTGCTCGAGTGGAGGTTGGAACGATGCTTTACATTTAATGACTATATGGTAGATTCCTACAAATTACAATTCCATCCTAATCTCTGTCTATATTGGCAGGAAAAGGGAGACAACACTTCCTCCGCCTCGTTTAGCGTGCATGGCATACCGATTCCTTCATCAACATATCAACAAACATCACAATATAAAGAAGCCGAGATACTGAGGCAAACGTCACCTTCAAATCAATTCATCATTTGATTCAAGTAAGAAAGGTATATTGAATTCTATCTCGCACTGCGTAGCGTGCCAATTGAACCCATTCAAACAAGTTGCCCTCCACCAGGCGAAGATATCTCATGCCCATAGCAACTCCAGTCAATACAACACAATGTTCAAACACACAAAAAACAACGAACATCAGCCGCCAGTCCAACCAATTGACCCTCTCCTAGAGAAGCAGTATGTGCACACGAACTCCGTGAACGGTACCTGAACTCCTTCCACCAACGCCGTTTTCGTCATTATCGGAGATGTACATCGAAGCAAGTTCGCCGTCTCATGACAGCAGAAAACACGAAACAAATCATCAATTACGTGACCATGAAGCATGAGACGATTCGGATAACAGAAGCAGTTACCTGCGCACACTACTCGCGATATCGCTCACCGTGTCGCTAACGCGTGAGCCAATGCTGCTCATCCATTCGCCGCCGCGCACCCACTCAGGCAACTTGAGGCTGATTCTCACGCGGCCCTCGACGATCATGTTGATGGCGTTGAGGATGGCGAAGGTGGTGCTGCCGATGGCGCGGAAGACGGCGAGCACGGCCACGGACCAGAGGATGAAGGAGAGGTAGAAGTTGTTGCCGACGTCGTGGATGCCGTAAGCTTCAGATACGGCCATAGCGAGAATGACGTTCACGACCATCCAAATCAGCACCATGTACGTGCGCACGCTGCGGTAGTAGTCCTCCTGCAGCTGGGCTTCCGAAGTGCCTGGCGCGGGCACCTCGACGCGGTCGCGGAGGTTGCGCAACGCCTCGTCGTACCCCGAGTCGATGTCAAGTTGCTCCGACGGCATCTCGAGCTCGACGGTGCCGCCTGAGCCCACGGCACCGCCTAGATCCGTTTTTATCACGTTGTCGCCCTTGGTACCCCATGTCACGTCGTGCGTGTTGCAGAACGCGTACACCTGCAGAGTGCAGATATAGCCGGGCAACAAGGCGAAGTATTGGGCCGAGCTAGTGAACAGATGCCACGGGTCCAGATACAAGAAGCTAGTGAGGAAATACAGGCCGACGGTAGATGTGATGGATAGAATCAGATTTGTGAATGTCCCGCTGCCGACCTTGATCCCGCCATCCGATGTTATAGTGTGAACGATGATCCATATGGTTGCGAAGACGGTGTAGAGCATGATGACGCTGTAGGTAACAATACTGGCCATGTACAGTTTCTTAGCGCCCTGTGGCCGGTTGCCTAGCGACAGAATGAATTGCATGGCTGTCAGCAGGATCAAAACGTAGCGCAGAATCGTGAAGATGTAGAACGCTACGTTGTGACCGAACGGGTCGACTTTGGGATCTGATAGGCCGCCACATAGGAAGTAAAATGCGAGGTAGTAGTTGGCAAGGGAGAAGTAGGTAAAGAGGAGCTGGATGAATTGATACACAAATTCGATGTGTAGCAAGACTTTCCGGGCAAACGTATGGTCGGTGGCCCAGACCTGTTTGAAGTGCACAAGCGAGTAAACTGCAGCGAAGAAGGCACCATTCAGCCAACGTCGACGCTGAGAAATGAACTCGGGAACAGCGTCTACGATATGTCAGTACTGGTTCTTACGGAAGCCGATCTGAATCATCATCCACTTACCAGGCACATCTGTTTCACCGGTGCAGCTCTTCACATATTTCAGAACCCATCTCTCACTCCTCTTCGCTACCAACTCCCAACACAAGATACGATCCTCGGCCAGATACATGTTGGCAGTAAAGACGTCTGCATGCTGACCATGCAGCGTTTCACCCTTGAAGTACTGGCTTAGAGGACCGTGGCCGGTCTCATCGTTCTGAAGCGCGTGGAACCGATACGCACTAAGGGCGCCTGGCAACACTGTTATGTAGCCGAAGACCGATTCCAGAGGCTTGTCAAGAATATTTGACATCTTGTATTCGAAATTTTGAGACGCCACCAGCGGGTTCAAGAGATAGCTTCCGTACTTTCCCTTCATGGCTTTGATCTCACCGCAAGCGCCCGCCACATTGGAATCCGTGTCGAACGCCTTCCATAAGTGATAGAGCGAGTTGGTGCCGGGCCTCGTACCCACGTCTAGCAAGATACAGACGTTGGGGTTGAGGGCCTTGCCGAACGCGTTGAAGAACCACCGATGAGAGTTCAACTTCCGTTGGTTGCGCTCCTTGAGGCAGAAAATCATCTGACATGGCACAATGCCCTTCTCAGCGCCCTTGAATTTTAGATCTGAATCCAGTGATACCTGTGTTGTGTATTCGTACACGTGGGCCTGTACTGCTTTTGAGTTGACGAAATTCTTGGCGATGCCGTGTTGGTAGACGCCCATGGCGGCCAGCGCATCAAGCGTTCTTGGATGTACTTTTTCTCTTCCGTCGGACACAACACAGACGACAATCTTCTGCCAACCCAACTCACCCCAAGTACGGGATTTATTACGCCCACAAAAGTGGCTGATGTTCTTCATGATGGCGTGCATGGTTCGTGTGAAACCAATCTCATCTTCGTTGTACATCGTAACACAAATGAACAATTCTGTTTCTCTTGTCGTGCGTCCAATGTTTTGTCGCAACTTATATCCTCGCTCAACAAAGTCATCTGGGTCACATGTCACGGCCGTATAGCGCATATGGGTGAACTCAATCTCGTCGCGTCGTGGCAGGAAGCTGTACAAGATTGTTGGGATCTTGCACTCTAGAATGAGTTCACCATTAATGAGTTGCACCTCCTTCTTGGAGGTAACAGGGGCGCGAACACCACGACGTTCCTGTTTTCCTTCAGGCGCCGCACCATAATGCTCAACCTTTTCGGTCATTGGTGTCTGGAGATCGTCTTCCTCGTTAAGGGTCATCTGTGACTGCGCAAATGATTCCCGGTACGCATGAGCGCCTCCGATGTCTGAGTCTGGCCCAAACACATCGTCGCCATCATCTAGTGGTATGCTCACTGTTGCATCATCAGCTGAGTAACCCGAGTTGCGAGTATGTCCCGAGAATAAGGGGGCAGGCGGGAGTGGCCTTCGCGGGCTTCCTCCATAACGCGAGGACGGTGTTCCTGGTCGAGGACTACCGTTTAGGTCTGCTGGCTCGTAGGGCATGTTAGTAGGCGGTGGACGAGCATAGTCCGAAATACCCGACAATCTGGATGACGGCGTCCAAGGTCGCGTAGGTGAACCGTCTCGTTGCCTAAAAGGTTCATATGCCGAGTCTGGTAATGGTATATGAGGAGGGTCGCGGATAGAGGATGCTCTGGATGGTGTCGAACGAATTGAGGGTTGGTACGAGCGACGGGGCGTCGGTCGAATACTGTTAGATTTTCTTGGTGAGTCACTTATGTCACATAGTTTGCTTATACTTGAAGGGACTTCCTCTACTTCCGCTGATTGGAGAAGAGAGCTTCTTCTTGGTGATGGGCCTTCGGGAATAGTTGGTAGATTTTGTAAGATTTCTGCCTCAAGGCTGTGGTTGATTGTCTGTTTCTTCTGTAACTTTACAGTTCTGGTGCGCTTCGGCACTGGCTTGCGCTTGGGGGATAGATCTTCAGGTGAGGCGCCAGACTGTCCGTCTTCTTGCCTGCTAAGCGAGTCGAGGCAGTCTGGTGCTGATATCGTCACGTTCTTCTTTTTTTCCTGCTCCATATCCTTTGGCTTGTCGGCCTTTTTTGTGGTAAGGGGCCTCGGCGCGAGTGTATTAGAAACTGTGCTGGGCGGCGAGAGTACATACGGTCTGGTTTCTGGTATTGAGTCCTCCATCGATGTCAACAACCTGACTGCTGGTGAATGGCCTGTGCCCATGTGCATATGATCAGGCTCGTCGTCATAGCCTGGGAGGGAGTACTCGGGAGGTAGTGAATGTGAGCCGTCCATTGTTGCTAATGAGTCGGCCGGGAAGCCGATGGACGGTTTCTTGAGACAGTTGCCGTCGTCGCGACAATTGGAATGTAACTGTAACGATCGATGTCCTTGCACGCTTCTTCTTTTGTACCTCTCAAACTTGTATCACTACCTGTCTAAGTAGGTATCGTTGGTAGCCTAAGTGCGCGGTAGAGAAAGCCGAGATAGCGTAATGAGCGATCTGAGCGATCATAAAATAACATGAAATATCATGAAACCATCAAGCCACAGACTCTGTAAGCTTCAAAGGTCATGTCATGGGGAGCTGTAAGCGTCAAGGCTACCTTGGAGTGTACAATGCTAGCTATAGTACCTAGGTAGGTAGGTAGTGTTTACTAGGTAGATACCTAGGCTGGTTGGAATCGGGTTGTTGTCTAGGCAACAAACGCACTGCCGCCTGGGGTTTTGACCCACAAATCGTCATTCTTAACGACCCCAGTCCTTCTAGACCTCACATTGACTTGTCAACTGTTTAGCGCGCGTTTATTCGATTTGGCATCTTGGCCATTGGATAAGTACCTACCATAGGTATACGATCGATGGATCAATCAATCAATCATATTCGGTGAACTAGTGTAGGAAGATGTTTGCCTAAATGTATCAAGCATCGAAACAGGCGCTTAGACAGATGCGAGTGGTGATATACCTACTTATGCATAGGTCTTCCTATCGATCCATCCCATAGTACAACGAACACTGATATTAGTATAGACTACGTAGTAAACAGAAGCCCATACAGTATTAGGGTCATATGTATATATACAAACAACTCACACCCCAAACTGCCTGCCAATACAAGCAGAGGGCATATATGTGCTATATTAGACATACCCAGTTTGGCCTCAAATGCTTGATTCTCAGCCAGTCTATTATGTATACGTAACCTTTATACGAGAAGAAAGACCCGTGGACGAGTGGTCAACCGTCCGTCACAGAATTAAGGGTATCTTCGTGGAATATTCATAATGCTGTAATACTTTCATTGCCGCGAGAGATGATATCATTCTTCAGTCTCTTTGAGCATTTGGGTCAAGCTCATCACCCGATATCCATCACGCTTCAGCTCTCTGAGAACTTTGCGCAACATCGGCGCAGTCCAGCTTCTCCGGTCGTGGCATATTATGATGGCACCTGGTCTAACCATGCTTAATATATGCCTGCCATTGATCCAGGACCAGTGAATCTGTGGATCATGAGGGTATACGCTACCCAGCACGAGCCTGTACCCCATCTTGGCCACGAGCTTCCTCATGCGATCACTGAAGAATCCCGACCCAGGGCGGAAGTATTGGGGCGGCATGGGGGCCTCACCCGTCTTGTAGGCCATACGTATATTTTCACGGACCATCTTGATCTGGCTCTCAAGCTCTTCGTCCGAGAGTGACCGCGAGGGTTCGTCGTGCATAGCGTGGTTGCCAAGCTCGCTGCCGCTACGCACAATGTCGGCGAGGATATCCTCACGGCCAGCGACCTGGCCCCCAATGACGAAGAATGTCGCTGTAACCTGATGACTGTTCAAAACCTCGAGAATCTCCTCCGTGTACTGAGACGGTGCGTCATCGATCGTGAGCGCCACCACCTTCTTATCCGTGGGCACCTCCCATAGTACGTCCGGCCAGCGGCGCGCGAAGTATGCGATCAACGCTTGTGGTGGCTTGTAGATGACGTAAAACGGCACGATAAGCAGCGTAATGATGGTAAGGAGCGAGAGGAGCGTCGTCATTCTGCGGCGTCGCGCCCGCCGACGGAGCTTAGACGGTAGACGGAAAAGCGATGAGCAGAGGCGTGGCATCGAGGGAAGATTGGGCGGAGGAGCACGGGTTCGAGGGTGTGGCTCGCTTGCTATGCTGAATTCAGATTCGTGGCTGCAACATTCGCCCATGGCCCTCCCGTTGGATCAACCGTACGATCGGATCTCTACCTAGCTCGGCGATGGGGAAAATGGAATTGAATTTGGGACGTCGCTGTGGGTTTCATCATTGTCCGGTTGGTTCGGGTATTGCCTGATGAAGCTCCCAGTTGGAGCCCTGAAACCGTATTGCAGTAGGCTAAGTACCTAGTTTCCGAAAGACATCGATCGTGAAGCCCATCTACAGCAGCAATTTACGATGTTTCCTAGGGATGAAGTGTAGTACTATTTGCACCAATAAGGTGTACCTACTGCAGTAGGTACATACCTAGCCTACTTGTAGTGGTGCCATAGCGCTATACTGCCCACTAACTTCACTCAAAGCTCTTAACGCTAAATGCCCCCTTTTTAGAACGCCTGCTCAGCTTTGAAAACGTAAATTGGTCAAAATATAGTTACCCACCTAGGTAGCATCTTTGACATGTGGAATAACTAACCGAAATGTTCTTTGCTTGATTACCTACCTAGATAATCACATGCGACTATGGAAATTCTTGCATACATTTATGATTATATGCGCACTTTTTCGCGACAATTTAGCCTCTTGTAGAGACTAAAAAATGACACTCAGGAAGAAAACATGATATATGCCTTTTCTAACTGTGGCAAATCCGAATGAAGGCGGCGACTAGGCATGAATGCCTACCTTACCTTATAATCAGAAATGACAAGAGTTTTATTTTTGTATTGCCTTGCCTGGCTCACGGCGCCCATTCCTTGTCTAATCTAATTACCGGAGTGACTGTGCCATCAATTGCTACTTCTACCCGGCATAGTTATATTGGGGCTTGGCTGGCTGTCATGAACGGTGCCTGCAAAATGCAGTACGACGGCGGGATATCGTGCGCCGTCTCAGCAATGTTCCAAGCTCTCTTTCTATAAGATGCCACCCTACCTGAACGAGCGCTATCATGGCTCTCTGGGGATGATCCTCGTCTAAACGTACATTTGCGCTCGCATCAGACAGAGTCTGAGTAAAGGTCTGGCCGTGTCAATGTACTGTACTGCCCTGTGCAAGTGAGTAAATACATACCTTTAGGTAATACCTATGCAGTGGGTGTGCCAGACATATCGCCTAACTAAGAACCGCGAATATGACGAAGATGAGTGTCTCGTCATCTTTGGTTGTGCCTAGTGTACACTTGTGTCATGAGCAGGCTACACCAACGACAGGTAGTAAGAGTCACTGGACGGGTTGGTTCACGACGGACCTACCCATCTCGGTATCTGAAACGCGCGTGAGAAGTCGGCCCACCGATTTAACGTCATTTACCCGGTGTCCAAGCGTACATGGTGATCAATGAGCGCTGAGACTTTGCCTAGATATGACCGAATTTCGTACTGGGCATCAGTCATAGCCGCATCAAATGCGGCATACGAAATCAAATCAACAACAGATAAATTTCCCTTTGACGTTTCATATCTCGACTCTACACCCACAACAACCAGGTCATCGACGGAGGAGACGACAACAAGGCGAGTTGGCAGTCCTCCGCGAATAGCACTTTGAATGACGCGCGGCTGATCGAAGTTACTGGTACTTCTTTAGATTCCAAGGTGTGAACAAACTTTGGCGAAAATAAGTATTTAATTTCTATAACGCATCTCCCACTTGACCTGGCCACCCAATTGAGCTGGCCACCCCCTTAACCTATATAAAAGTCCAATGTTTCAATCTGTAATAACTTAACCAATATTGGGCCTACAATAAAATAATTAATACTATTAGATCCGTTATTTAATAAGGAATCCAGCGGTATTTTTTACTATTTTTTATAAAATTTATTAAGCAAGATATTAAGCAATACGCTAAAAGGGCGCTAGGTAAGGATCATTTTAGCGCTTACTTTAGTGTATTGCTTAATAACTCCGCGAATATAAGTCGTAAGAATTAATAAAGGGTACCGTTAAATAGCTCTCTTTATTACGAATCTAATGGTATATTTTATTATTCTATACGACCAATATTCGTAAAGTTATTAAATTATCACGTGATTAGCGCACCGACGTTTTTTGTATGGGCTAGGGGGGTGGCCAGGTCAAGTGGGAGATGCGTTATGAGATATTTATCTATTTGTATGGTAACGACTAGCTACAGGGCTGAGGTGAAGCGTAGTCTTACGCACATCTTCCAGGTTGGACCATGTCAGTTGATGAGCGGGAAGGACCGGATGCTGGGCAGATCAATATTGTACTTATGTACGGGAATTTAGCGTATATGTACAATACCACATGGATATCTGATCCCAATAAATCTATAGCAGCTTGTTTTCTTCTTGTGAATAAATCTAAGTCAGCAACTCAGTTTGAATTAGGAAGATCTTCGCTTCGGTGTAACTCAGTGTCGCCGCCTGTGTCACTACACAGTCATCGAACAGAGGCTAATGTAAGATAGACCAATATAATAAACGTGAGACAGCGGGAAGAACTGCCGTGTATAATCTCAGACAGTGGTGTCTAAGCCACTCAGGCAAGGCAGTGAGTGCTAAGTATTAGTAGAGACATATCGTTGCTTCTGTACAATGAGTAGTTTGAGACACGAATACTCAGGTGTCCAACCGTCATACGCTAACATCGCACAATGAGTTCAAGGGATGGATGTACTATGCCATATCATGTCGAATACATAATAAACTACAGACCCTAGGGTGACGCCTATCTTGATTCTGGACATTACTTGGTGTGATCAGCTACGAGTACATAGACGACGAGGATGCAACAAAGGCAACTCTAGACCAAAAAAAAAAAAAACCATCCGATGTATTCCCTTTTTGAAACTTTCCCAAGATGTTCCCGGAAACCGGATTTCCCCCGCCTTCCCCGACATGGTTCTCCTACATAGTAATCCGAATACAGCAGTGGAAGCTAGGTGCGTACATCACAGGGAAGTTGGTGGTGCATAGAAATGTCCAGAGCTGAGGCGCCAGAGAACCTTTCAGTGCATTGTATATTGCAGGCTCATTATGCAGATAGTATGCGCACGATGCCCATGTGCAAATGCAGCAGGCAGGAAATCGTGGTGCACGGCAATGACCGGGCATTATTAGGATCGCTGGTGGAGATAACACTCTAGGTACAGGATATTGCAACCCCGAAGACCCGGAAATTTCATCGGTTGAAAATCAGGCTGATAATGAATGGACCGGGAACCTTGTCAAGTCATTGAGTAAACATTGGAGCGTAGTATTAGATGCTTTGCACAAAATGCCCATGTACTGTGGAACACTGGGTGAAAGCTCTCACAACGGGTTATTGCATCGACTTCGCTGGTCTGTGACTTCTTTAGATTTCTCGCTAACTAGGATAAAAAAAAATCGTCTGTCTAGACCATGACCAAGATACAAAAAAAAGGTAACCTGCGTTTGAACTCGCCCGTTCCCAACATGAGTAGTCGGTTGGGTCGTAAAGGTGTTGCCCCAGTGCGCCTTGAAATTGCCGCTTCAAATAACACCACCTTCGATGAATCAACAAGTTTGACCTCAATTCCCAAAAGTTCCTCCCCATCTCAACTTTTGTTCAGTAATTTGTGCGTCGACTCGTGAAGTCGTTCAAGTATATACAATGAAATATCGCCAAATTGGCACCGTTAGCCAAGATGGGTTCAGTATGTTGCCATCTGATGCAATTTGTGTGCCGCTTAAATCCACACAGGCTGCTGTGCTTGAACAGGCTCTGGTATTATAAATGATGATAGCAGGTCGTGAATCTCAGCCAAATAGTCTTCCGCTTTGAATTTATGGAGACCCTTAGCTATCAGTTGTTCCTCTTCATCTTCAATACCCTGTAGCTTGTCTTTTACACCTAGTTCTTCTGCTAGCTCGGATACCTTAGCTAGTTCCTGCCCGAAAGGATGTTGGGACTCGGAAACATCATTAGAGCGGCGAAAACGTGGCGTAGGTGATGCTGGAATTGCGGACGTCGGTGAGATAATCGGCGCATGTACGGACGATTTCTGAGTATGAGAAATCGATGATACAGACGTCATTGCAGTTGAAGTAGATGACGACCGGGACATACTAAAGCTGGCTTTCGTCGAAATTGTCTTGCTCGATTGATTAGAGAAGCGAGCGTGTTTGTTCGCGAGGTTCTCAAACGACGCCTTCTTGGTGTGCGATGGAGCTCGTTGTGGAATGGTCGGTGCTTCACGCACGTTGGTCGCTGGTTTCTGAGTTGGAGCGGTAAAATAGCACGACAAATGATTGGGCTCGGGAGACTCTGAAGTACCTTCTGCTGATGGAATCTCCGGGCTGGTAGGGGGAGAAGACATCGCAGTGCTTGGGCTGTTAAGGGAAGATTCATCGTCAGACTTTGAGGAGCTAGCTGGTGATGATGCTGCTGCTGCTCGTGGGTAAAGATCCGGCGCATTGTACGCAAGCATATTTGTTGTATGAGTCAACTCCATTGGACTCGAGATCTTGTTCCGAATGGAGCCCATTTGTCCGTGACCCCGAGAGGTCGTGTTACTCCGGTGAGGTAAAATGCCCATGTCGGTCGAGGACTGCTTCCCTCGCCGTGTTGTGAAGGCTCTTGCAAGAGACATCTTGTATGAAGTAGTCTTATCAGTTCGTTTCCAATCCCAGTGAATGGGAATGCGCGTTACCGAAACAGGCCTGGTCAGTTGAGATTTTGCCAGAAATCAAGAAATATGCAGTGGCGACGCTTGACAGATAGTTCAACTCAATCTTTGAGTTTCGGGGACAGTGGTTAATTTTAAAAGCTGAAAGTGAGATGCGCCGGAGCGAATCAGACAACCAAAGTTTTCAATAGGTTGATGGATGACAGTGAACTCAACGGGATCTCAAGCCGAGACTGATCTCAAGGCAGTGATACCTTGTCCCTCGGTGTGCGACGATGTAGCTGGTGCGAGAAGTGCGTCGTGCTGTGGCACGCGGCTACTTCACGATGGGAGCCCTGATTGGGAAGGTGGGCGGCTACTGTGGTCTTTTTGGCCGAGATGGTCTGGTGACCGTCTGTTTCCCCAGTCAAAGTCAAAGGCAACGTAGTACTGCGCTACTTCTCTGCGTAGAAAGGAAACTGGGAATTCACAAAATCCTAGTTGCAATAATGCACTCGTGCTGCATGCCGTATCTTAGGATAGAAATTACAGAAATGACACGAGCTTGCTTGGTTAACCGCCTTGAGTGGCGCGTGCTATCGAAACCTAGACAGGTAAAGGATGCCAAAAGCTGCAAAATTGTTGTATGCCGAAACCCAATAGAAACCGGAAGAGATCCGAATGCGGGCGGCGAGCGATTCGTCGTGATTTGCTAATGTCTGTAGCTGAGGTAATTTACGATGTCTGTAGTAATTCCTCAAATGCCGAAAGTCTGGAATATTGTCAGGTGCCTGCTGAAACTATCCAGATTCTGTCGACAGAGGGATATATGAGTTTTCGAGATTTGACTTTAGCCCGAACACTGAACTTATTGACAAAGTTTGGTATTCTGGGGAGTACTGGCGCAACAAACTCGACTGCTCCGTCAAGGTTGATGTGTGTATATATTTGAGTATGTTGGGTTTCACGAGAACAAAACGTTGAAACTTCCAGGTTTCCTGGTGATGGCTCTGAATGGAGAGAAAGGATGGTGAAAGAATAGAAAACAGCTCGTCCTCGGGTTCTGTATTCAAAAGGAGAGTTGCTGCGATCGAGCAGCCCAGCGAGTCTGAGTTTCGTAACCTGCGAAAAAGAAAAGTGAAAAAGAAGCGGTAATCAAGGGAAGAATCAACGGATTCAGCGCGATACCAGTGTCAAGGAGTGAATAATAGAAGAGACAGCAAGGGACAGGTCCCGGTGTGTTGGGAAACGTTGATATGAGAGCGAAGTAGAATGAGAACGAGCACTACTTAGGGACAGCGCGCGCTGACAATAAGAAGCTTCCCCAGATGGGAAGGCCTTTCTGTACCGTCTTCCCAGGATCCCACCCATGATCCCACCCCTCTCCCTGGTCTAGTGTAGGTACATGTCACCCTACAGGCGATAAATCTACACTACCGAGATGTGCGCGTCCGCGTGTGGGGCAAGCAAAGACAAGGGGTAAGGAAAGAGACCGACGGGATTCACGATCAGTGGCCCACGCGTGCTATGGGCGTTTCCGACACCTACCCTCGCTACCGTATCTACATCCATGAGCTTGCAGTGTTCTACCACCTAATGTAGGTACAGCGAGCGCACATGGTTCAAGACTTTAGGGCTCGGGGTTCTGTCAGGGCACGAAGAAATCTGACTCAAGACTGGCCACCTGGCCGGCAAATCAGTCGTGGCATCTGGATCCAGTGCGCACACTATGACCTTCTTTTTGCCAGTCTGTGCCAGCGAACACCGACAGGGAGGGTGGCGAGGGAAACAAATTTCAGGAGGGGGGGCATAGCGTCAATGGCTGATGGATGATAGGCGGGCAGGGCGAGGCCCTTGTGCGTGACTAGATACTTGAGTCCCCTGCCTATTTTAGTCGGACCGGGGTTTAAGAGGAGGATGGGCGAGGATGGATAGGATTGGACAGGGGAGGACAAATGGACAAACGACTCGGCCAAATCAGGTCAAATGGACCAACTTCCGGATCTGTTGAATGTCGACTACTACGTACCTACTCGCTACCTACCCGAACAGAACGCCTTGAAATTCCCATCCTCTTTTTCTGCTCTTTGTTGAGCGCTCGTTCCACATACTTACACGTACATCACATCTAACCATCTCATGACTCTGTTATTTTCTTTGAACATTTGAGGGAACCGAAACGCTTTTGTCCCTCGGCACAGCCGTTCTCAAGTAGTTACGGGAGACTCACTCTATCGTACCAGTAAGTACGTTGAAGATACCTAAGTGTCCCCGTGCCCAGACCCTATCTACCTACCTACTCGCCTACCTACACCAAAAGTAGCGGTTCCATAGCGCTGCTAGTTCAATGCGAGTGATCCTATCTCTGTCCTGCCCTACCGTTCAGGTACCTACATGTACTATGTGACTCTGCAGGTGATGAACAGATGAGTGTAGGTTCTACAACATCTGCCTACGGTACCTACATAAGGTAGGTAGCCAGCATCGCCTTATTACTGTACGTGGCTCACTAGGAACGCTCCACGCTATGCCACCTCTCTGCAACGCAAACAAGACAATGCAGGCAGCCAGTTATGATGTGATGGAGGGTCCGACTCCTGTAGGTAATACCTTGGCTTCTGAATTGTATACCAAGTGTGCATAAGTATATGCTCCTAAGGGCAGTAAGCGTTAAAGTAAGCAATGCTAGGCATCTGGCGGCGTCCTTCACTTCAAGTTGTAGGTATTGTAAGTATACTTACGCTGATCGGTTATAGGTAGTAGATAACTCCACAGCATTGGTAATGTTTAGTGTAAAACCAAGCAGAGCCAAGCACCAATACATATAGTAAGTAATAAAGATCTAGATTGGTACATAGTAGTCGAGAAACTAATTATGCAAAGATACTCGCATTATACTTATATATATATATATATATTTATGTACATATATTTACCAATACCATAGATACATACTTACTATGATGTAGGCATTTCTCCCTCCTCTTCCTGAATAGCATCTGGTGAACCAACATTCCTTACCTACCTGGACATAAGTACTGTAGTATCTGGGTACATATGTAAGTACCTAAACCAGATCAGTACAAAGGCCACGCGCCACATGGAGCACGTTTGTTGTAGCGTGAAACAGACGAGGGTGTCTAGAGACAACGAGGTAAGTCGAAGGAAGAACATTGATTGGGCAGGTGTGTTTTCACACCTTCACACATTGATTGGCTGCTGACATGTCGAGTGTTTCAAGTTCACCTGGCCGTTCCTGCTCCTGCTCTCTCCGTCGCCTCTCCGTCGCCACCCGTTCGCCGCTAACGATAGCGTACTACATGCAGTTGTAATCTATTCTCCTGGGGTCGTACTGTAGTATGTAGTACATGTACTTCCAACGGTAATACCCTAAAAGACACCGAAAAAAAACCCCACCCATTTGTCTTTGGTTGATGCATTTAGTGATGGCTTGCCCGCTCTTCACAGCTCAGCTGTTAAGTCACTCTTGCGCGAGCGAATACCAATACGGTACTATGTATAATCACACCGTCAAACTCAAGTTGTCGCGCTCGGCCTCAGAAAGCGTAACGTTGTACCGAATATGTTGGTTGAAAGCGGTTGGCTGTGGCGGATGAGACGGCCTCGGTCAAGACCGCAACTAATATTAGACAGCATTTGCCTCACTTTGTAACCAACCACCTAGGAATAAACATAACCGAACGCTATGTTTTTGGTCTCGTGCTATATTCCTTCTCCCTTCCTACAGCCACCAACTGCATATTTTATACTAGCGAATGATCCATCATGATATCAATATTTCTACAGTGATCAGTTTACAGTACACTAACAATCCATCACCCAGCGTAGCGTCCCTGCGCCTGCCCCAGCTTGACCCAGCTTGACCCAGCCAGCGCATGACGTTTCATAACCAGCTTCCATAATCTTCAGTTCTGTTGTCAGGTTGACAGGGACGAATTCCCCAGGTTATATTTTTAACATTTTTGATGAGCTCTATGCGACAACCTTGTTGCTACCCAGACCCGGTTATACAGCACTTCAAAACATGCGCACATCAAGTTCTTGTCTTTCCTACAGTACATGCCAAGGCAACAACAATGGGCCACGGAAGATGATCATCAACCCATTGATAGATCCATATCATTTCATCCAAAGACTTCCCCCTTTCTGTGTTCGGGTTTCATGCGTGCGCAGTTGTTCGACTTCAAAGAGCTTGGTCGGTACTCGGGGTTGGTTACGCATGGGTTGATGTGCGTCGATCGAGCAGCTTGTTTTCAGCCTCAACGCTTTACCCGGTCAGAGCTTACTTAGTCTTCATCCATGGAATCGTCGCTCTCTTCGTCGTCGTCATCGTCATCCCCACTTTGATCATCCTCTGAGCTTTCATTGTCTTCTACACCAACTAGTCGCTCCTCTACATTTTCTGTTGACTTATCTGCCAATTTGTGAGCAAATGCTTTCCGGACAGCTGCATTGGTGCTCGTATCCCAGACATGCATAGTGCCCTTGCTACCAGCCACAGCGAGACGGAAAGCTACTTCAGCATCGGGGGCGAAATTGGTAGAGAAGATCCTTCCAACATCCAGGTTACGCGACACAACCATGGCAGGCCCTGAGGGCTGTATGTTCCAAAGCTTGACGGTCTTGTCAGTCGAACCTGTGGCCATGAAACCAGGCACATGAGCGTTGATGTCGAAGGAAGACAGCGATTCATCGTGTGCCTGGAGTGTCCACATTGGTTTGCTAGCTGACGGACTGGATGGGATGTTGCGGATATCGAAGTAATGTATTATACCGTTTTCCGTTGAAACGTAGAAGAAATTAGGATCATGAGGATCCCACTTGATGTTTTCGACATCACTCTCGACGCCCCACCGCGGAGTCTTTGCATCAGGAGCTCGCATATCTGCTGCAACGATGGTTCGGTCGTAGCTCCCACTTAACAACACCGTCGACTCAACCGCATGCCATGCTAACGAGCATACCTTATCGGTATGGTAGGTGTATGACTTGGCACACTTCGCCGTATTTAGGTCCCAAAGTTTGACCGTTTTATCAGCTGAAGCAGAGGCCAGTAAGTTCCTATGTTTCCGGTTGTGAGCTAGTGACAGAACCGCATCGACATGGTATTCATCATTGGCCTTCTTTGACTTTTTCTTCTTCTTCTTTTTCTCTTGTTCCTGCGGATTGCTCCCTTGACCAAGAATGGCGTTAGGATACAGGCCATCCACAGTATCTAGATCCCACACCTCGATATCAGGATCCATAGTACCTATCGCGACAAAGTTGGCCGTCGCATCCTTATCCACTCCCGGCTTTGACACTGCAACATCCAGCCATTCGAGACAAAGTGGTATGGCGGGTAGCATTATGTCATGGTGCACATAGAGGTTGTCGGCCTCGTCTTCATAAACGTAGACCTCAAGGTGCGCCAGCTCATCCTCAACCTTAGCTGCAAGCAGCATGTTATCAGTTGCTAGGATCTGTAGCTCTTCACGATCTTCTTGCTCGTCTTGTTCATCGGGTATCGTAATATAAGGATCCTCCTTGTTTGATTCATAATAGGCTAGAGATTTTATGTTGCCAAACATGTCCATGCGTTGGCCATGGACATCATCGTCTTCGTCGTCGTAATTTTCGAGGTCGTATTCTTTGAGATCCTCGTCATTGATATCGATGCTACGGGCAAATTAGTACATGTAATCGAGGAGAGCGAATGCTCGGTTAGGGCGCATACACTTCTGACTTCCTGGCCTGGCTCGGAGTGGCAGCATCTTTCTTGTCGACATCAGACTCGCCGTCTGCTGATGTGCCATCTTCATCATCCCCTCTGCCTGCTTTTGCTTCCTCCAAGTCCTCATTGGCGTCATCTAGCTTCAATTTAGCTAGCTCTGCTATGCGCTCGAACTCGGCATCATCGAAATTGCATTTCGAAGGGAAAGGCGCTGCAAAGCCTCGTGGTACCCAGGCCGATGTCGTTATCATGGATTCCGCCATAGCGTCGGAATTATGTCGTCGCCTGTCGTAGGAATTCAGGCAGCTATTACTAGCCGACAGAGGTACAAGCTGTCGAAGCTTTAATGAAAATGCCTTATTTTTCGATTTAGAGTTGCAAAATTTAGCGGGGCTTTAGTTATCGATTACTATCCATTCTCCGCCCGCCAGATACCCTGTTACATGTACTAGGAGCGCCAAATAAGCTCTACCCGGCTCTTACTTACATGTACATTAATCATGCTAATAATGTTTACCGACCACCTCTATATCCTAATATATCAACAATCGGGAAGGGAATCGTCAATCAACAGCATTCATTCGCATTCAAGCTGTACTTTCCTTTCGTGAAAATGGATCGTGAAAATGGCAACTTCAGTCCCAAGCGACGCAAATTAGACTTCAACCCCTTACGCTCAGACGATCGATATTCATCCCTCCCTACCCGAAGCAATAACGCGTCTCGCTCACATAGCCGAGCTCTCAATGCTACCAACTCGCGCGCTAGCACGCCACGCGGCCAACAGAGCTATGCGAATACTCCCAGGCAAACCGAATTCGATGGGCCGGAACCGTTGGTCAGTCAAGAAGATCAGCTTGCCCTAGATCGTGACTGGTACGGTGGCGATGAGACGGGCGGGCACATCTTCGGCGATGATTCGCACAATCCATTCGGCTCGTATGATACATCATGGGTTGAGCAACAGCAGCGAGAAGCGCAGATGATTGAGAGGAAGGCAGGCAAACAGATGAATGCGCGTCAATTACAGAGGCAGAAAGACAACGATGCGTGGGAGACGAATCGTATGCTTACCTCTGGTGTTGCTCAACGGCGCGGACTAGGAGATGACTTTGACGATGACAACGAAGGTACACGTGTTCATTTGTTGGTACACGATTTAAAACCTCCGTTTCTCGACGGCCGCACTGTCTTTACGAAACAGCTGGAGCCCGTACCCGCCGTTCGGGATTATCAGAGTGACATGGCCGTTTTCAGCCGGAAAGGCAGTCGTGTTGTGAAGGAGCGAAGGCAGCAAAGGGAGCGCCAAAAGCAAGCGCAAGATGCGACAAACATGGCTGGAACCACGCTAGGAAATCTAATGGGCGTAAAAGAAGATGAGGGCGATAGTGCTTTACCTATTGCTACAGAGGATGATCAAGCCAAGAATAGCAACAGCAAATTCAGCGAAGTCATGAAGAAGAATGACGGCGCCAGCAACTTCAGTCAGAGCAAAACCTTAAAAGAACAGCGGGAATTCCTACCTGCGTTTGCCGTGCGCGAAGACTTATTGAGGGTTATAAGGGATAACCAGGTAGTCATAGTGGTGGGTGAAACAGGTTCTGGAAAGACTACCCAACTTACCCAGTTTTTATATGAAGACGGCTATGGGAAGCAAGGAATGATAGGGTGCACACAACCTCGTCGCGTCGCAGCAATGAGCGTTGCCAAACGAGTAGCAGAAGAGATGGAAGTGAAGTTGGGGAGCACAGTTGGGTATGCCATCCGATTCGAAGACTGTACAAGTAAGGACACTGTTATCAAATATATGACAGACGGCGTTTTACTTCGAGAGTCTCTGAATGAGAGAGATTTGGACAGATATTCATGTGTCATCATGGATGAAGCTCACGAACGTGCCCTGAATACAGATGTGCTTCTCGGTCTATTCAACAAAATTCTGCAGCGGCGGAGAGATCTCAAACTTATTGTTACATCAGCTACGATGAACTCAAAAAGGTTTTCTGATTTCTTTGGGGGCGCACCCGAATTCACAATACCCGGAAGGACCTTTCCCGTCGACATTATGTTTCACCGGTCACCAGTGGAGGACTATGTTGACCAGGCAGTTCAGCAAGTTCTATCGATTCATGTATCTATGGGCCCTGGAGATATTCTTGTGTTCATGACCGGACAAGAAGACATCGAGTGTACTTGCGAGCTAGTGCGCGAGCGTTTGGATGCCCTCAATGATCCACCTGAGCTTAGCATTCTACCTATTTACAGTCAAATGCCAGCAGACCTGCAAGCCAAAATCTTTGACAGGGCGCCGCCAGGTGTACGGAAGTGCATAGTGGCAACCAATATTGCTGAAACAAGCTTGACCGTTGATGGTATTATGTATGTTGTCGACGCGGGCTTTTCGAAACTGAAAGTTTACAATCCTCGGATGGGAATGGATACCCTACAGATCACGCCTATATCGCAAGCTAATGCCGGACAGCGAGCTGGCCGAGCGGGTAGAACAGGCCCGGGAAGAGCATTTCGCCTCTTCACCGAGAAGGCATTCAAAGACGAACTATATATCCAAACAATTCCCGAAATCCAACGAACCAACCTTAGCAATACCGTTTTGCTTCTCAAGTCGCTGGGAGTTCGTGATCTTCTCGATTTTGATTTCATGGATCCGCCACCGCAGGACACGATCACCACATCCATGTTCGACCTGTGGGCTTTGGGGGCCTTAGATAACCTTGGGGAACTGACAGACTTAGGTGCCAAGATGAACGCTTTTCCCATGGATCCATCGTTGGCAAAACTCCTAATCATGTCGGAACAATATGGGTGCAGCGAAGAGATGCTGACCATCGTCTCGATGTTGTCCGTCCCGAACGTGTTCTATCGGCCAAAAGAACGCCAGGAGGAGTCAGATGCTGCGCGGGAAAAGTTCTTCGTTCCCGAATCTGATCACCTTACCTATCTACATGTCTACTCTCAATGGAAGTCCAACGGCCATTCGGATGGATGGTGTACTCGTCATTTCCTGCACCCAAAATCCCTACGCAGGGCGAAAGAAATCCGCGATCAGCTACTCGACATCATGAAGATGCAGAAAATGGAGATGGTCAGCTGTGGTACGGATTGGGATATCATTCGCAAATGCATATGTTCAGGTTATTATCACCAAGCCGCCAAGGTCAAAGGTATCGGCGAGTATATCAACTTGCGAACTTCGGTCACGGTCCAACTTCACCCTACCAGTGCACTCTACGGCCTCGGGTTTCTCCCTGATTACGTAGTATATCATGAGCTGATTCTCACGTCAAAAGAGTATATGTCAACAGTGACCTCGGTCGATCCACACTGGCTCGCCGAGCTCGGTGGCGTATTCTACTCGGTGAAAGAAAAGGGGTACTCTGCCCGAGAGAAACGTGTCACGGAGACCGAGTTCAACCGGAAAATAGAGATCGAGACGAAAATGGCAGAGGATAAAAGGCGGCAAGAAGAGCAACAGAAAATGGAGCAGGAAAGATCGGTCAAGAAGCCCGCAGCAGAGAAGGCGAAGAAGATCATCACGTCTGGGGCGGTCAAGAAGCCTGTCCTAAAGAGAAAAGGGAGAGGTTTCTAGGCTAGGTTGTTGAGTTGTACATAGGTTCATTTGTTAACCGGAATATGAATGCAGCTCCAATCTACCCGCCATTTCCCTCGCCAAGTCCCACGTCTAAGATCAGGTAGGCAGTAAACCCTTCATCAGCGGCGTACCTCGAACTCCGTCTCCCCCTCTATCAAGTCGCGAGGTTCCTTGTCCAGCTTAACGACCTGGGCGTAGCGCGGTCCCCGGTCAATTGCTTTGAGAAACTGCTTGATGGCGTCGGGACTGCCCTGTGCCTCGCCCTCAACCTTGATTATAGGATTAGCCAGGTACACGGTGGTTAGAACGGCTAAATACCTAACTTGCCTTTTCATTATCAGTGTTAGTACACCAGCCCGTTAGACTCAGCTTCGTGGCCTCCTTTTGCGTAAAGCTGCGGAAGTTGACGCCTAGCTTGACGTCAGTTTCAACGGTCGTGAATAAGTGAGGGCATGGGGCGGATGGACCTTGGACTCGGCCATGCACTAGGAAATGGATCTGGATTATCTCTTAGTTGTGACTGTCATTGCGAGCAAGCCGCTACTTACCCTCTGCGACATTTTGATCAGTTTTCCTATGCGAATACTTGGATCCGGTAATGTTGATAGAGCCTCATAATGATTGAGCTTGTTATTAAGCTTTTGCCGATGGGCCTAGCAGTGTGCAGGTTGCCCTCTAGAGGCCGTCCCACGGCAGTGGCATGCAGCGGGCCCTTGCGGTGGGTTTTTAGTGCACGTACGCGCTAATCCAGGCTACCTAATCACCTAAGGCATCTTAAGTACCTACCCTCGTCTTCTAGCTTGCCCTTGCGTAAATAGTATTTCATTGTCGCTCTCAATATAATGCCACCTCAAATACATAAACAAACATAATGAATTCTACATCACCGAATGCAGAGTCGCCGCAACCAGTATTATTTCGTGGGAAGAAACGCAAGACTTATCGACAACGGCATGGCACCGAAGACGAAGATGGAGCAACAGCTAACCCCATAGATCCCGTCATTGATGCGGTGAACGCCAGTACCACCCGAGCCTCAACCCCCGATCCCATTACGGCATCCACAGATAAAGAACGAGATGAGGCGCTCTCAATACGCGAGGCACTCCGCCTTCGCAATGCGCGGAAGTCGAGATTACGCGGCGTCGCCTTTGGCGTAGAAGACAACGCACAACCAGGGGGTCCGGCCAGCGGAGACGACGAGTTAAACCAGATGATACGCGAGGAAGAGAAGAAGGCCATGGACCAAACCATAGTGGCAGCGAACAAGCGCTTTGCGCCTCAGACAGGTCTTTCTGGGGAGATAATCAACAAGCACATGTGAGTTTTGCCCCTCAACACCACTACCCACTCTCGTGCAATGCTGATGGAGCAAGGGAGGAATACATAGAGGCCGAACTGGCTAAGAGACATTACATGGCCATGGGCCCTCAAGTGTCAAGTTCATCCAATCAGCCAAGCGGAAGCGCAGCGCAGACCGAATCGACGGCCGACAAAGGCGAGGAAAAACACACCGCTTTGACGGGCAAGCTATTCGAGGTAGATCTCGGCGACGAGGTCCGCAGCCGCAACGAAGCCATGACGGATCGTGCCAGGCGAAAGCTACAAGGTCTAGCCGTCGAGGACGATGAAAACGGCGAGCGGCGGAAGAAAGTCCGGCTTGGGAGAGACGGCAAGCCCTGGCGCCCGAAGAACAGGCGAAACAGCGACGACGTCAAGAGAGACCAGCTTGTAGAAGAGATCTTACGAGAAAACAGACGTACGTCATTTGCCCCTTTTACTTCCCACACCTGATCAATTACCCATTGAGTGTAATTCCACCTAACATTGTAACTAGTGGATGTATATGAGGCTCCTACGCCTCCGTCGGGAGGAGGAGTCAATCCCGGCGAAGAAGACGACGTCGCCGCCGACGATAGGATAGCCGAGGAGTTCCGCCGTGAATTCCTCGACGCCATGGCCGAGCGGCAGCGGCGAAAGAAGCCTGTCGGCCCGCCGACCAAGCCAGGCGCCAAGAAGGATGAAGAAGTCCTCAAGGGGCCGAAGCTCGGCGGCAGTCGCAACACGCGGGCCGCCATGAGGGACTTGCTTCTCAAGAAGGAGAAGGAGAAGGAAGGGAAGAGATAAGGACTAGGATCCCTGGCTGATGGAATTCTACCATCTGCCTACCTCTATATATCGTCACTTGCATGACACTTTCGGAAAGGGAACTATGATATGTCCATTCAAGGGCAAAGCCACGGTTGGCATACGGTCCGAGTGCTTTGAATAATAGCATATGCGTCTGTCGACGTACAAACTCATACTCTAGTACTTTCTATACAGCCGGGATCCTGTTATTCAATTGTTTGGTTTTCTAGAGTCTCTTGCAAACCGCAATTGTGAAACGACATATTCGCTACCGAACCTCTGAAAAGGAGCAAACTCAACTACTTCTAGGAGGCGCGTTTTTTACCATGTCATCTTTCCCATACTTCAATGGAGGCAGTATGTTATTTAATGTATAGGTAATCAATCAGTCACGAGTACCACAATCCCAAGTCCATCCAACGTTGCTACCGTCAAGTGGTGACAAACGGAGATTTAGAACATCGTCACATTGTACGTTTATATATGTGCGTAGATGTAGTAACCAGCAATGATTCCCTTCGCCGTCCCGGCAAGCGAGGGGGCCATTGTCCCAAGAATAGCCCCAGTGGCACTTTGCCCCGTAAAGATGAGAATGCGCCTTCCCGAACTCCTATAGACCACCTGCTATATAAACGCGAACTGTCTAGCCAGCGTTGGCGATATGATAAGGCTTCGTATGATTGAAAAGCGTAATTTAGCCAATGCAAATACGTCAGTAATCTCAACATTTCGAGAAGAAGTGGTGGCCTATAAATGTGTAATCCTTCCGGACCCCAGCTGGAGCCCTTACCAACCATGTCAGTAAAATACGTATAGGCGCTGATCAACGAGGGCGTGCCCTGAAAGACGAGAATCGGTATGAGCATAGCCACAATGTTAATCACTAAAACTCGACGTCGTGTCGTGCGAGGCTGCCTTTTGTCCCTTGGGTCGACTTCTATTATGATAGATCCACATTACCCTCTTAGCAGACAAATACCAGAAACGAATTGTTGACTGTAGTTCGGCGAGAGTGTATGATTTGACTCTTGCAAATCGATGTTTTTGCTGTCTCCAGCTAGGTGTTCGCTGTGTAAGTTAGAGAGCGGCTCGGCGTTTAAGATGGCCCAGCGCTTTGGAGCCCACCGGAAAAGCCGCATATGCAAGCATGCATTTTGTGCCAGCACTAGCAAGTAACTGCAGTATGCGCCCTAAAGCAGTATTGACTGACAGACTAGGCAGGGCGAAAGACCCTTCATCGGATGTCTAATTGAAAGGGCTTGTATCGCCCGCCGATTGTAGCACAGCGAGGACATTTCCTCCGAGTCCCTTGTTCTTCCATCAATATATTCACGCAATCTCGGCATAGTCCACATATGCATTCGGTACAAGCATATGACTCCCTCAATTTCGATGTCCGTTGACACGCCGCACAGTAAATGTGAACATCTTGAGACGAATAACTTGGCGAAGAATCCGATAGCCCGACAGTTCCCATGTGAAAGGCTTCTCCACTCCCGCCACTTTCCACCGACGGGAAAGGCTCGGGAATTTCTTGTGCAAACGGCGGCGGAGTTAGAGCTTGCTGCAGGGGAGATGCCTGGTAACCCTGAAAATGTTGATGAGGAAACGGTGGTAGAGAAGCTCTATGAATTGAGATGGGAGGAGATTGAGGCACCTGATATGTCAGACAAGAAGAGTAAGATCGTTTTTCGAGGCTTACTGGAGTTCTGTCCTCGTCAATGTCTTCAGTAGCCGAAGCTGCTGCATCAATCAAGTCTTCCCACCGCTTGCCGTAGTCCGCTGAGGGTTCGACTGAATGCGCTTTACGATCGGCCCCTCCAGGAGAAAGAAGGTCGTCGTTCTGAATCCGGCGAAGCCAATCGGCAGCGGTGCCTCGAGACTTTTGTTTCTTGTGGCCACGCTTAGTAACAGACTGTTTCCTCGGACGGTGAGCACCCAGAGTCCGTTGCAAAGGGGGCAGGGTTGAGGACCGCCCCGGTGGCGAGTTGGAGAGAATAGAGGGGAGTAACTCTCGCCGCCCTGGCCCTGCATTGATTGGAGGGAACGGCTCGCTGGTTGGCTCAGCACCATACTGTATGGGAGGCAGCTCAATTGTGCTGCGAGGGATCCTCCTCCCCTCTGTATCAGAATGCCATCCCTTTGGGAGTCCCGTCAGGTGAGCTACAGGTACGGCTTGGGAGGAAGAGAGACGTACAGTTTCCGAGTCCCATTCATTCTCAAACTTATGTTGGCCACCTAATTGAGCCAGCGCTGCGGCAGCACTTGCGGCCGGTAGCTGCGAACCGCCCACACGTTCATCAAGATGCCTCGGCGTTACGGGAGCACTTGACTCATCGCGGAAGAATGCATGGCGGTCGTGTTGATAAGCTTTGGCTGGGTCGACACTTGATTGAGGTGGGCCGGTGGAATTTGGAGCCTGTGGTCTATCCGAGGGCGGGGTATTGATCATGAGCAAGAAGCTCTCTTCCGTAGCTGGGAGCTTTGATATATAATGTTCGGGGTGCGCTCGTCGAATATGCTCCTGCATCGAACGATATCGTTTCTCCTGTTCATCGAAAACCGATGGCCAAATCAGCCCCTACGAACTTGTAACACATTGCTTACGAGCGCAGAGCTACCAAGCTAGCTAAAATACCTAGCTGTGTGTGCGTCGAAGGGGGGACATGAGAGAGAGAGACAGAGACAGAGAGGCCGGGAAAGACTCACGCCGATGCACCGCTTCCGACAACTCGAGCCATCCTGGTTGCGCAATGGGCAAACCACCTCATTGTTGGCATCGGCGATGGAGAATGAAGAAGTCAAGGAGGATCGAGGCGGCATCTTGAGCTGTTACTCAACCCCACCATGCACTGGCTGGTCGGGTTGGAAGCGGGGGGTTTTCTCGTGAGATTGATTGATACGCTGTTGTCGATAAGGCCCAAAGCGATAGCTGCGTCCGTATCTAATAAGGACCGACGGAGTCATTCAACTCGAAGCTTTCTGGATAGCTGACGCGAAGAGCTAGGTGCAAATCGTCGCAATGCTGCCGAGGTAGCTCCCGCGCTTCTTCCTGGCTGTCTAGGTGTTACATGGAATGTTTCGAGGATGCGTGGGCAGGAAGTTGGCAAGCAGATGTGTGTAGAGAGGTCGAGTGGTAGGGGAGGGAGTGACCGGGGACCTCAGGTAGCGGGGGTGGTCTGGGTAGGCAGGTCTTCTGGGGCTCATGGGGCTCCTGGGCCTGCTGGGGAGGGGAAGGTCTGGTCGGGAAGGTCTGGTCTGGCTGAAAGCAGCAATACCTGTTTGGGATTTGGGAGAGGTACTTTGCCATTTGGCGAGTCGTCACCACAGCGCAGTCAAAGGCGCACGGCACTACAACATCCGCCGTACCATGTGCCTTGCACTGCCCGTCCCTGTGGGCTCTTGGTCCGTATCTGTCCGTATAAAGAAGGGGGACAATGAGTGTTAGTAGCGTGTGGCCATGGGGTGTTCTGGCTGGGTCCAGGGGTGAAACAGCCGTGACGGAGGCAAAGCAAAAAGCTGAAGAGATCGGGCGGCCAGGCCGGACAGACAGCTTCAAAAGCTTTCAACCAAGGTCAATGGGCTGAGTGGCGACGGAATAAGCAATAAGCTTGATTGCGGTTGAAAAAGACACACACATACTGACATACCTATGTACGTACACACCAGGGCACGGCAGGGCACGGCATGCATACCTACATACCTACCTCGATACCTCCAGATACATACCTAGCTCGCCTAGGTAGATAGATGGTCTATTCAATCAACCCTTGCTTGCAGCGACGGCGGCGGCTAGGGGCACTACGGTACAGAGCTCCAACGATTCGAGCAAGACGAGAGTCTACATGTGCAAGGTTCCTTAGTTGTCCCGGCTCTTCATTGGCCACTTGCCGTCGCTTGGTGCGTAGCGGAACTACAATACCGAGTACGTAGCATGGCCAGCTTTCTTTCTGACTCGATCGAGGATCAGCCGGGACATCTCTTTGATGGTTGGTTGGTTGTTGCTTGTTCCGGTGGAGTGCGTTCAACTTGGAAGGGACCAAATACCTACTTGGGTAGTGGGGAAGTAGATAGTCGAGGTAGTGATATGTACAGTAGAAAGCAGGGACGGGGAAAGGCTTGTGATGGTTTGATTGACGAATAACAGCACACTGAGAGAGCCAGTCCTTTATGACCTGCTCTATTAGGTACTATCGATATACTTCGAGTTGGGCAGCATGATTCTCTCATTCTCTCTCTACCCAGCGACCCTGAACGGGGCCTATAAGTTATCTTGGGAGGTGCTGGTATCTCACCCCCATACCTAGTAGGTAGAGCTTCGGACCCGCCTATTTGGAATACCACCATACAGAATACCACAACAAAGCTTTCTTCAAGGGGAGCTCTGGATCAAAGGTGTCGTGTGACGACCGGCGCAGGGTAGAGCTCCTCAAAGGAGAGCCCTTGTCTCACGACACCAGACCCGACCTCTGCCCGACCCAGACGCACAAGCGGGATGCCGCTATCTCTCCATCGCTCCCCTTTGCTACTGTTATTATGTGCGATAAGGGCTGCATGACCTCACCGTGGTCTTCCACGGTCTGCCGTGGTGCTCGAGGTGCAGGGCAGAGCGTTGCTTGCAGAAGCTTCAAAAGGAGGGGTTCTTGAAGTGGGTAATGGGGATGCCGAAATCCTGGCACCATCGCTGCTCGTCCACCCCTAGCCCAGCCTGCGAGCTCTTGGAGTGGCTGGACTCATCGAAGCTCGAAGCCCCGCTCAATTCACATCCCTGTCGGTCACAAGAGCTTACATGTGCGAGCATGTGTACTCGGATGGGTGCTCTAATGGGTACCTCGCTCAGTACATGTACTGCCGGTAAATCGCTGTACTCTCCTCTCTGTCTCCTCCTACGCAGTAGGTAAGTACAGTCCTTCTCAGAAGGTCAATGAGTACGAACCAGCACTACATACTAGCAGACTTTGTCATCGTACTCTGATTGTAGTAAGTCGGGCTGTTCTCCGCTTACGTGACCTTGGCAGAGCCTCTTACTACGAGAGTAGTACGAAACAGCTCCTCTGCTACCTGTCAGCCCAGGGAGGAAAAAGCCAGGGGCAAAGCTTCTTAAGTATGTTCGTTTCTCATCGGCGCATAGTTTAGTATTGCGACGACGACCCTTTAGTACCTCCTTTCCATCATCTACCGGATTACCAACATTGGTAACGTGTGCGCGGGCCACGTGATTGGTCTCCAGGAACATCGCGAGTTCCCGGGCGTCGACATATCAATGGTAGAGTAGGTACCTACTCGCCTACCTGCCTGCACCTGATAAGCTCCACTGGCAGCCCGCAAACTTCCCTAAGCTGGGGTACCTAGGTATCTACTCTACTAGACAGCCCGATATTGCCTATCTTAGTATTCTCTACGGAGCTATTCTTTGCTCTCTGAATTGATGCTGAGACTACCTACCTAATGCAGCTATTCTCTTTGTTATCTAGGTGCACTCACATCTTTATCACAGGGTCTTCGGTACTGCACAGGTACGATGATTTGTGCCCCTCTTCAGCTCAGGTAGCTTACAAGTATGTACATACTTCGTAGGCAAGGTACGTAGGTAAGTTTAATCTCAAATTTTTCAGGGTCCAAAACCGAATTACGTCAAACTTCCAGATCTAGTAACTGTGGGGAAGAATTAGTGCCTACTGTAGCGTACACAGCAGAGAATACCAACCAGACCGACTAGGTACCTGCCTGCCTGGGTCCCCTCCCAGGTAAGTATGTACAGAGTATGTAGATCGATAAATTCCTAGGTACTTGTTGAACCTTTCCGTCTAAGATCTTGATATTAAGTAGAAGCTCCAGTGGTAAAGCACTTGCCCTATGGATCCTCACAAATCCGGACTATTATTCATGTGGCAATTCAAACCTCTACATGTGCTTACATTCTCTACCCCTTCTCCTTAGAATCGGTCCATAGTACCTGTGTATGCAGGTAAATATCAAGACCCCAGGTGTTCTGTAGTTAGGTTAAGGTGGATTAGCCAACGTACCAAGACGCTATCAGCAAGTCTAGGTATGTTTGATGAATTCGAGAGAGAAAAAAAGGACAGCACAACTAATCAGGTTGAAATGACCACCTCAGCCGTATGATGTAAATGGCTGGATATAGTCGTAAATCGGTCTAACGAAACCAAAGTGAGCACTTACCTACCGGTAGGTAGGTACCTAGTTAGTCATTTACCAACAGCCACTAAGCCACTAAGCCTCAAAATCTCTCTGTCTCAAGCAGAGACAAGTCTTCATCTCCGCAATTAACTGTTGCAATCTCGGTAGCACAAAATCAAGTTTAAGTTAACTGAATGAATACTCTAATTGGCTAATTCTAACCCGAGTAGTTGTTTGTTATTCCAAGTCCTGAACTCCAAAACTCAGGACGAATCTGATAATCCCGTTCATAGCTCGTACGCTACAATGCAGTGTATGTAGTCTAGTCTCGTAATTTTCTCTACTTCGCCACGAAAGAGAGTCGTTCTTATATGCTTCGTTCTTATATGCCCGATAATCTCGCCCTAAATAGCCCCAATGGGAGCTCAAGCAAGATAAGTTTTCCAGCCCCAGTACGCGGCAGCAATGGTTCCTATCACCATTGTCCATCTCCTTAGACCAGTGCGGATTTCGCTCCTAAAGATCTCTTCCATGGCCTTGGAGTCGTTCGATCGTGGGAACTCAATGCCCTTCGGTACCTCGCAATCAAGTGCTTTGCACTACAGGTTGTAAAGTCAGTTAAACTTTCTTACTTGATTTAGCATTATCTTAAGAGCAAAGCTAAATCGCTCCAGGTAAAGATATATGCATAAACGGATATCTTCGTGACCCAGCAAAACACTAGTAGAAGAGAAGTAACGTTCACTTACTAAAGGCTCCCAACCGTCTCTGACATCAAAGAATACTAGCTTCTCTGGAGGTACATGCTCCTTAAGAAATGCAAGATGCCTTTCCCATACCTGACCCTCTTGGGCACCACCTGCTGTCTTCCTTGAGGGGAATACCTCACCCCAACGGCCATTTCGCATCGCAGTCGTCCAAGCGCTGAAGTGACGCATCTGTGGCGTGAAAGGATTAGTAAACACGGTTTAAGGGCTGAAGTAAAATCAAAACCCGGGCATACCGCTCTATGAAACGGATTGATGAGTGAACATGGTCAAGCTTACCGGATTATTGAACATCAATGCTATGCTGAAAAACCAAACCTGGGCATTGCTAGCGGTCTTGTCTAGCGACTCGGCCCATTTGTCTGAATCTCGGACGGTGCAGATGACTTTGGCATCTGGGTATAATTTTATTAACTCGGGCACGAAAACACATGCCGGCGTATCCGTGACTGCTACGTAGCCGTTCATGAGCTTCTCTAGTTCCGTCATGACAAAGGTCTCATCCTCGGCGCTGCGAATCGGTGTGTGCTGTAAGATCTTGGTCCATGTTTTGATGTTATAGCTCTCGCCCTTGCTGACCTGGGTGCCGCAGTGATGTACGGGACCGTCGAGGAGGATTGATAGAGCCTGGCTAAACGATGTCGTTCCCGTCCTCGGGAGACCAGCTCCAATAACCTGGAGTTTCTTCCCGGGCTGTGGTTTAGATGCCTCTTGACCCATATTCAATTTTGTTATAGGGGTTTTGTCGAGAGTTGTTACAGGATACCGTAAGGATGGGGAATCGGCCGTCACGAACTGAATTACTTGGGAAACAAGGATAACTACGGGCAACTAGCTTATGTACGCAACAGGCAGATAGAAGACTTTTATAATGAGATTGAATACTCGTACGCAGCTAGATTTTCTTACTAAGGCTCGAGAACGCGCGGTGTGTGGAGTTTATGGAATACCTAGTTTATGGAATACCTAGTTTATGGAATACCTAGTTTATGGAATATGCATGCAGCTGGATTCGCAGGATCCAATGACGCAAAGTAATTCAGACCCTAGACCACATCATGGTGAAGGATTCGGTTGAGAAAGAGATAGTCTCGTCAAAGCCCCCTGTCATCAGATAATAATCTGGAATAGCAAGGCCAGGCAGGGTGGGTAGCTTATGTTGCAATCCTCGCTCCCAAAGTTGTCATTGGGCTAACGGGTTCCGCCCAGTGGACCGCTTGCCCGCGCAGAGCACGAAGGCGGTAGCGTGGCCCAAGGGCTCTGATCTTCGAATTGTCTTTCCTAATACATACAAAATTACATTGAAACCACTCGTTTCTACACTACTAAGTATCTTGCTAGCATCGCAGTTCGAACTACGGTAGGGTCTCGTAGGGTATGGCTCGGACCCAAAATTCTCCGGAGTATGTTTCGTTGCCCTGTTCACCCTGTCTGCCCTGGCATAAATCTTGGGTATTCAGACAAGGTAATGATCAGCCATATCATGCACACTGATTGTTGTTGGATAGGACATCCAAATGCGTCACTCCGAGCAGAGGAGCCAATTAAGTAATCATACCAGCAGAGAACCCAGTGCTCTTCATCTGACAAAAATAGACGTTATGTAAACTACCAGGTTCTAAAAGGGTCGAACCAATTAAAGACTTAGCCCTTACAATTCACACATGCATAAATAATATGCGAAGTCGGTTGGCTGTCTCTGGCTGTCATCCCGTCGAGGCAAACGCTAATAATAATTCTTCACCTCTGCTCTGAGATCTGAATGTCTCTCTACTGCAGCCATTCCCTACCTGTTACCTGACTGTAGAAAATAAGGAGCCATTCCATTACACCCGGCAGTTTCTGAACGAAGGAATAGTGTTACTGGGGTTCACCCCGCCAAGCCCGGTAATGCCATTCGCGCTATATGTACTAATTGCCTAGCCCCAGTGGGATCCCGCAACTTATGCCGCGACGTCCTTGTCAGATTGTAGGTAACATTGATGAGTGGGAGACCTTCTACGGTATTTGTCAATGCTTAGCGTAGCAGCGTAATTTGTAACCCTTTTCGATAGTTCATCGTGAATGTGGGATGATTGTCCTCGCTTAATAAGCTGAATACGGCCACTTATGGTGTTACTCAACATACCGCACATAATAAGGCGCAATGCTGTACGTAGTATGTGAGATAGAAACGCTCGTATCCCAGAGAAAGGGGTAGGACCAAGGCAGCGACACAGTTTCTCGCGCATCACCTTTTGTTATTCGCGCGCCACGCTAAACCTACCATAGCAATTGTTGGGTCTCTGTCTACAACCCCCCTATTTTCCCATACAAATTGGGTTAATTGCAAACATACCCTTAACAGCGATTATAAAAATAGTTATTTTTTATATTATTATTTAAGAAGTATACCCTTTAAAAAATAGCTAAATTAGTTAATCTTTTAAGTTTAAAACTTTTATAATAAATAAATTACTATTATATTTATTAATAAAAATATTCCCTTTTAAAAGTGCCCTATGATTTATTTTTTAACCTCCTTTAAAAAAGTAACTTACTTATTAATCTTAATATAAAATTACCCCTTTTACTACTTATTTAACTAACCTTTAAAGTTAAAGATAATATTTATTAAATGTATATAATTCTTATTACTTTTAAAAATTTTAAACTAATTATTATAAAGCTATTATAATACCTTTTAATAATAATATTTTATCCTTTAATATTAAAGAAAGCTACGTTTATAGTTTTAAGTTTTTTTTTTTTTTAAAAGCTTTAAAAGTTATAATATTATTATTTAATAGTTAAATTTTATAATAGTAATAATAAAAGTAATATTATTAGCTTTACCTATTTATTTAAATTTATATTACCTTTTTTAACTATTATTTTTTATTAAAAAGGAATCTAGTTATTTATAATAAGCATTTAAAACAAATTAAAAATATTAAAAGTATATATAAAGTATAAAATAGTTAAAATTAAATTATTTTAAAGTAGCTTATATAGTTTTTAAAGCTACTATTTATTTTAAAAGTTATTAATTAATAATAAGGGGTTAAATTATATAAAATTAATTAATAATTATTAATAAAATTTAAAGTCCTTTATTTTAAAGCTTTATTTAAGCTTTAATTAAATTTTATAAAAATTATTACTTTAATTAAAAAATAATAGCTATTAAAAGAAGTTATAGTAATAAAGAATATTTTATTACTTTATAAAGTTATTAATATACTTAAATAATAATTTATTAGTTTAATAAGCTTTAAAAGCTATTTAATATTATTTATAAGCTTTTTTAAAAGTATATTATAAAACCTTTATTTTTAAAGCTTAATTATTAAATATTAATACTTTATTTATAATTAATTTATAATATATTTAATATTTTTATAATTATTTATATTTAACCTTTTTTATTATAATTAGGAATAGTGTTACTTTATATAATTAAAGGCTATTAATTTAAAGATTATAAAGGTAAATCTTTAATTTAATATATAGACTTTTAATTTTTAAAGTTATTTATATATTATAATTTTTATATTTAATTATATAATAATAAGCTTATTATTAATATATTTATTAATAAATAAAAAGATAAGTAATAATTTTTAACTAATTAAAAAATTTATTATAAAGGTTATTTTAATAGCGGAAAGCTTTATTTTTAGTTTTATAATAGGCTATATAGTTAAAAAGGGTTAAAACCCTATTAATATTATAATTAACTTTAAAAAGGTTAAAAGCTTTATAGTATTAATAGTATTAATATTTTATAATAGCTTTATTTATTATTAATAGCGGTAAAAGTAATAAGGCTTCGAACTTTTTATTATTTATATAATTAAGCTTTTATTATTAAGCTAGCTTTATAAGCTATTTAATATTTAAAGGTTTAAAGCTTTAAGGTATAGTTCCTTTTTAGCATTATTTAATATTAATTTTAACATTAGTTATAATATATTAAATATAAAGCTATAACTATACCTTTAATTAGGTTACTTTAATTATATTATAAATACCTTTAACTTTATTTATAATAATAATTAAAGGTATTAAAATATTAAGTTTAAGGTATAACTTTTTAACTTTATTAAATGTTTAAATATATAAAGGTTTAAAGTTATTATTTAATATTATAAAGGTTATATTAAAGGTTATATTTAATATAATTATATTAATAATTTTAAAAAATAGCTTATTAAAGGTATTAACCTTATATATAGCATTTAATAAAATAACCTTTAAAAATGCCTTTTAAATTAAAGAATACTATTTTAATAATTAAATAAGATTATATATATAATTATTTTAAATTTTTAATTAATATTATACTTTTATTTTTTATAAGGTATAAAAGATTATAGCATTATTTATATAAATATTTTATTTTTTATATTAAAGCTTATTGATAATATTTCTTAAGTCCTATTTAATAATTATATTAAAAGGATTTAATGTTATTATTAATTTATATATTTTTAAGGGGGGATAAGATTATTAAAACTGGTTTTAATAATTTTATAAATCTTTTTTATTATTTATTTTTAATAGTAAAGAATTATAAATAAAAATAGGAGGTAGTTATAATAAGAATAATTAATAATAAAGGTTTAACTATTTTAATATTTATAAAGCTTTATTATACTTTTAAATTAATAATTAATTTTAACATTTAAAGTTTTTTTTTATATAATAATAAACTTATAATTAATAATAATAGTAATATATTTTATTATATATTATATATATTAATTATTAATTTTATTAAAAGTATTATATTTTATAATTATAAAGCTTTTATAAAGTATATATATTTATTAAGCTTTAAAGCTTATAATAAAGGTAGGAAATTAACTATTAAAAGGTGGTATTAGAAATATAATATTAAAAATTAATAATTTAATAATTTAGCTTAAAAAAAAGTACAATTAATATAAAATTAATAAATAAAGTTAAAAATTATATACTTTTAATAAATATTATAAAGCATATAATGTTATTAATAGTTTAAAATATAATAAAGGTAATAAATAAAAGTTAAAAATAATAAATAGAAGTTAAAGGTAATTAATTAAAAGTTAAATAATGATAATTATTTAAATTAAATAGGGCCTATAAATATTTAATTAATTAAATAGCTTAAATTTAAAAATAATAAGTTATATATTACTATTAACCATTATTTTTAATATATACCATTATAACTTTTAATAGATATTATTTTTCCAATAGTTATTATGGGTCCTATTAGGAAATATAAGGGTTATACTTCGAAAAGGGCTAGATTAGGTGTGCCAAGGACCGTTATAGGGGTATTAGTACGTACTGCCCTAGCAATTGCTATGGTAGGTTTAGCGTGGCGCGCGAGTATTAAAAGGTGATGCGCGAGAAACTGTGTCGCCAAGGCAGACATAATTCTACAATATAGTACCTATAGCTAGACCAAAAAAAACCCCTCATCTCGTCATTGCGTAGTCAGCCTACTATGTGGTGTATATCAGTATACACAATCCTAGTAGGTAGTAATTCTCTGGTAACGATAAAGCTGGAACGAGTCGGGAGGATTCTTACATCAATACTAATTAACAAACTTACATAATGAACACTGAGCGCAAAGTTCTTTGGCCTAAGCACGAGTAGCGTAACGATACTAAGCCAAAGAGGTTCAAAATTGCGAGGTTGCTCAGTCGGTAACAAGTTGGCCAATCTGACAGTTACTAAGTGAGAAAAGCCTAGGTAAATAACACTGGAGGCAATCGGCGATTCAACAAAACAGCTAAAGTGTAAATAAGAAGAAAACTCTAGTAATGACTACCTGCGATGACAATAACTTTACACATTCATAGTTCAATAATACACTTGACTAGGTTGCGTCAATTGTTTGGAATATCAACTATGAGTCTTGTCAGAGTATCACTAAGACCAAGAACGTAAAGATGCTGAAGATCATTGCCTGCTGACGAGACCAAATAGTAGACAGCCTCGAAGTATACCTAACGGGCTACCCACAGTAGTTGCACATGCAGTGCCAATGTGGGTTAGGGACGTGTAGGTACACCTGGTCGATACGGCATGCATTAGGTAGGTAGGTAGACATAAGGATAGATATGCTTGTGTACAGTAGTTTCAATGCACCTCAGTATCGATGATACTGGTATGCACGACAGAGGGAATATACGATGTACGATATACGATGTATAATGTCGGCATACAGGAATAGCCTCATTGATCTACTTCACATCGAGTGCCATGCAGCTGCGGCTACATCACCGAGATTTGCTGCGCGCATGTACATGGACGACAAGCAACCTGAGATGTAGCGAGAGATCCGGTCAATCTCTAAGCACCTCGGAAAGGGTTCCCCTATTCTCGAGTGCTGGAATGCGCTCATCGTAAGGAGGTGCGACTTGGACTCCATATTACTTGGAAGTGTAATGTTGGGGTATTCAAGATTCTGGGGTGTGATCCGGACTGCTTAAGGAGATCTTGCGGGCTGTTTCAAACCGGACTAACTACCTAAGTAGGTACCTAGGCTAGGTAGCCACTTACACCATTACTTATGTCACGGTAAATATACCAGTGAATTGAGATACGAAGCTCCGAACCATCACCACCATGTTTATGTCCCTACCTAGGTACCTACCTACCTACCTATGTAGGCAATACTTACTTAGACCACATGATGTGTTTATCAGGTGCAATTGCCAATAGCATTGAGAAGAAACCCAGTTAACGATTTGGAGCAAGGCATCTGTTAACAATGCACGCTAGCAGCCGGCTCTAATTCTTGACTACGGTGACTTGGAGCTTCTAGATAGGTAGCGTACCTATCATCGATTAGCACGTTGTCTACATAGTGAAGAGCGTCTCTCTAGGTAGTCTAGAATACCTACCAAGTACGAGGAGTGTTCCATGCTGACCGAAGCAATATAAAGCTGAACGGTGGGAGTAAGAAATCACGCGATTCTCTAATGTACCCACGTAGCGTACACGCGCGGTACGGTGGACATGCGAGGCATGCTTACCTTATCGACCACCAAAGCCGAGAACGATCACCGCAAGATCCGCCGACACTGAGACCTGCCTGCTCGCCTGCGTCGCTGGGATCTCGCTTGCATGTTCCGTCTCGTTTCCACTTGCCCATCTTTTGCCAAGTTCCTAGTGCGGATTCTAGAACCCTCAGGCCAATGAGCTGCCAGCCCTGGCCGTGCCTCAGCCATCAGCTACCGGTCTGGGTAATATATTTGTATATGCTTAAGCATTGAGCATGAATGACCAACGGTGGCCACATGGTACTGCTGAAGAAAAGACCTGGGATGAACAAGACGTCTGACGAACCACGGTTTCTGCTGTTATACGTCTACCTCCAAGGTATGATAGCGTTGTTGTTGTTGTTGCTGTTGTCGTCGATATTATCTACCTCTAACCTCCGTGCCAAGTTTCCTGTTTATTCTCTTCAACTCTGCTGTAAATATCCTACTCCCTACAGTCATGGATAGCTCATCGTCCCATTATTCAATTTCGTCCTTGTGACCCCGCCATACCTTGATTAAATGACACTATCGTCGGACAAGCCCAGAACATCCGCCTTCAACCACTCACCTCAACCGCCCAGGTCTATTGTAGTATGTACATTGATTGCGTGTTTGTGTACGTGGTACATGTGTTGCTTGTGTGTGCCTGTGTCCGGCTGATCAGCCACTACCGTGTTTCAATTCCACCCTTGTTTCTTTTCTCATCCGCAGCGAAGTCCGCAGTCCATCCCGGCGCTGATTTTCTTTTTATAACCTCGTCTTCCTACTGTATATCCGGGAGGTGAGGTCATCATCCAAATCCTCCAGGGCCTCCATCCTTCAGCACTGAGAGTGGCTCTCATCAAGGAGCCTCCCACATGACTGACGACCTCATGACTTTGCGCTGCTGCAACTTGCGTCGTATGAGGAAAGCTCACCTTCACCTGGACCTGGCGTCAATATCTCAAACTTGCCTATCATGGCGTTGACCGTGAAGCATCTCAACTCGGATGCTTCATTTCTACTCTCCTTCGAGCCCGTCATCCCAGAGTCAATTGCCGACTCAGTACTACCACATCCGTTCACAATACTGCTAGACCCATGGATAACAGGCCCATCGACGATATTCCATCCCCGGATCTCCAATACAACACAGAAGCATCCAGCCTGCATATCATCGCTGACGGAGTTGCTGCGGCCGCCGGACCTCGTCATCATCAGCCAGCATAACCCCGATCACTGCAATGAGGCTACACTGCGCCAGCTACCCGCGAATGGGAGCACACAGATCCTTGCCGAACCAGCATCAGCACGCATAATCCGAGGCTGGAATTACTTTGACAAGAACAAAATCCGAACCATCAGACGATGGGAAGACCCGCGTATAACAGGCAAACAGTCCGTGATTCGGATTCCGGTTCCGCCCGTGCAACCCAACGGAGCAGAGGGTGAAGTCACCATCGCCTTTATTCCCCAAAAGCGTGACCTAGCCGGCCTGCACGGTGCTGTTGGTATCACATACAGATCTCCGCCTACGCACGATGTAATCAAACAGGAAACCCTGACTAAGGTTCTCACGCCGCCGTCAACGCCGGAAGCACAGGGGCAGATCCCGATTGGCACACAAACGGGAACGCCAATAATAGTACCTACAGGAGACACGTTCCTACTACCTCCCACGCCTCCTATCTCCCCTATTTCGCCCATATCGCCGACCTCATTGAGATCCATTCGCTCTGCTTCGACCTTGATTGCATCACCAACGCACTCTCTGTATAGCCCTCACTTCCGCCCAGCTACCTCTTCCCAGAACGAACCAGTCCTGCCGCCGAGCCCGTACAGCCTCAGCCGGCCGATCTCACTGATTTTCTCCCCCCATGGGATCCAGTACAGCCATCTCGCCGCTTATGCGACATCGCACCTCGTCGCCGAAGCAGCGCTACCACTAACAGCTCTTTTACATTGCATGGATAGTATCAACAATCCGTGGTGGCTAGGTGGGAATATCTGCGCGGGCGTGCCCTACGGCGCCGAGATTGCCTCGAAGCTAGGGGCGAGAGTATGGGTAAGCGCACACGATGGAGAGAAAGACGTGCGAGGCTTGGCAACAGGGATGCTCAAGACACGGCGGTGGAGAGACGAAGAGATTGAAGGCGCACTTGTAAACGCTCAAAAGATGGATCGGCAAGATAAGAGTGAGCGAAAGGGTCGTACCAAGATCTTGCGCCTAAAGTGCGGTGAAGAGATCCTCATCTCTGGGACGGGGCAACTATGGCGCACTAATACCTCCGCCGGCGGTGTTCAATTAGACGAAAAGCCCGCCACGGAAACCTTCACTGCGCCGTCCCCGCCATCACCGCCGACAACGACGATAATGGCGATGACAACAAGCATAACTAAGCACCAAGGAAAGTACGACAAGAAGGGCCTAGAGTCTTTGACACTCTCGCAAGTCCAGGACGTCATGTCACCCAAGAAGCTCGGCATCTATAAGGCGCTGCGGACCCTGGACCTGATCAAGCCATCGCCCAGGCTGATCATAGAGCACGAGGTCACGAGCGCGGTGATGCTGCCTATATCTACCCAAAGTTCAGCCCAAGTGAAGACGGAAAAGGAAACAGAGAGCTTAGAGGCGGTATCCAAAAGGGATTCTAGCAACGCCCGATCCGTGGCATTCGCGTTGCCCACACAGTCGTGAACAAGCACGCGCACACCCCCCCCCGCTTTGGTTTTTCTTCTTCTTTCCTTTTGTTCCCATGTTACTACGATCCATTCTATGGTCTGGCACGACCAATGCGCACATGGATAGGGACGAGAAGGAAGGATACCATCACAGACAGTCCATGACAGGCGTTAGATCTGAGCTTTTCTTGCAGGGTAATTTGGTTCTTTGTAGCGTTCAGGTGGCCAGGCATGGTATTTGATGACTAGACGGACGATTCCTCATGGAGAGGATGTGGCTGTCCCGGAGAACTCAGGGCAAAACGGCCACCTGCAGCTCCAGTGCTTGGTTGGGAGTTTAGTACATAGAATACTTCGAGATTGATGACATAATTGTTCATGCCTAGGTGAAGCATACAACAGTGAGATTTATTTTGATCATGTTCATCTCTTTTGCAGCCTCGGTGAATATTGCTGCTTGATATAAAAAATTGGAATAAAGTAATTCAAAAACGCGCACAATCTGCTCGGTTTTTGCCCTGTTTATGTTCTTCCACATTTCTCATGAGAATCATCATGTCTTGAAGGAAAGTTGCTGGTATCTACTATGTATGGTGGTATCTCAGGACAGTTAAGATAAGACACGAACCCCGCAGAAACATGAGTGTTCCCTCCATTAGAGTATCGGAACTGATTATCGACTTCCCACCCTACATATACAGCCTTCCAAATAGTATTTAGACTCTCATATAACCCATTTCCTCCTTGAGGATAGATGGAGCAACTAGGCCGATGAACAGTTGATTAAAAGGACGCGAGCTAGCGGAATAGATTTATTTCAGTTGTTTCAATATCTCAACTAGGAAATCCTCAAATCCTAGCGTGATATAACCGTCGCGGTCATCATCGTACTTCTTGAAAACGTCTGTCATGCGTTTGAGACTGATACAGGCCTGAACAAATAGGTCGAAGCTCATCACGCCTTCACTACGCTTGTCGTATGTGTGGAACAATAGCTCTACAAAACCAGGGCTCAGGCGGTAGCGGAAGGCGACAAGAGCGTTGGAGAACTCGTCGAGACTGATGTTCCCTGAATGATCAACGTCGAATCTATCGAATAGTGTCCGCCACGAGGCTAGAAAGGACCATAATCCACAGAACTCCTCGAATCCGATTGTGCCTGATCGGTCGCTATCAAACATTCGGATCATCATCCGCACCGTATGTGGGTCGAACGCCGTCCAGTCACCGTTCACGAGTGCTGCTGAAAGTTCGCGCTCCGAAAGCTGGCCTGTGCCTGTTGCATGATTGTTATGGTTAGCACTAGTTGAGGCCAAGTTTGGTGATTTGAATCATGTGATGAACATCTATGCGAATTCATAAAGTTGGCCAGCTGCGTGCGCTCAAGCAAGTTGCCGAGGTAAAACCAACTAGACTCGGCCGCTTCCACATTGGCAGCACAATAAGTGATGTTCAGGGGGAAACAGAGATACAAACACACCATCTTTGTCTACGGCGCGAAACAATGGTAGAAGACTCGGGTCAGCGGCACCATCTTGGGGTACCGGTGAAGGAGGGGGCCTATTCGAGGGCGGTGGCCGGTTGTGCGCAGCTGGACGCGGTCCAGTGGCCTGAGGGGGCGGCGACATGGGCGAATGTGACATTGAGCCGTAATGTGACTGATTTCGGTGGCTAGGTTCTTGTCTATAATCCTGCCGAGAATCCTGCCTTCTGTTGGGATAGGTTTCGTGGCGGGAGGGACCAGGCACAGGTGGCGGTGGTTTAGACTGGTAGTGAGAAGCTGAAGGTCTAGAGCCGCCTTTCTGTAGATTAAGGAGCTATGTGTCAGCTGTGCCGCATGACAAGAAATTCACTTTGGACTGTGATGAACTGCAAGCAAATTCTGTTGCGACAAGATGTAGATTTCAACAGCTATAGATGATGATGTCGTCTTTGTCGTTGTTGGCGGATAGAAGAAGGGAGAGAATGGAAGGGAGGTTTGGCTGCCTGGAAAGGGCGCAAGCGCGCACACACACACGTACGCACCTGTTCTGGCTCTGCAAATCTATAGACATACATATGTTAGCCTGGCCTCGTGTTTGATCCCCAATAGACAGGCGCTGGTCGCTGTGTCATATGGGCGCAAAGGACATGGGAGGGAGGGGATTGTGATGTTGGTGGGGTAAGTGGTTAGGTATGACTTGGAAGTATTGAGACTCACCTTGGCAGCTCGTCTGGGTTGTATGGCCTATTGTATGCCATGCTGGCGGCTTCTAATTTTTTCGCGGAGGAAGATCAAACCTCGAGCGGAAAGGCGAGCAGAGTGACAGTCAAGGGCCGGTTAGGTAACGACTGGAGAAAACGAGATTGATCGTCTGGGTATCATGGGAGGCTTGAAAGGCGAGGGAAAGGTGCGACGCGGAGGAGGGCCGGTAGACTTTGATTTTATCTTATTTTATCTTGCAAGCAAGCTGTACAGCTACCTACCTAACCTAGGTAGTATCTACACCACTGCGCTTAGATAGTACATATGTCCTTTATTTCTACCTAGGCCGTACCTACCTAGCTCGCCTAGGTAACGAGAGGGGCCAGGCGTAAAACTGGATCGTTCCCGTCTGTATGCACCTGCCGCAAAGTACTAAGGTTAGGCAGGCTACGGAAGGGGGAAGTACCTTCAATTGTTTGTGCGGTACTTACCTTATGTACGTATACATACGTAGGTAGTATGTACTTCCTACAGACAATGGGGAACAATCTGCAATGAAATGAAGAGTCCCAGTGCAAGTTGTTCACAAATGAGCCTCAATCTATCCTATAGATACTATCCTGGTAGTACGGTACCTACTCTGTAGCCTGTTTTACGGTGAAATCCGAATGGCTGCGCCCTGTGGACGTCATCGGCTTGGTCGACAGCCCTCACCGACTACCGCGGCCCGCAAACGACATGGCAGTTCGTAAGAAGCAAACGAGGCGGTGCTCTTCATACTCAGGTGGTGTATCGGGCCCTCAGACAGAAGAAAAGAAAGAAAAGCTGAAGAAGGACGAGGTAATGCGTGATGCTGGCAAAGACGCCTCACGAGGTTGACTATTTAGCTGGGGCTGTGCAGCTGATAAGTTGATCTAATATAACACTACGAAGTACGTACCTGACTAACCTAGATTATATATCAACAGGATTGGTGGGGTTTTTACGACCCTATCCGGCATTAGGATGACTTGTTCGTCTACTCATGCGACGCGGCTACATGTAGTTGTTGCTGTAGGTGCTTCGCGTCACGTCCTCCATCGCCTGGGGATGTTGGTATATCAAGTATCATCGCCATGCTCACAGACCAAGCAATCGTCTGTCTAGTGATGCGAATCATAACCCCTAAGTACATGCACCACACATCCCCACGTGAGCCGTCAATGGGTGTCCAGCGGCCCTACTGCAAGTCATAAGGACCAAATGCCCGGCAAAAGCGGCATTGGACCCCCGAGCCCGGAGACGGGAACCCATCTTGAAGGCTAGGGGAGGTATCTACCTAGTGACGTGATACCGGTACCGACTGACAGCTCCAATAGGCGTGCCGAATGCGATGCCACTACAGATGTCCCGCAGTGTTGGATCTCTTGGCACCGCTAGTCCAGATAACGCTACACGCCTTACTAATTAACGGTAGCTCCACGGTAGGTTCGTAGGCTGGGTACGACTGCGTGATTCCGTTCGTGGGATCACGTCAGGTAGCTTACGAGTAGCCTGTTGATATGCATTACTACTCAGTCCTCTTTTCGAGTTAAACGTGTTGCAGCTAGCCCGGAAGACCCTGAATAGCTTTCTGGTATTCTATTTTTCTCAAAAGATCAAGCTGATCTACGCTGCACTCGTTGTCGACATGGCGGAGACCAATGGGATTGTGGTAGGCGCCACAGGTCATCCCGCCACACCATCAAATGCTGGAGAATTCTGGATATTCGGTTACGGGTAGGTCATCGTTGCCTCGACATATCATCCAAGCCTATCATAGAGTGATGATGAGCGACCAGACGGTCTGTCTTTCAAAATGCTGACTTGCTTACAGAAGCTTGATATGGAAACCACCTCCACATTATGGTGAGTTTTATTCTCTGAATTTCTCACCATGAAAAGCGGGAGCAAGGGAGGTTGATATTTCAATTATGGGATACAGATAGACGAATTGCGGGCTGGGTTACTGGCTACGTGAGGCGGTTCTGGCAGGTACGATGATTATAGTGAGCGTCCATTTAGGGGGTGAGGCTAATTTTTCTACCTTAGGCGAGGTATGTTACGACTCTGTCTGAGAAATTAACGGCTCCTCTTGGTTCTGGACGCAATAGCACTGAGAGCAAGCATTTGAGCTAACAGAGCCTTGTTCACCAAGCCAAGACCATCGCGGAACACCTACAGCGCCCGGCCGCGTGGTAACGCTCATCGAACGTTCCTTTTGGGCGTCTTTAGCAGATTCGCATGACAGCGCGCCTGAGAAGGTTTGGGGTACAGCGTATCGCATCAAGGCCGAACATGTGACTGAGGTTGCCGAGTATCTGGATATCCGCGAGATCAATGGGTATACAATCCACTACACACCGTTCCACCCGGCCGATGGCTCAGCCCCCATTCGCACGCTCGTGTACATTGGGACACCAGAAAATGACCAGTTCGTCGGACCTCAGGATCCACAGGCCCTTGCCGAGCATATCCAGCGGAGCGAAGGCCCGAGCGGTTTGAACCGCGACTACCTCCTCGAGCTCGAGAAGGCACTAAACCAGCTCAGCCCGGAAAGTGGTGATTCCCATGTCACTGATCTGTCGAACCGTCTTCGCGTCATTGAGCGGAGGATCCGAAGCGGTGAGGCGAAGGTTGCAGTTCATGAACCTCCAGAGTCTATCTCCCATGAGTTCACAAAAGTGAGCAGTGTAGAAGAACAGGAAGAAACTGAGAAGGTGTAACGGGAGAAGGGAGGTGACATAGGGTTGTACCATAAGAGATATAATGTGGTGTTGATCATGCGCCATAGAAGAGACAATGTACAAGTCTTAGACTAATATATGTAGAGCCAGGTACATGTCGACAGCACGTACAACTAGAGTTATGATCTGACTCCATAAATGGTGTGTGTCAGGTGACAACAAGCGCTGATACCAGGATCTGAGAGTCAAACAATATGTAATAACCTGCTATGGCCGCCAAGGTCCGTATGGACCATTCGGATCCCTTTCTGACCTTATTGGCTGACCTTGACTTTATACTTGCACTGGTTTTTCTCGACCGTTGGGGTCTGTCAATATGAATCATCTGAGCGAGTGCTATATAACTTCAGCTTTGATACGAGTAAAACTGTCTCGCGTGTTATCTGATGTCTGACCGAAGCGGGCAGATGGACTGCGTATACGGGCGTACGAGATGTTCGGCGAGTCCAGTGCGTGTAACCCGAATTTTGTTCGATGTTTTACTGCCACTGCTTCTGCCTTTAACACCCTCTACGCCGGTTTCAAGAGCAGATACATGGATCGTGACGTCAGGGTCTTTAGTAGTTTTTGAGAAGAACATTGATGAAGCAGATGCGATTGTTTCTAGCGTCTGGGAAATAGCAATGAATAGGAGACGACGGGTAATATATATAGACGAGGTAGGGATTACTCCGGGGTTCTGAAGGGCTGAATATTAAAGCTATACGTAATAATCTATCCAGGCTACTATGGTCCATGTGGCTAAGACTGGATTCGAATAGACCACATGAACCTCGACACCCAAGGTGGGTGTTGTGAAAAGCTCAACTCCATAATCCTGTCACTACTAGCGTTTATTGTGACTCATGTGAGATGGCTAAAGGCACGTATAAGATCAGGAAACACAGGTGTAATTGCTCATGGCGGAATTTCATATCCCTAAATGTAGTGAATTGGTTTGTACTGGACAGTATCAACAGTAGACACAAGCAGCAACAGAGGCTGTACGTAACCGTTGTCACATGCTTCGTTCGGAGGATTGACTTCTCCCTCATGTCCGCCGGATCATGATTTTCTGCCGAATAAAATGCTCTGCCCACCCTGTCACCATCACATGCATATCCCCTCAGACCAACTGAGTCTCGTTTCCCATTGCTCCCATGCCCGTAAAAGATCGTGTATTCATGACTATCATGACAGAGCCCGTTTTTGAAAGAAAATTGGCAAGGAATGTAAGCAGCAGTATAATATGAAGGCTTTTGGTCTCCTTGATCATATAATGCTGTAAGGGAGAAATGGGGAGGGAGCTGGTAAGAGAAATGGAAGGGTGAATTGTAAATAACTTGTGAAAGGTAATGATAGGTTGATAAAGTTGTTGTCCTATAGAACACGGGTTGCCTTCATTGGTATCAATGTATCGCAATACTGCTTATACTTGAAGCTACTATAGCCACCCCCTTGAATCCTAAAGGAAGAGGAGGGTATTTAGTATCGGGGTGGCCCTTGAGGCTGTTGGCCACCTTGTTGCTCTGGATAGCCGTACGGTCCTGGCATACCATAGCCTAAATCATACTTGTCAATAAAGTCCAATGACATATTGCGTATGAACAAGGGCCCTGTAGCTCATACCTTGTGGCGGAGGCGTGCCATAAGCGACCATCTGTGGTGGATAGCCTCCCCTGCCGTAAGACGTCTGTGGGTACATCACCGCGGCATTTGGAACTCCGTAAGATGCATACATCTGTGGCTGCTGTGTATATCCACCCCGGGCCGGATATGAGCTGCCTCGGGCGTAACTATTCTTTGGTCCTGCATCCGAGGCTTTGTCGACGCGAATTTCTCGCCCGTCGAACCTGCCATGATTTACAAAGCGTCAGACAAGACACGCCAGTCGGAAGAGTCTACATACTCGACATTGTTCATGCTAGCAATGGCTTTTTCGGCGTCAGCCTCGCTAGTATATCGAACAAAACCAAAGCCACGGCTTCGACCTGTGTCCCTATCCTTTACAACAACCTAACGCCGGATAATCTGGTTAGTAGGAGAGTAGAGACAATCGAGGAACCGCTAATTCAACTTCTCCTATAACCCTAGACAGAATGGGGTATTTAGGGGAACGTACTGCTTCCTCAATAGGACCAAACTCTTCGAACTTCTGCCGTAAAGTTGTCTCTTCGGTGTGCCATGCAAGGCCTCTAAATGATTTGTATAAGTATACTTTGGTCAACATCACTTATTAGGTATGCGTTTTTCCCACCCAATGAATAGTTTCGCCATGCTTCTAGTAGGTTTAACTGCGCTGAACGGCCTGATAATGGAAACCTAGCTTTTAGTAAGAATACTACAGACGATTATGGTAGGTGAATTGCAGGGAACTAGTGGATGAGTTATAGAGAAGTAGACCAAAAGGAAGAAGGGTTCGTGTAATGGTAGAACATATCAAGGGAGAAGTGAGGAGCCACGAACAGCTTTATAGCGTATCACTAGCTGGTGACTTGTTTGGACGACACTTGGTAGGCTTGGTGTATGATCCGGGCAGGTGCAGTAGTATAGGGTATCGTAATATTGATACTGCCAGTTGTAGTGACTAAGGTACTATAACCGGCAATGCGATCAGAATAAGAGCTTGGTATATATGGTAATTTTGTCGAGGAAGGTATACCAGCTAAGATATGAAAATCGGCAACAAGCAGCGAATGGTAATTCGTAAGAGCCAACTGGAACCCGCGGATGGAATGAAGTCTCATGAGGGCGATCAAAAGCTTCGATCCGTCTGATTTATACTTGCATGCAATGTGATGTGCAGCAGGTAGCGAAGACCCCATTGCTTCGGCTCGACTTCCCTCTTGCTAGTCAGGAGTTATCTTTAATCGCTGACATTATCATAGACCTTGTTAGGTGCTCTGGCAGGGTTATCCCAAAACAGCCACCAGCCCGGTGAGGTCAAGTCGTGTACGCATACTTGAGGTGGGAAAGAAGGAGACGTCGTTCGAAACAAGACGTCCCTATAACAAGGTGGATGACGAGGCGCACTGGGAATTCCCTGGCTACGAGCCCAGGCGATCCAGAACTAGGCCATGAGAAGCAAGGGCATGACTTAGAGAAGTGCTAATGGTCTATATGCCAGCAACATGTACGTATTGACTACGCGAGGCCGAGTACTGCCCCCTAGACTGTGTGTTGTTGATCATCTGTGAGACTGAGATTGCTAGGATCTTTGGGTTGGGTGCTTGATAGCTCCTATGAGGCTAACGCAGTTTCGCAATCCCTGGCAAAATCGTGAAGATCGCCAAACTAGCTTCATGCTGGTTACCTGGGAAATACCATTCTTCACTTGGACGATTTCGGCATGGCTTTCTCGGCATGGCTTTCAACTAAGCACAAGTTGTTGACGTACGAAGGCATTGTATGAAAGTATTTTGCCGGCAATGCCAACCAAACATTCGATTGTCGTTGCGGGGGCGAACCTACGAAAAGGGGGGATGATTGACTATCGAGCCCTCAATCACATATTGGTTCCAAAGGTGATGATCTAGTGGGGTTCTTTGACTTAAACAACGAAGGAGGTACCTGCGGCCGCACGATGAAGTTTCTTCACTCAAAAGTCAGGCCCTGTGGTTTAGGTGGTACTCAATCTGTCGTGTAGGTACGTATTCGAGGCGGTTTCAACTGATAAATGTCACCCGGTTAGTCAAAATGCTGCCATGAATAGAAGCATCCGCCAAGCAACACACGGGCCAATCCATCGATAACGTCTTGAATCAGATCCCGATCCTAGCTTGTGGTCTATGGTAACGCTAGGTAGGCCATTGCCTAGCCACCATCAGGACTTCCCCGCGATGTAGCGAGTTGGGTAAGTGGTGATATGCAGAAAGCAGAATCCCCTACGCAACTACTTTATTCTAGACTGCGGTGCCACCAGCAACGATACCGCATCTGATATGTAATGGGTCAAGAGTGGGTCAGATTTGAGCTATAGTAGGTATGTGAGCAGAGCGCATGGCACTCCCAACTATGCGGCATTAGGCGCCTAGGAAGGGTACGAAACAGAGGGGGAGAGAATATGTTCGAGTTGATGAGAAGACAGGCCAAGCTCGGGCAGATTCGAAACGGTATGTCAAATCTGCCTCGTTGGAGAGCCTTCCAGGCGCTACCTATGAAGAAGAGAGTGCCTGAGACGATGAGACGGGCACCTATGGACGAACTCGATACACCAAGTGTTCCGCAATGCTGAAGGCTTGGCAGTAGCTGTCCACGCGGTGCTTGGATCCCCATGCATTTTTCAGACTAGATATAGCATCTTTCGAGACTTGGCATAACTCCTTGCACGCAAAAAGCTTCGAGTGAGCTGACGGGGTGTTTTCATGACGGGCGATGCTACCAAGATGGCAGTTGATGATGACGTTTACTTTTCCTAGTATCACATTGACGCAATGAGCCAGCTGGACTCCTGGATACCTGTACATTAACAGCATCTGCTTGAAATATACTACTTACCTCCTACTACTACCTGGTACTTACATGGTAGGTAAGTAAGCGTGTAGTATATAGATGTATCTATGTAGGCAGGATACCTACTTAGGTAAGGTACTTCTCATGTACTTGCAGCAGCCACCTGGTACCGAGGGAGGGATTGGCGGCGGCTTCTGAAGATATCGTCATGTGGTATTGATTTGGGTTATGACCAAATGCCGCAGGAGTGAGCACACGCAGGCCCCCCCAGTCGAGGCGTATACATGTACTGTATGCTCAGTAACTGCTAATTAGGTCTACTAGGTATAGTAACGAGGACTCTACCTCTAAGATGGGGACGGCACATCTTGAGCTTCAAAAGCTGTGGCGTAGTGGTACGGTACTGTAGGTGGATAATCCATACCTTTGCCCTACTTTCCCCTACCTACCTTCAAGGGACTGGACAAAGCAGAGGTAAGCTCTGAGGTAAGCAAAGTCGGCTTTTTTTATTTAGATATGGGGTTGGACTTGGCATGGCACTAGTGTTTGACATGTTTACTGCTGAGGCATCTAGAAAGCGTCGACGTAAGCCCGTGCCTCAATCAAACAGGATCATACTTACATAGTAGGTATGCCGCCTACACTCGGCGACCAGATACAGAAGCGCGGTAAAACATTCCGTTGGCGGGATTCGTCCACGGCATTGAGCTGCGGTCTGGTTTGCTCGCTAGACGTCCAGCGACCCTCCCCATCACGTGTAGACAGGTTGGGCTGAGATAGAGCTTACGAATCGCACCTAGCTGGATTCTGCGTTAATCGCCGCGGTGAGTTTCACCATGTAACAACGCCCAAAGGCCAGAAGCCTGTGTCATCGTACACTCCCCATTCCGGTATACTTATCATACAGCAGTATATACCTGGTATATATGTAAGGCGCCGTTATTATTGCCAGGTTCTGCCCGCTCTGGTCATCTGCCGACCGGGTCATCAACCGACATACTTACTTACTATGTATAGGCCAGCATTCGAGATCTCAAATCCCTATTGGTCAGGGCCTGGCTTCAAGACAGAACCCCCATGGTTCGTGCGCGTGGTTCATTGAGTGTCTCGTGGGGTTTCACCACTACTAGAACTACCCACTGTATGTACACACATCAGAATACATCAACTCGACCTACTGAGTATTGGCCTAGCATCGTTGAATCTACTATGGAAGCACCTACGCTCCCTGTTCATAGAGTAGGGCATCACATATATGATAGCCTCCACCAATCACGCTCGGTTTCGAAGAGTAGGGTATCAACGAACCCAATGCTTGCCTGTGTACTTCTTGGCATCCTTTCATTTCCAATTTGAGTAAGAGATCAAGAACCTAGGTATCGTAAAGGCGATTCATCCAACGTACTACCTTGCCACAACAGTCACATCACTCTAGGTATGTCATCTCAGAACAGGTGGTTGAATTCTATATACTAAGCTTTCAAATACGAAAGAGCATTGTCCGCCATGTTAGGTAAACAAGCGGGCACACTACCTAAGACATAACATATATCTAATATACCATCTGAGGTATATATGAGTAGGTACCAAAGCATACAAAACCCTTAACCGAACACATCTACATCACATCTACATACCTAGCATAGGACCGAGTACTTGATCATGCATGCAAGGATCGACTGTACAGCATCCATGTAGTATCGGTGCGCCGAAAGCGCAATTCCACCCTAAGCGACCCGGACCTGAGGTTGGCAGGCACTGACCCATGGCAGCGGCTATGGCCGAGCTTGAATGAGCCTCAATTACTGTCCAGGGCAGGCACGATACCTATTACCTTCCTCCCTACTCAAGTGCCTATCTAGGTACCTAATGTACAGCCGATAGGTCATTGTGTACCTACCTAGGTACTGTAGGTAGGTAGGTTCTCGGCCAGCCATTGCAGACATTGCCGATCATGGGGTTCATCAAGTGAGTTGATGGCTTTGCGTACCTTCGCGGACCTCGTATACGTACGCATACGTATGTGTTGAGAGTGCTCTGGGGTAGCCTTTGCCTTCCATTGCTTCATTGCTGTTGCCATCACTCCCCCTAACTGGGTTTCAGCCACTCCTCATTGCTTCACTGCGTGCTTTGAAAATGGGTCGCCAGGAGGCATCTCCACCCCCCCAGCGCCAACGCGTGCCTCACCACCGTCACCATCGTCATCGCCGCAACCACCGCTCGCCCTTGCAGGCCACGAATTACAGCCAGCCTTTGGACTTGGGAAGGTTTAGCCGACATACCCATGCACCAAGTAGCCGTGTTATTGTGGAGAGTTGGCTGGGGCAACTAACGGCTCCCGCTCCAGTTCCCGCAAAGAGGCTGGCGTCGCCAGAAACTCGAAACCATCTGGTTCACCAGAGCAAACATTTACGTTCCCAAGATAGAGACCAATCTCCCCGCTGCCATCGACGTAGACGTGTAGATCAATTGTGGAGGCCTCACTACATCCCTGCTGTACAAGGCGCTTCACCCCTTCGTCTTCTAGTCCTAGGGGAATCACCCGAGAAATCGAAGCAACAAAAGAAGCGAAAAAGCGGCAATAGCTCATTGATCAGCAGTCTAAGTTCTCGTCAAGAGATTCTAGAGTGGGATAGCACCGAGAACACGTCTAAACATGGAGGGAATACAGGCTTCAAGCGCCTAGATGAAACAGAGGTAGGCACCGTAACCGCCTCATCACTAATGTCTCACGCGAGTTTGGAGGTCCCGATCTTTGAAAAGCGGCCTAGGCGTAAGACAAGGCCGGAAAAGTACGATGCTCGTAAGCCAGAGAGTCAAAAGAGGAAGAATAAAGGGGCGGCTCAACGCGAGCATGAGAGGAGAGGCACCGGGCCGAGGAAGGGAAGGCATCTAGCCGCCGGGAGAAACGTCATGAAAGACTTCACCTCCGGGGCTGTTCTTAGCAATCGAATTACTGTGTGTGTCCTTATCTACGCCGCATGACTTACTATTTCCTCACTGATAATTAGGTCCATCCTAATCTCAAGCCTGGCCTTTTCAACAACAAGCGTATGCCAAAAGAGCATCCCAGTAAGGTTAGCTCCTCAGCAATGCATGTCAGTTGATTAATGTATTGCGAACAGTTGCCGACCTATCTTTTTCGGAAATGCCATTTCCAAGGCACCCTGAGCGAGATGTTTCACGGCACAAAGGACTGTCCAACTCCCAGGTCAGAGAACGTCGACGTGAGAGCCGAGAGCTCGAACAAATCTCTTCGTTTTTTCTACCTGCCTCTGCTGAGTCGATGCCACGTAAGTCAAAGTCGGCCAAACTCAAGGATACTGAAGTATCTCGTAATGAACAGCCGCCCCTCCGAGATTCACTGACGAGTCTATCCTCTCCTACTGCCCAGACTCGAAGCTATCGCCAGGAGTCTGCTCTACCTATAGAAGATTCTGACTCCATCCCAGATACGAAAAGTCACGACCCCGATTGTCGTACAACACCCAGTAAAACAACGTATTTCACGTGGTCGACCAGCCAACAGTCCCCCCAAGCGAGAGGTTGCGTAGGCAATACAGGATCTAGAAAGTCAGGAAGATCTGTGACACCCAATGATATAAGAGAAGCTTTAGCTACCACTGGGGTTTATAGAAAAACCAAGACTAGTTTGCTTGGTGATCTGGACGGTACACGGAAACATGCATTGCTAAAAGTTAGCGAGGCATCATCTGCACGCAATAATATGGCTGTTTATAGAGACGCTTATGAAGGGCACACACTCGACGTAGATCACGAGGCGGCGATGGAGCCCAGATGGGCCGATGACACAGGAGTTGAAATGGCCCAGCTCACTGGTTTAGAGAAACGATGGAACAAAATACTTCCTCCCGAGTGGAAATCACGGAGATTATTAAAGGGACAGACGTCCCCTGTAAACGAGCAGCAACCGGATGTAGTCTCGGATACGTTAACAAGAGAATATCCCTCTGGCTGTCATGAACTTCCACAAGGGGCTTGTGCGAAGACGATGAGAGATCTTCCTTCAGGTCACTCTGTCCACCACGACGGGAATACTGGCTCTAGAGTTGATACACAACGTATAGGTAGAAACACCAGACCGGTATCCCTAGAAACAAATCAGCCCGTTGAAGATGATACGGCCATCGACGAAGATCAAGTTACAACTGTTTCCAGAAATGCGATGCCGCCACCTCCAATACCTCCACCCCGATCCAACTCCCTGCACACTACTGGCTCCAGCCCAGCGCATAACATTAGTTCTTCTATAGGTGCTGAAAGGAACAAGCCACCTGACGCTCTGAGTCAAGAACCATCGGCGCCTTTGGAATTATACATGGTGGCAAGTGAGCACGGTAATTTGGATGGGCAGTCCGAGAGATTGTTTCAACCTATGGATTCAGCGTCCTGGCTACCACAATCGGTACCTTCCGGTGTTAACATCAATGATCGAAATCAGACGTTGTCTAGATTGAGTATGAGGTCACCCATATATGTGAATCAGGGCAAACAGATAGAATCCGAGGAGACGTTGCGTATTCCCTCGCCTGCTGCAACAAGTAAGGGAGAGACCATGGCAGATTTCATCGCGAGAATTGAAAGCGAAGTAGGCGAACCAACTTCGGCTGATGAGCCATACCAGTCAAAGTCGGTTGCAAAGAATCCAAGGTTCTCTGTAGATCAAACAGGGCCAGCCTGCGACACACACAATCAATACCTAACCGTGTCTGATAGGTCGTTGAGGAATTACCACTGTCTCCCAATCGGGACAATAGATGAGCCAATGTTCCAACATGTTTGGGAAACTAGTAATACTCTCTGTTCGGCTGCTGGTATGAGAGAGGAATTCGTGAGAGGTAGTATGGGGGGTCAGGGTGATGATGGCCCTGCCGAGTTTTTAGAAATGTCCGAATTTTGGCGACCTAATCGGTTTTCGCAGTTTTGAGATTATATACATGTCATTCAACCACTATATCCAAATGTGTCGATATATATATCCATTGATGTTTTCAAATTATTAAAAGATGTCCGTCTTGCGCTACTCTGGCTCCTGATCTTTCCATTTGTTCATCAGATTATCGACATCTACCTCGCATCCCCGCGCCTTGGCGACAATGGCTGTGGCTTTGCCTACCACCGGGGCGTCAATCACTACACAACCACTGGAGTCAGTAATTAATTACTTTTTCAGGTAAAAGTTTCAAGGGTTCTGCATATTCCCGAGACACACTGGTGCCCCTAATAGGGATTATGACCTCTAGGAGTGACTAGAACAGGAAGAAAATGACTCCAGTGGTTTACATACTAGCGCCGCCGAGAGTCCAGGCACCTCGACCAGCTCTCGCAGCCTTCTCGTCAGCAATCACGACGCGCACAGCCCACTCGACCTCCTTCTCACTAGGCGCGAACAGGCGCTGTACCATGTCAACCTGCGAGGGGTGAATGCACTGCTTGCCGTTGAATCCCATAGTCTTGCCGCTGCGACACTCCTCCTCTAGACGTGCGAGGCCTTCCTCGCCCTTGTACGAGGTACACACAAGATCAATGGTGCTCGGCAACGAGGCGGCGCGGGCCGCCGTCGCTATCGCAGATCGCGCATACAAGAACTCGGAAAGCGATGGCGTCCGTGTCAGCGACATGTCCAGCGCGAAGTCCTCGGCCGCAAAGATCAGGCCTGATAAGTACGGCGACGCGGCGCAGATAGAAGAGAGGTCCATCACGGCGCGCGCCGACTCAATTAGGGCTATTAGTTTTATGGGGTTCGAGCCTGCGGATGAGTGCCGCCCGGGCGCGAGGTGCCGGAGGGCGTCTGTGACGAAGGTCAAGTCGCTTGCGCTGTTCACCTTTGGTATTACGATAGCGTCGAGTTGGGGCAGCTTTGCGAAGGCGGTCACTTGTAGGGGAGAAATAGTCAGTTCGATATGTTTGATATACGAGGAATGAGGTACGCACGGTCCTCGAGAGCGAAGGGCGTCTCAACGGCATTGATACGGACTGCGAGCTCGCGGATTGTAGAGGGTCGCGACGGGAGATCCGACAGGTGCTCGCGGAGCGCGGTCCGCGCCTGCGGCTTCGCTGATGGCGTCACGGAATCCTCGAGGTCGTAGGTCACGTTGTCGCTGGACAGACTCAGAGATTTTGTCAGCATCCGCGGTGACGAAGCAGGTACTGCATTGTGGTTATTATTGCGACCGTCAACTTTTCGTTTGGGCTGTCTTCCTCAGAGTAGGCGAGTGACATACCGTAGAGCAGCGCGCGCCTCAGTATAGCGCTCGATTTGGAAGCCATCACGACGAATGTCTGCGTGAATCTGCTGTAGATGACGACAAGGAATTGAAGTCATCGACTCATACGGGAAACATCTCAGATGAGTGTCGCAATGGCACCGCTATTGTTATTATCATCCTGTGCGGAGCCAGTGAGTTGTGTAAGCCATCTACGTACTATGTAGGTAGGTAGGCCGACGGCGAAGCTACCCCACGATGCCTTGGCCCTTCTCCGACGGCCGGGGTTAACGGGTTACGGGGCACTAATGCAGGTCTCTAGCTCTCTAGCTGGGGTTTTAGCGGGGTAATCGGGGTAGCTGCTGAGGTACCGGTACGTCTTGGGTAGAAATTGTGATCCGGCTTGTTGGGGACACGGTACGCTACCGTGGCTTAACACGACATTTCGATCATCCAATTGTTCGATATGGCCGTCGTCACTTAATATTCTCGGGTTCGGCATATGAAGCTGATTTGGCGTGCCACACCCGTCATGCTGGAACAAAGCAAAGCGACTCATAGGCCTGGACTGCTGAGTCTGAGGTTTGCGATATTGCACTTCTATCATATATGAGGAGAAGTCTAGCGAAGGAGTACATGTCGAACCTAACAGGATGGTTTCTGGCACACTCGACCGTTATCGAGACCGAAAGGCCGTACCGTACAATCATCCGCCTCCAAACTGAAGAAGGGACCAGGTCCGGGAAATGCCTCTCTCACTTGAGATAAAAAGACCTGATCACTGGGACTGGGTCTCGAATGGGCGGTTGATCAAGGGCTCAATGCAAGGAGATTATATACTCTTCACCAGTCCTATTGTGAGAGATCGCCGAGACACCAAAGTCGAAGCAGATACTGAGACTGTTTCGATGTTATATGTAGATCGGACAAGATGAATCGATAGATATTTAAGTAAGTATTACCCCCCTCATTCAACCCTGCGCCCCTTATAACTTGATGTTTCTCCAGATATCAGAACATTGCATGTGTAGTGAGTACTGACTGAACTCTGATTGTAGATATAACATGAAGCTGGTAAATCTTCACCTTTACCTCGAAAGTATTCCGTGGATCTTTCAGTAAGAGGCTGGCAAGCGGAACGATTAGGACCAAGTTCAGGTAACCTTAACATTCGATCAACACAATAATGTTTTATTTGCTCCCATCCCTCTAGGTATACATATGGGAAAGCAAATCCCACCCGCAGTCGCGAATTGAACATCGTTATTCAAAGATCCTTTCACGAAACATGACACCGAATTGTCATGAGAAATCCATCAGGGACCGAGGAACTCGTACGGGAAATGGTTCTCGTGTTCAAAAGGAACTAAGACAAAACTCTTGAGTTACTCATACGCGTCAGCTTCTTCCTAGAACTAGAGACGTGTTCGGTCTGGACTTTAAAGACCCATGGTAATGATTCATCGGGAATCAAGTCTGGCCATCATGCAGTCAGCTTGCTGCTATTTGTGTTAGTCTTTTTGCGGACACCATATTTAGAAACTGTTGGAACGGACACGGAGACCAACCATTGTCGTCTGATTTCTGAGTCTGGAGATACAGTTTTGATGTAGGGATTTTGATGCCATTCATACCTTGAGAGCTGCGACAAAAACGAATCAGGAAAACTGCCATAACCTATACGAAACCGTGAGATGATCGAAAGGTACTCGGCTGGGAATACCATATCTACTGAGATCTAGAACATAAAGATGCACCTTTCCCCTTGCTCCATGTCTGCGACTGGTTTCATTACACCCGACCTGTATCCGTAACTAAGAGATAGCCGAGTCGCTCAGTCCTCTGGAGACTCCTCTAGGCCCAGATACCATAGCCTAGAACGATATGTAAACCTCCGGGGCTCCTGATTCTAAATATAGTCTTTCAAGACGAAAATACTGCAAAACAATAGCCGAACGCCCGACAATTGTCAACTAATGGCGTTTATGTATGAGTGAGTATCTGACTATTTCTGACTATTCCGGGCAGTTTATCTTGGTACTGCATTTGCCGGATGTGAGCTCACCCAGCTCGAAAACTAATTACATCAACAACAAAATCCTCTCGATGACACGCTATTACTTCTAGCAATATTATATACTACCAGATAGCGGTTGAATCGTATCAGACTAAAAGTTATGACAGCAGCCTTGGCCGTTTCCAGCATCCTCGGCACCTTAACCTATGTATTTTAAGTGGTGCATATTTATACTATGCTGCGTTCACCACCTACCCATCGGTATCCAAATCATGGTTACTGGGCTCGTCTAGACAAGCAATGGCTAAAGTCTAGGCCTGACAGGCTTGTATACGTCGATACCAAAAATAGAGTCTTTGAACCCTAGATTCCTCACAAGCACCCCCAATTGACTTGTGTGTGTGTGAACACCTACAATGGCGGTATTGTCGGCCGTTTTCTATCAGTAAGAGTCATAAGATACTCATGTATCTCCCGTTTAAATCAGCATAACTTGGCATGCAACAGACGATTGGGACGTCGCAGTGAACTAAAAGATGTCTCCTACGGTTCGTGAGAGGACTCGACCCGGGTAAATGGCTCCGGGTATTTAGATGATACGGCCCAGTTCACACCAAACTTCATATACGGAAATTGCGTCTAGATGAGCTTCCGAGGCCTGTTTGCAGAGTAATGTTTCTGTTATGGGTGCTTATCTCTCCCAGCATGCTGGTGACGAGAGAACAAGCTCTATAAATATAGAAGTGATCAGCGACGACGACGACGAGACTTCCCTCGGAAACATGAACAACACAGGAGCATTCTAAGCGCTGAAGAGCATCCTTGCACACAACTCTGTGTTTATCAGCAACACAAACGCCATGCACCGAGGACTGCTAGCCTCTCTCGCCCTTGTGGCCCTTATCCGCGCGGCTCCTATCACGGAGCCTACGAAGACGACGGAAAACTCGGCGGGAGACGTGACAATCGGTGAAAACTATCCGAAGCCCACGTTCATTCTTCTTCCGCCTATCACCGGTCCTATTAAGCCATCGGATAAGCGAGGGACTGAGGTAGAAGAACTTCAAGCAGAAAACCCAGCAGGAGACGTGACGATCGGCGAGCCCTCTTATCCTAAACCCACTTTCATTCTTCTTCCACCCATCACGGGCCCTATCAAGCCATCGGATAAACGAGACGCTGAAGTGAAGGAACGTCAATTCTCTATAGGCGACCCGTCCACCTGGTGGGGAGTTGGTGGTGAAAAGCCTCCTACTCCGACTGAGTCGTCAACTATCGGGACACCGATCACGGGTGGGCTCAACCCGTCGAACAAGCGTCAGACGTTGATCGGTGGTTCGGATCCGACCAAGGCCCGTATCGTCGCTTTGGAGCTTGAATACCAAACACTACTCCACTCGTTCGGCACCACCGGACCCAAGCCCATCCGTGACCGTCTTCAGGCAATCAAGGACGAGCTCCTGCACAAGTATGGTATTACCATCATTGAGTCCCCCGACGGTACTGTGACAACATTTACGCCGGGCAAGCGAGACTTCACCTTACCCGTCGGTTCATTTCCAGGAGGTGCTATGACCCCTGAGGATCCTATTCCAGGTGGCCCGATGGAGCCAAGCAACTGAGTTGAACCCATGGCTGCCGAAATGTTACGCCTAGGCAATGAAGGAAGGCCTGAGTGGAACGTATGAATGGTGAAGAAGGCGACTCGCACGGAGTCAGTGATATGCCTGCTTTGTGGTACCTATGTTGCTTCAACAAACCGTGTTAGCATTATGCTTGCTATTAGTGTCTATCAAGTCGATGTGGGCCGAGTGATAGAGAATGGAACATCTTCCAGTTGAGACTTTCTTCTGCTTGTGATAATTGTGTAAAACATACGACAGCTCATTGGTTTTCTCCATTGAAGGCTGAAGGCGAAGCTCCAATTACGTTCAACACTGATGATTTGATATGAGTATCCAACTCTCCTGACTCGTTCCTGCAGGCACCTCCAACAGCGGCAGCTAGACTAGTATCGCAACTAAAAGGACATGCTTAGCATGGCCGCACAACAAACTTCAAACGCTAGGCGCTTAGGATGATCGTCTGTGTTCTCGGATCATACGTGGAGTCCACGGCTACACGTCAGCCACCTTGCACTCGCAGAGCGGGTCGCACGAGTCAGAAGGATGCAGACGACGGTGCCATCGACCGCGCATATCTTGCAGTTAGCCGCTCTGACTTTACGCAACTTCTGCGGCCGTTTATCACACGATACATCTGCTGTAGGTAACCTGCTTGGAGGCGCCTTCGGAATGAGCGGATACCGGAGCCAGCGTGCGCCCCGTAAATAATTCCGACGGTCGTGAAATGGCCGGCCGAAGTTCACATAGATAGGAGACTAACAAACAGTAGTAGGTCGACACGACGACAACCTGGGCCTGGATCTGGGCCTGGGCCTTGGTCTGGTGTTGGCGCCATTTGGTCAGATCTTAACCACGCTCCTCCAGCAGCACAATACTACTGCTCAATCGCGAAGCGCAAGTGATCGACTTGCGAGTTACGTCCGCAAGGGATGACGAGTCTCATAGTTTGACAAACGGCCTGTGCCACTTTGCTTGGTGATCAACCCTCCAACACGACTCATGAGCTATGTGTGATAACCCTAAAGCCTGGCCTAGTTGCTGCCTATCAGCCCAGATTACCGAATACTGATGATGCTCATCAAAACGGAGGGGTGAACAAAGAAAAACGATCAGGTGTTGTGTATAAGCGGTGACCTAGCGTAAGCTGTAGCACAAGGTTTTACGGATGACGAGGCTACAGGTGAGAAGACTAGCCCAAAAACACGACTTGTCTCTCATTTCAATAGGCGCCGAGGCTGAGACTCAGGGATGACGTTAAATGCCAGCTACTACGAAGGCTTGCGCCTTGTGTTGTCTGTGCTGGGTCAGGCGCAATATCTAGCGCTCCAGACAGTTTCTAATACTAGCCACTTATAACATACCGCAGTCTGTGATAGGTTCTTGTAACGCAAATATCGCCCAGATTCACACATTGTCTTGTTTTGCGTCCCAACAGATCAAGGTGGATGGATGGGGGTCTGATAAACTTCAGCACAACTGACACAAAAACGCGTTCGAATGTCATACACAGACGGGTTATCCCCGAGAAAGACCACTGTCAGCCGTTCGCCGCCACGTACACAGAATAAGAGGCTGAGACGACTCATACTAGCCCTTGAATAAGATCACGAAGTGTTTCTTTGCCTTGCCTGCTAGGCACTGTCCATACTACTCTGTTGGTGATAAGTTGAATTACGGTGCAACACGGTGCTGCCATGTCCACGCGATATGTGCTTAGCAGCGCATGAGCAGCATTCCATTACATCTGCATCTGCAACAAATCAGGTCGTCTTGCTTGTGATTTCAAGGTCTACAATGCGAGTAGAACCCTGTAGACTCGTGGCCTAGATAGTTCTAGACTGAAGCCTATTCAATGCCGAGCTGATGTGCGGAGTCACCAATGCTATGGCCCGAGCTCTCTGCCTTGTGAAAACTTGGAAACCCTTCGGCACATACAGCAGGTAAAGGGGTGTCGGTAGGCAGACATACGAAGTAAAAGCACTTACAGTACGGAAGGGGGGGGGAGGAGATGATGCGCAACATCGACCTTGTCCCCTTGGACCAACGGCTCAACATGCACATGCCTAACTGACAACCCATCAATCTTTGACTGACCTGCGTAAGCTCATGCGTGGAGAAGGGGTGGACCGCCTGTAACAATCAAGTACGGCTCTCCCGAAGGCAGCATTAACAACATGAAGGGCAACAACAACATCATGATCACCAGCAGCACCGTCACCACCCAGTCACCGTGAACAATTACAGCCGCTACCAACGAAACAGTTGGATGCAACTTGTTTTACATAGTACTGTATGGGTGGCAACTCTAACTAGGATGCTCAAATGATGCCATAGCATCAACCTAGCGTAAACTCAAGTTCGTGGCTTGCCTGCCGAGCTGCTCCGTTGTAAGCAGTAGATGTCAATCATCGAGATGACACGCAGTCAAACATGATCAGGTGCCTACATCTAGCATAGGGAAGGAGAACTTGATCATCATCCTACCACCAATACTGTACGTTCTCTTCTGGTGGATCGACACGTCTGGAGTTTACCAGCAACTACTACTACTACTACTAGTCAAATATCACAACTGCTATATGTAGTAGTTGTTATAAGGCGTGGAGCCACAGACCAGCGCCATCACCCATTGATGGTGGTGATGGGAGGAGTAAGCTAGCTCCTCTTGGGCTAAAGAGCAGAATCTCTTGAGTCTCTCTCCTCTTAACTGGCGCCGCAAGTTATGACTTCTCTTATCGGGTGCAACCACGTCACCAGTGCTGCATGTTATCCGCCACCACCGCTACCAACGGCGTACAAATCACTACATAGGACCAAACATTAACGGGGCACGAGGCGCCCACCGAGTCGTATTGTTGTTGATGGCGTATCTAGTATCTGCATATCTACCTAGTACACAACCCATGAGAGCGCATCTGAGCATTGATCAGGCCATAAGGGCACGGTAGTTCAAAGGAGGCATGGGGACATGGAGCATTATAGTAGCCCTATGATGAAAGATCTGAGCCACCACGGCATGGTCATCATCGAGCGCATCGGGGTCGGGCGTTAGTATTCTTAGCAGTCGAGGGTGGCCCGGTGATCGATTATGCCTATTGCATATTTTACTGACAGGGGCGTACTTTGGACGTCCTATTTGACAGCGTTCACGCCGTTATGAGCTTGTTAAGTGGACAGCGCGAGGCAACATGATTGGGCGAAGGCATTTTGAGGCGGATCTGATGTGGGATTCCCGACCTTGGGCTTTGAAATGCAAGTTGAAGGGTAACTAGCTCGCTAGCTTCTCTCTGTTTTTTTTTTTTTTTTTTTTCCTCTTACTAACACACATATTACCACCCTAGCCGCTGCCTTTATCCTCTGGAAGGGAATAGAAAATGGGGGCCGGAAACACGAAGTCCCTTCGTTTTTCACCGCCATGTGTCTAGCAGCCCAATCAGCCACGCGGAAGAGGGTCATCCTCCTTGCTCATGGATAAGGGCAGCCAGCAAGCAGCCCGCCCCCCTTTCACACCCGAAAGCGTCGACACGCATGTGGCATAGGACTCCATCGTCAGCCCAGCCGCGGTGTGATTCGCTCGGCCCTGGAGGTTGCGTCGCCGGTTGAGGAGGGAAAGCAGGAAAGAATAGACGGGGGGTGCCCAGGAACGCCGAGAAAGGCAAGGCTCACTCACCTCTTTTTCGCCCTTCTCTGCCCTTCCTTAGCATCATCGTCGCATTAGCGCAGTGCACTATGAGAACAACGATTCCCACACACCACTGCATCGGGAGCGCACTACTGTATCATTAGGAATGGGGTGTGTGAATTATCTGGGCATGAAAATGGCCCGACGCTATGATTCTTCCTGCGTCCTCTTTACCCTTTCTACATTTCTGTGCATTTCTGATACTGCCGCTCGCTTTAGTGTCGTGTAATATGTTTTGAGTAAGGAGGCATGCGACCTTTAGCACAGGACCTAAGAAAATAACAGATATTTGCATGTTCTGAACAATATCAACGGACTAGGTAGCGTCTAAGCCCGCGTACACATACCTACGCATAGAAACGATGGTACTGTACGTATATTTCGAAATGCCTATTGTTGTACGCGACATCTTGAGCGTGCGCGCTGCTAATGCCGATGCTGCCGTCGCCGCCTACTGCACTGCAACCTTACGCCGCGCAATGAGATTGATGCAGGCGAGTAATAACGGGTTTGTATGAGAGTCCTTGATGGATCGACAAATAACGATCAACTCAAGAGAGGGCTTTGTCGGTGATTAATGAGCACCTGGATCCTTCACTACATGTATGGGTATAGTCCACCATCCCAGCATCAAAAACCGTCGGATCAGTCAAGAAGCCCGTGATCCTCCGGCCAATATTGGTTTCTCGATATAGCATGATATCCTGCAGCCATGGTGGTATCTGGCATCAGTTGTACGCGCGCGTGCGAAGGAGCAGAAGCTGACCCAAGGTGCAGCTAACTGCATCATCTACTAATCTACTACCAAGTTCTGGATAGGTAGGATTCGATTCCCGTAGATTGGTCGCCTGTTATCTACATACATGTACCCTGTATCCATTCATCGAGCTCTACACCACAGCGAAGCTATTACCACCATAAAGCCTGTCTGGGTTTCGACTAGTGATGGCCTTAGAGCCGACTAATCCGCTGCTAACCACAAGTCGTTGTGGCTGTAGGGATAGATGTGATAACTATTTGTATACCAGTAGCATATAACAAGATTGACACACGTAGTCAAAACAATAGACCAGAATGAGCAGCAGTAGCGTACTGTAAAGTATACAAGCAGGATTCTGTCGTCTTCTGATGGGCTCATTTCCGTATTCATCGAAACAAGAAGTTATGGTGGTTCTTATGACTAGATTAGAATGTTACGAGACGAAGGCACCGAATAAACGACCGAAAGTTGAACAGTGTAAAGGTGGGCAGGTAAGGTTGTATTGAACGTATCACACCAATAGACAGCAACGACAAATAACCCGCTCCCCACCTCCACGCAACCTCGAAGTTTTCCCAGCTCTCTGCACCAAGTCAGTTACGCATTCCCTCCAAGTCAGCACCAGCAGGCAACTTGGCAAGAGAAAGGGGAGGGGAGGTGTGGGAAAGGAATTACGCCAAGGCTACTGTAATCAGTCGGTCTAGCGTTGCATTCTGGGACGGTAGTCGGCTGCGGCTCGCTGGCTCGAGATTGGACCGAACGCAGTGAGAAGCATGCAGACACACAGGCCCCAATGCAACATCCTCATGCAATACCAAGGCACTCTGCAAGCCCTGCCTAGGGTGGGTGGAAGTAGGGCGGATGGCTTCGACAGCTACTGGCGAATCAGACGTGTTATCTGAGCTCTCTCTCTTCCCTCTACAGTCGTAGGACGAACTAACATCGTGAGCGATTGAGTTTACGAATCAAACATCTCCTGAGATACCTACTGCGGAGACAGACATGTAAACCGAAAAACTCACACAAGTACATTCACAAGTGGACAAGTTATTCCAGGTAGCTATGTCATACATCAGCGATAGCTCGCTGAAACATTGTATTTGGGCTGTAGTGAAGAGTCTATCCTTTGTGATGGGCATCCTCAACCCAGGGGATCGCTAAGCTCTTTGGCAAAGCGTCCACCACCGTAGAAACGTAACGTAATATGTAGACCGGCGCGCCAACTCATTCCGAGATAATGCTACGCCGTCGATGGGCTATTGACCCGTCTTTCTTCTAATTTCATTTCCCATGACCGAACCCAGTCCAGAGCCTGGGAAGGCTCGTATATCAAAATGGTGATTCAAACACCACCGATCCCCGAATAAACAAGAAAAATAATTGTGTGGTATCGTCCAAACGAAAGTGTCAGGCCCCTGTTCTCTCTAGTTCAGGGCATTGTAGTAGCCAACAGTTGGCAGATTAAACATCAGTAGAAGCAACTCCATCTCCAGTCATATAGCAAAGACTCCATCAATGCCGTATCCTGCGCCATAGAATAATGCCTCGGATATGTCCATTCCTGAAGTGGCAAGAAATAAAGGGAAAGGAGAAGAAAAAGGCATCAACTCTGCGGTCTCCGGGTCATCGTTGATCGATACTATCGAGTATCCCGCCAACTCCACGCTGTAATCAACAAAATGAAAATGTGTGTCAAGGTAAATACAGTGAAACGGTAACAGTTCCAGACTTATTTTCTTTTGAAATCCTTTTGGGGTGGTATCATCCATGAGTGGCTGCCCAGTGTTGAGCAACCTTTTATTAAAACAAGTATTGCGAATAGTGTAACTTTTTGTAGTGTAGGTAAGCCCGATGCAAACGGCCCCTCCATGGAAGTAGATGAACATTCGGCTGTTTCGAGATTCCAAGAAGGCTCCAAGGTCGGAAAGCAGGCAGAGAAAGCAACATAAAGCTAGAGAGTGAACTATCCCGGCGGCAGGACATAAACACTTCAAAAGACTTATTGAAGCTAATAGAAACTTTGAAAGTTGGCCAATAGAGGAAATTGGGCCTGGTGGAAAGGGTTGGGTTGGTGAAAGTGAGGAGCTTGAGCATACCGATTCACCACGTCCCAAAAATAGGGAAGCGTAAATTTGTTCGCAGTGCAGTTGGGTTGGGGGAGACATGGCTCGGGGCAAGGGCTGCAAGCTTGGTAAGTTCCATGGATAGGGCCGGTGTATTGGGGAGTAAAGTCCTGTGGGAACGGCATCTTGGGTTCCTCTGGGTCGAACAGTTGAGGTTCCTGCGTAGCAATCTTCTCATTCTGAATTTCAAAGATCTCGTCGTCGTCCAAATCATCAATGGTCGAGCAACTCGACGTAAGGGAGCCTTCATCCGAAGAACAAACAGACTCCCCATCCGAGTCGGAACCAGCAGGAGAAAGAGGGGCGTCGTAGCTCATGCTATCGACGGTTTCCTCGCAGTTAACGTAATCAGTGGGTTCGGGCGATGCTGGCGGAGTGAGTACCGCTTGTGGTGTCGCCGCAATGGTGAACTGGGAGCAGGCTAATATTCTGTTCCTCAGCTCTGGTAACGTAATTCGTGCATCTGGGTTGCGGGTGAAAATACGGGCCAGGATATCGTTTAGATCGTCAGATAATGGCAAAATGGTCCTCAGGAAATCCTGGCTCCTAGTAAAAGCGCGGTATGTGGAATCCTCAAATGATGCCTGTCGCCACGGATTACGGCCGCACGTTAGGTTTACCAGGATAACACCAAGGCTCCAGACATCATTGGGGGCACAATAATAAAAAGGTCTCCTAGACGACGGATCCATGCATTCTACAGAAAGTATATATCGTTAGTTGAAGTCCATTGACGACACTGGTTTGCGCAACAAAGGATTCCTACCTGGAGACATGTAAAATGTCGAACCGCAGCCGTAGTCCTCGGACCGGTCACTTGCAGTAGCCAAACCAAAGTCGGCCAGCTTCACGGTGTCGCCCTGGTTCGAAACAAGAATATTCTCCGGCTTTAGATCCCTATGGTATATACCCAATGCATGGCAATGCTCAACGGCGTCCAGGATTTGAAGGAAAACACTCTTGACCATGTTGTCCTTACCCACATACTGGCCACACTCCGTTATGTTGTAGAAGAGATCTCCTTCAGAGCAGAACTCCAGAACAACATAGATGCAGTCTGGGTCATCGACAATCTTGTGCATGGACACAACATTGGGGTGAGCAGAAGCTAGGTAGTGCAGTCGAAGTTCCCGGCGTTGGAAATCTAGCTGTCGTCTATCCAGTGGGGATCCATCGGCATTGAATTTGCTGAGTGTCTTGACGGCATATTGGATACTAGTGTTGATGTCGATAGCCAGATACACTACGCCATAGGCACCGGTACCAATAATCTTTACCAATTGTAAACTCTGGCCCAGGAACTTGCCTAGCCTCTCCTCTGGCGCAACCGGAATGTAGCGTTGAGGACAAGTTGGCGGTATCGCGAATGGCTGTTGTAAATAGGTAGGTTTACTGCTGCTGTCGTACAATGGTGATGCCGGGGGCGTAGGATATCCGTATACTGCCGCATTATTCATGGTATCCTGTGGAAAATTGATGGTCCTCTTTTAAATACCCGGCCTTGTGTTTTGCTAAAGAAGAAAGCAGAGACAAACGACAAAACAGGACGATCTATTCTGTACAGAAAGACGTCCTCAAACCAAAACAACCAAAGAAAGGAAATCCGCGGCAAAAAAGTTTCCTGGGTCGTATATCCAAACGTGGTATCCAGGAGGCCAGACAGCTGGGCAGCTCTCGGCGCGTCGGTGGGAGAGAAGGTGAGAGGGAAGAGGGAAGAGGGGGGGAGAGGACAACTTAACAACGGTGAGTTATCATCGGGCTGTCCTGGCGCTGTCGTGATAAGAGTTGAGATGTGTAGGTCTATGGTGAGTTGTAAGGAGCGAGGTGAGTTGTCGTGAAGTTCGTAGTAACACCTCCCAGCATGCAGATGCGGCTGGTGGGAGATTGATGTAGATGTAGATGTAGATAGATATTCGGATATCAACGCTCTCCGTACTAGTGTACCTGCAAAATGGTACTGTATAGGACAAGGGTATGTCTTAGGTCGTTTGGACGGCTCAACCTTTCGCCTTGGGTGAGCGAGTGAGTCGACAGTCCGCGACCGTGTGTGTAATAAACAGCCACTTCACCCACCGTCATCCACATCATCCACCCATGTCTCACACAGACGCTCTCACACACATACCCGCACTATTCTTAAAATTCGATGGCGCTAGCCGTAAAGGCGGCCTGCCTATTCCTGTGGGCACATCTGTGGGGTCACTCGGGTGTACTGTCGCAACGTACTGTACAGATTACACCCAGCTTCTGGTCCAGTTCTGTCCAGTCAAAGGGCGGATAGGGAGGCAGAGGGGAGGCGAGGCAGGGGCCTGTTGAGCAATGGACCCAACTGCTTCTAGGGCGCTCCACTAGAGAAGACGAACGGATGAGCAAGTCAAGATGGGCACTGGCAAGGATAGGGGCAAGGATTGAGGCTTGGTTGCAGGAGTGTACACTAGACTGATTCATTGGCCTACAGCTTCATGGAGCCGGGCGGTATCCAGTACAAGTCCATACGAGAAAATGAGGACAGGGATCGTGTCTGACACACGAAAATAAATTACCCACTCAGACGCTTGCTGTTATTAGTCGAGTGGTGTTGCCTTGGTGTGCGCCAATTCTGGCCACGAGCCATGTTCCAATATCTAATACCACACCCTGCGCGCAACCTGGACTAGCGAACGTCTTGGTGCGGTCATGGTCGCCCTGAAAAAGTTGGACGAGCCACTCAGCCCCTGTCGATGAGCGACGGCCGGCGATGGCGGGCGGAGGATGAGCACTACACTACCTATTCTGCACCACCTACTTACGCGCACTAAGAGGGACTGTACTTAAGTAGCATGTAATTTGTCCGGTCCATAGAAGCAGGACGAAGAGCAGACAGCAAGAGGAAGGAAAGAAGGCGAGAGAGAGAGGGAAGATTACCCAAAAAAAAAAAAAAAAAAAAAAAAAAAAGAGAGAGAGAAAAGGGGGGCAGCGGGTTTGTGACCAGTCGCCATATCCAGGACACACTATGTCTTCAAGAGATTGAATACTGGCAAGTGAGTGGCTGCTGACACTCCACTTCCTGCTCATCTCGTTGATGCAGCCGACAGCCCCGGTGACTCGCATAGTTTTGCTTCTTTGCGTGGCGGTGTTATTACGGCAGTGTAGTGCGTACACCAGTTACACCTAGTATTCTAGGTTTGCCGGGCGCTTGACGGGTTAATACTTCACAAGACTCTAGGTGCTCATCACCACGCGCACGCCTTCATAGCCCTACCAATGCCGGAGCATTACCTGGTTTCGCCCGAACCATTCCTCACCTACAGTACACTATGCAACAACTAATGGAAGATACTACACCACCTACTTGAACGTAAGCTTTCGGGTTTATCGAGGTCTAAGGAGTAGTAGTCTGGGTAGGTAGAGTGGTGTTGCTGCTACTGACTCACAACTGAAGGCACAGCAAGTGTACGATGTTGCCATACTACATGTATCTAAGTAGGTAATAGGTACGTAGTACACAAGTCGGCAGTATCTCCAGCATCAAACAAAGAATTGGCCGTTCTAATTTGATGCTTTGCCCTTCCCTGTGCCTCGTACCTGGATTGCCAGGCAAGATATCATGGTATGCTGTACTTCGTAGGATGCACAAGTGAGGCGAGTTGCCATAGGACGAGGTTCTTGAGACTTGACGCTCTTCAGCCCTTTCACCCCCTAAGGTTTCTGTTGCAATAAATGCCTCGACGTTCAGTCTAGTGCCGATCAAAACAAAATGATCCGCTAATTCTTCTTGTCATGTTGATACATTATGCGAGTGCTGAGTATTTCACGTGGCCACATTTTGTAGATGCAGAAGCTTGTCACTGTCATCATAATTATGATAATTATCATCGTCATTGAGCCGAGGGAGCTAGTAATCGATCTTCAAATTGTCTGCGGAGATCCTTTTGATGGAAGGATTCTACTTTCTTGACCCGCCTTACCCGCCGTCTTCCACGTAAAGCCATCCTACTGTGTAGATTAGCTGGGACTTTCAACTAAGAGAAGTCGGGATGTAAGCAAGCCCAGAGCAGACCCAGAGCAGGCCCAGAGACAGCTCTGTCCAGTTAGCTACGTACCTACAATATTGCGGTACTGTCGATAGTCCAGTTAAAGACATTCCCTCATGGGCCCTCAGCGTGCCGTGTCCGAAATGCCACCTGGGCCATACAGACCCATCGGACCCGTCCCTTCATTCGAGAGCTGAGCCGTGTATACCATCTGCAGTGAATCAATACACGCCTACATTCTCAATACACGTGTAAGTAGTATGAGGCGTAGCGCTTTCGGTCAGCGGCAAAAAGGGCGTCTCTGTTCCTCACACGCTCACGGGGAATGCCAGCCAGGACCACCTGGAACAGGCTTACTTCGTTACGCACTTACGGGCAACGAACCAGTCTGCCAATCCCTGCCTCATGCGGTAAGGTCTGTGCCAGCGAAACTATGTATGAGTACGTCCCAGTGCATACTTCGTAGGGTGGTGGGCGGGAGATGCTGCGTGCAGATGGATGTTTGTATGACCAATGGCACCGACGAGCAGACAGACACCTGATGCTCTGATTTGCCCGTCTGAGTCCCAGCTTCGATATTGCCGTCATTCCAGCCATGTTGTCATTGGCCACCACAGATGAACCGCACCACTATCTCCGACGTGGGGTGGGAATGAGACATGTTCTGGTCTTCCCGCCCGTGTCGCATGCAACAGCCTTGCAAGGAATCACAAATTGGTTTGACAAGCCCACACATCCTGGAGAGAAGTGAGGCTGTACATGCCGGGGGTCGACCGCCAACCCGCGCCCAGGACGGGCGAATGCAGCCAATGGCAGGCCGAGGACTTTTGTGTGAAGGATGCCAATGTATGTGGACCGTTGAGAAGGGGATGGACGGATGCCGCGCCATACTCAGCAGGTGCTGCGTAACGGGAGCTGATTTGATGGAGGTAGTTGAATGAATCACTCGCCAATTCTTGCAGAGCTGGTAGGTGTGAAGACTGACACCAACCTCACCAAACCCGTAGGTAACACATTACGGTCGCAATACCTAGATCTTTCTACAGACAGACAGACAGACAGAGCCATCATCATACTATAGCCCGGCTTGTTTCTGCCTCGTGAGACACTCCCTAAACATCTCGAGACGTCCTTGCCCATGCTGCGATTCTGCTCTAGGTAATGTACGAGATGGCACGCTATTCATGAAGTAGGCAGCGGGCTAATAGTGTTGCTTAATGCTTGAAACTCACCGCCAAATTAGAAAACCGCTCCAATTACTCTTTTCGGCTCTTCCCACATGAACAGCGATACCGTAGTGTAAGTAGCGCCAAGCGTCGGTCATGGTTCGCGGGAATGCTTCGGCGGCGCAGCCATCGCCACTGAGGCGAAAGTGTGTAGAGTCCTTTCGAGCCCTTCCTGATGTTCAATGAGGGACGTAGTGGAAACAATCATGTGCGCATCAAAATTAGATAGATGCTTCTCGAAATACTACAGTGAAGTCGGGCGATCGCCTTCATCACTTTGGTGGGCTTGTGCTTCTCTGCACACCAATTACTTGCGAGTACCAGTACCGTACTCTAGCCATGGTAGCGTCTAAGTCCCAGCTCAAGGAAACGTCCGAGACATCGGACACGCCAATGACTTAGCATATCACGAGGTCGTCCGATTTCTCAGACGGTTCTCAAACTGCGTTCCATTGCACTTCCAACATCAAACGCCCTTGCATAGGCGGCTTAATCGAATCACCGGTATGGGGGCTCTCGGGGCGGGTACCTAAGTCTCGCGTCTCGCCGAAGCCAAGCCTGAGCGCATGATTTTGGTCCGAATCCTTGTGTACTGGTAGGGAGCAAAAGGGAGGGCATTGCCCAAAGGACCGGTATTTGATCGGCAACAGAGGGCGACCAACCAGGATCTTCGCGTAGCAGTGCAGCTTTGAAATTCCATTCTCGACGCTGATCCCGTGTCTACACACACACACGCACACACACACTTTTTCGCTGATTATGGGACGGCGACTGTCGACTGTGTAGGTAGTCGGAGGCCACATATCGTGCGAGAAGAGATTAATTACCGCGTCATGCCGCTGTGCTACGATTGGTGGCGGCCAAGTCCAATCAGAAACGAAACAACCACCGGCGACTGCTAATCTTGGTGACTGGTATGGGTGAGCCGCTGATCGTAAGTACTCGTCACCGGCAATTCTGCGATGTAGTCTAAAAACCCAAGTTTTTGTGACGAGCAATAAACCTCCGGGTCTGTCGGGGGCCCCGCGTGTTCCTCCGCGGGAGATGTGAAATCTCGTCCATGTCACGTTTTCACTCACATTTTTTTTTTCTCTTTCTCCCTTCGCACAGAAAATTGGCACACATCCTCGTGGGATCGTCAGCATCGTTATCAACTGCCCGTTTTGGTTTAGTATTTGACGTCAAGACCCCGGGATTATGGAAGATCTGATTCTTCGGTAGATGTTCCGCCAGTAGTGTGTAATGGAGGTTAGGTAGCGTATTGGCTCGTTTGTGTGAAACGGTTGTGGCAGGCGTATGATAGGCAGAAAGGATTCACTGCCATATATCACAGCGCCTACTATTGTCCATCATCCAGTAGAATGACGCCTACGCATTATTTGCAGTTCTCCGTTCCACGTGATAGGATGAGAAGGGTTAATGCCTTAATTCTGGCTGAATCCGACACTCTACTTACTCTACCTACTGTGTATGGTATCACACAATAAGTAAGATTCGTATCACCTATAACACTGTCATCATATTTGGCTCGGTTGACTTCACTGTCTATGGGTAATTGTGTGCTTGTGCGTGTGTGTGTGTGTGTGTGTGTGTAGGTAAAGATGAATTGCCCCCAGCCATTGTTATACCTGGTTCAATACTACCATTTGATTTGGAGGCTATCTAAGCTACCCTTGAACCTCGTGCGTCCATGACATGCTTACCCAGCCTAGACGCAGACGCTGATGCTGATGCTGATGTGAGAATCTGATCTCTTCCTGCTGTATATATGTGCTTACACATTGGGATGCAGATCGGACGATAGAAGGGTAGCACATTCGGCTAGGTATCAAACATGCTCTGCAGTATGTACACTAAATGGCGTTGATCGGTCAGTCTGATCGGTCCTCCGTAAGGGCACGAGGCCGTTACGCCCTCCACTCAAACACAATCGAGATGCTGCAAAATTGAGTTTCGATATGACAACACCGTGCAGGAGGTCATTGTTTCCAGATGCTCATTGGTTTCTAGCGAACATCCACCCTATTGGAGTTAGGAGCCCTTTGTCTCTAATCATGGTTTTATTCATGTTTCTCTGTCCAATGCTACGACTGTCTATCGTAGAGGAATATGTAGGAATATGTATTATTATGTGCCTTGTCCAACCCGAGGGAATGACGCAGAACCTGCCTGATCCGCCAGTTCCCGGGACGAGATCTGACATGTCTGTCTTCTTCGGCTATCCGCATATAGTATCCATAGACCTCCAAAATTCTAGGGTGCCGTTAGCGGCTTAGATTTGATATAGAGCAGAGCGGATGATTCGGCAGCATAGTATGTAGATGGTATCAAGCGCCTTGCCTTCCAATCAACTGCCGCGCGCTAGGGAGACGACTTACAGCTACAGCCTCAATGCCTCACTGTACATGTCTTGGGATAGATGATAACACCGGGGTTTCAGTCATGCGTGATACTCTCGACGGCCTAAGACTGCTTTCACGCATCTCAGAGCACCTCATCAAGACTTAGATATTTCACATCACTGGCTATTCTCACTATCCCGGTCCAGGCTTGGCTAAGACGGATCATACCTAATCGTCGACATGTATGTACACTTAGTGAATGCTAATTAGACATGACATCGACGGTATCTCAGGTGTAACCTCTAGTCGTGCTGGCATAGAGTAATCCGATTTCTGTTTGTTTGTGCGTCCTACAAGCTGGCTTGGGAGGTTGCACGCGTGTCACTACTACTGAAAATCTATTCTTACGTCGATTGGGAGACGCTAGGCAGCAATCCGTCCGATCAATATACCAAATGTGCGGACGAACCCCTCACGCGAAGGTGGTATCGGCCTCTCGTTTACTTTCGATATTACTCGTTGATAGAGAACACGATAGGGACACCATACATGGAGCAACGTCCACCTTGGTCGGAAATAAAGGGGCAGGTTAAGGGCGGCGTATGAGAAAAGCTTAGTATGTCTTACAGCTTCCCGCTCACGGCTCCCGGCAGGCCCCCATCTGCGTTTCTTGTGGCGATCCCCTCCCAAGCCACTTTCCACTCGCCACTCGACGATATATGTTGTGCATCCGTGTGAACGGATAACTGCACTGGTTGCAGCGTAGGGTGCCGAAACAGACGTGCTGGTCCTGCAGTTCTGGTCTCGCCCTAAGCGGCACGCTCAAGCCTAGAACAATATTTCCGCCAAAGAAGCGGATCAGTATTCAGCCTCGTGTTAATGCACAGGAGGGTATCCCGGAGGCTGACGACATCCTCGGCTCTATATACTCCTGCGTCAGCTGTGTGTAGGCCAACAATTAACGAAGGGCTCTAGTGTTCCAGCTCGTCACTCATCGATAAATATCCCTAGTTAATGGAATACCCCTGTTGACTTTCATTTATCGGGAACGGCGTCATTGAGTACCTTGTTGTTAATACATTCTGGACCCTAGATCTTCAGCTCACTTACCTACCAGAATATTCGGCGCAGCATTCCTGGCTTTCAGGCATTTCGTGGGGATGACAAAATGAAAATACTCAGTCGACGAGCCCCGGATTACCTTAACGGTACCTGCGCCGAGGGACCGATACCTGCATCAAAGTGACGAGCCACTCTACAGCATGCCACGGTACATAAGCCTGTAGCCGGTTGGGCCAGCTTAAGACGAATCCATGAGGTGGCGGAACGGTATTGAAGGATTTATTCGGAGGCGAAGAGTGCGGCGCAACATTATGCTAGAGGCTATTGCCAATTCCCGAGTAGTTCTCTGTTGGCCTGGAAGTATGATGAGGAATTGAACGGGCTACTCCGCATGAACAGGCCAACACGTTTTGACCCGAGCTGTAGGTGTCGCATACGGTACCCGGGAACAAGCCCTTTCGTGTCTCCATACGATAATGCTGGCGTTTATGCGGTGAAAAGTTCCTCTGGGCTGGACAATCAAACGGGGGCGGATAAGTGGTCTCCAATCCCCAAAGCAGACAGTTGTGATACGAGAGATCTATGATTTGGGTCTGTTCTCGGCCGAGCTGTTACTTCAGGTGCTCGTTCAGCGTAAGCCAACTTGATGCTTTGCGCAACGTCTCACTGGCTCGACTGGGTACACGACCAGAGAAAATGCCCCAACCTCCCTTATGCCCATGTCTCTACGCTACGTGGATACTGTGAAAACTATGAGTAGTCTGGCATCAATGACCTGGGGTACAACCGCATTAACCAACGGGGTCTCTTACGGCGCTCGCGTACATGCAGCCTCTGTCAATCCCTGTACCAGACAATCAGCCAACTTGGGGGTTTATCCCTTCGCCGTCGGCATACGTAGTAGTTGGGAACAGAAAGCTCAGGGACGAACCTACATTGACACTTAGACCGCAGTGCCTCAAATGCCAGGCGTACACGTAGGCCACGAAATACATCTGATCACTGGTGTCATCAAAAGACCGCCTGGAGCATTCGGCGTCGGCTCTGTGTGAATTAATGCATACCTCATGATCCGGGGTGACCGTATGTAGGACATGACGTTATGTCCCCGAATACGTGAAGCACAGATATCAATCATAATGCACCCAGGTAGCCATTAAGGAAGAAAGAAAACATTGAGATACACATCGAAAAGACGCAAACACGTTCCTAAACGATCTCCTTGGGAGAGCAAGCAAATTGGATGACACCGCAAGCCCCCGAAGTTTAGTTATTCGCCCGTGTATTCCGGGAAGACGCAATAGCATTGACATCTTTACCAACTAAATAATGTCTTACTACCAGGAATGTGATGGATAACAAATGGTATGGCGATCCTTCTGCGGAAGCGAGGGATCAACTGACTACGCCAGATGCTCCGGTATGTTGTCTTGCCTCGCTTGTGTGGCTTTGTGCAGCTCGCTGGTAGGCCGATGGCGATTCCATAACCTCGGTCCTGTGCCATGTTCTTATGTAGGGGCGTCAATTTGGTCATTTAGCAAACATGACGGTGGGCTGGACATGTTCCGTATGCAAGAGAAGGACTTCTCGTCTGTGCGGCCGCTATCTCTCTGCATCAGCAATACGCAGCCGTAGCCGAAAGAAGTGTCGGCTGGTTTGTCGCACCGTGGCTGGTCGGGATTAACAGGTGGTGCGATTGAATGCTGTGCAGAGGGTGTCATGTGCTGGTAACTGAGTTTGTACTGTAGTAAGTGGCCTTCGCCTCTTGCCGGCATGAAAAAGAGACGCATGCATTTCGTACGCAGGTTTCATGAAACGTCAATTTCAAGGAAGAAGCAAGCATGAAATAGATGTTGGCAGACTCCACTGGTCCAGACCGAACCATTATAAGATTGTTGAATAATCAAGTTAGCAAGAAGTAGCTTCATTCCTGTACGATTACAATGGTCAACAAATGATATCAAGAAGTAAACTGGTAAACTTATTACTACAAGCGCAGAGGAAGCCAGTTATTTTTGGTGAAAATACTACGGGTGATTGGATAGCATAACACCTCTATTAACATGTATATCTAAGAATAGTCTATCCTAGACAGTACACTTCCTGACTGACATGGTGAAGACGTGCCTTAAAAACCGCCAGGGGCCCGAATTCAGATGTACTAGTCTTAAAGCTGCCATAGACGGCCAGCCAAATTCCATGCGTGATGTAGCTGGCTACCGCTAGAAAGAGACATTTGCTAGGGCTATTTATACAGCCCATCTATGTGGATGACCCTAGTGCGGCTTATTACCCGTAATTCCGTTTTGACAAAGTACTCTAGGCAGGACCTTTTGATCCTATCTTGAAGGCCCTGCAACTTTGGACAAGAAAAAGGGGTGTCTTAAAGCTTCCAAGGGAGTGATTCTTTTGTCAGGATTAAGAGCTAGACATCGCTCTAGTAGGTCGACGAAATTGTTGAGATCTCTAGACTCGACATCATTCATCCCCCCTGACGCGGCCATAAGACGTGTACGCAAATCACGCGTAGGCTTAACAATGGCAAGACTACGAATAGTTGTCTATAGCAGACTAGTTAGTATCTATCAGATATAAAATTTCATATAACTGAGACCTGTAAGAGCATAAAGACGCGTAAAAGAGTTGACTGAACAATGAAGAGGGGGAGATCGGAACATGGTGTTAACTTGGGGTAATGATAATGGGAAGCAGTTATCATGTGTATTCGAAGATATATGTATACAAGCAAATGAAGCTCTGAAACAAAGGGAAAAGGGCTAGTCAAAAGGCCGCGTTGCCGAGAACGGTGTGGGAGCTTGTAGAATTGGTTGGATTCTCATCATCGATGGACCAGTTATTGGAGCAAAATGATTGAGGAAGGTGTATAAGAAACATGACAAATTTGGTAAACAGGAAAATGAAACAAGGAGACAAACCATACGTACCTTTCCAAGTGTTCTGTCTCGTTCGGCGCTGATGAAATTACCCAGCTCATCGAAGTGTAGATGCGACATCTCACCCCGTTTGTAGAGCTTGGGGCTGAATTTACCACGGATCTCCATGATGGCCTTGAGCATCTGGTTGTTACTGTCACCGGCAAAGAGGATCTTCCCAGTGTATAATTCGTACAGAGTACAACCGATAGACCACATGTCAATGGCATAATCGTATGGCATGCCCAATATGATTTCAGGTGCTCGATAAAATCTACTGACGAGGTAGGGTGTAATTTCGGTGTGTGCAGTTGCAGCATCAGACCGATCAATAGCTGTGCCCAAGTCACATATCTTGAGCACGTTGCGTGTCTCATTGACCTTCGTCGAAGTTAGCACTGATTTATTACAACGAACTTTAGTATATGACATACCAGAATGTTGTCCGGTTTTAGATCGGCATGTATGATACTGCACCTGCGAAGGTGAGCCAGCGCAACAAAAATTTGATGAGCATAGGCACGAGTCGCGCTCAGATTAATACCAATATTGTTACCGAATTTTCTAAGAACCTCGCGAAGGTTCAAACTGAGATTTTCGAACGCTAGACAAAGATGGCCTTTATGCTCAAAATGGCGCTCGAACTTGACAATGTGCCTGCGGTTTTCAGGGTCGGCATCGTTAAGCTTTTGAAGGATTGCGATTTCAGTGAATCCTCCTTTCCTCAAGGCATCATTGTTTCGCATCATTTTGATGGCAACAAGCTTCTTATTAGTAATGTCGACAGCTCGAGCCACGCCTGAAAACATGCCTTTGCCGAGGGTAGATTGTACTTGGTACCGACCATTCATGATCTCACCAATCCGAATCTTGTAATAGCCATCTTTGTCATCACCTTCTAGAATACCACCTCCATTGGGTTGCGTAAGAGCAGCAGGGTCTTTACGATCATCGGCAGCAAATTCGAGATGATTGGGTTTTGGTGCCACGAATTTGTTTTCGTCAAAATCCTCGGCAAACATGTCGAAATCATCGTCATCGTCAGCCCTTGGCTTCTTCGGGGTTGGTTCCTGGTGAACTGGTGGGATTTCAGCTTTCTCGTCAGGATGCAAGATCTCTCCATGGGGACCGATATGGCCATTACGACGCTCATCCCTCAACTCATCCTCTCTCATATCAGCTGTTGGGTCATAGTCTGCAGCGGACGGCCCGTCTTCCTCGTCGCCATTTCTTGAATTACCATGAGTGTTGATAAGCTCTTGATCATTAGCGATATCAAGTGGTGCAAGTGACAATCCTTCCTGTAAAGCTGGTGAACGTGGGGACGAGAAGGCTGTGAATCGGTTAGCAGGGGGGCGGGGTTGTAACAGACACTAGAACATTCTCACTAGATTTTGGTGTGTTGACCTCAGTAGCCATCGGCGTACTTCCTCGCGTTGTGGTCGGAGACAGGACATTCGTTTTCTCTGACGACTGAAGAGCCTGGACTAGCATTGGAGCTGCTCGTGACTTGGCGAGGAGCTCTTGGCGTCGGCGACGACGGCGTTCTATTTCTGCATCTTCGTCGATGGGTTTCTCATCTTCAACAAAGTTTTCCGATTTAGGCGCCTTCGTCATTTGGGCTGCAGGGTTACCTAAGCCACCGGGGGTAGAAGCCGCCTCAGACGAGGCAGAGGTAGCATCTGTAGTCTTGACTGTAGATCTTTGTTTAGAGGCATCTAAGGAGTCTTGAGCGGGCCGTGGGCTTTTCTGATGGTGACTTGACCTGATACTATTGGCGCCATTCCGAACTGGATCCCGTCGCACTCGGTCGCTATCGCGTCTGGCGTATTCACCTCGATCTCGCTCACCACGTGACGAGTTGTATGGGGAGCGGGTGCGATTCCTTGGTCGCTTATCGGGATAGTGGTCACGATCCTGGCTTCGATCTCTGGCCCTATCGCGGCCATAATTCCGGTCCCTGTCGTCGTAATGTAGATTTGCAGCCGATGAGCGGGAGGACGGGCGATCTTCGTCGTCGTAAGAAATACGAGTACGGTGGTAGTTGTCGCGGGAGTCTTCATAATGGACACGGAAGCGTCGGGGGTCGGAGTCTACACGACCTCCCCGATAGGAATCACGATCATCGTGAGATCTCTTTGAACCACGAGGCGAGCGGCTTCGTCGTTGGCGTCTCACACCGTTCAGATAGTCCGGGGATCGTGAGCGTGAGAATCTAGCTCGATTTCTGTCCATACGGTCAACACCATGTCCATCAATATGAGGCAGTGAAGTTGCCTTCGAGTCTCCCACACGGCTCTCTACGATCTCGCCCTCATCGGAACTAGATGGTGATGCCATCTTGCTTGCTCACTTTGTTTTCGCAAAGACGCACGAGGGTGCAATCCGCTCCCGATCTTGAGAACGAGGTAGGATGTCAGCTTAGAAGAACTTAAGTATGTCAAGGTGCAAAAAATTGGACCGAACCGGGATGCGTTTCTCCTCTCTCAGCTCTATCGCATTACGATGCTGCTCGAGTCGATTGGAGTTGGTGATATTGAAGTCAGAAATGGAGGCTAGGAACTACAGGTAGTATCGTGGGTAGGAATGGGCGGATTATATCCGATGTTTGATCAATGCCGTACGCTGGATGATGAACGGAACGTCCTGTTGCAGGACTGGCGATGAAGTTGATCAAACAAGACGTTGGCGCGCGGAGGCTGTTGGGTGTTTACCTAAGTGTATGATTCACGCTCGAAAGAGAGACGGGGCGCCAAGTGTCGAGCCCAAGAGTGATCGGATGAGTGGGGCCCATCCGGCTCCGCAAAACGGGTTTTCTGAGTGGAAGGAGCCAACCACCGCAGAGTGCCCGCGTGGCTGACAGCAGTGACAGGTCAGGACATGTCATAGTATACAAACAGTGCATACACTGTCGACGATAAGAGACAATCGCGGTATGATAAGAGAGCGCGCTAACTAGAAACATCCTTAGTCATGAAACCCTTGCCCCGCGACCGCATTCTATTTAGCCCATTCGATTTAGCCCATTCTGCCTGACCCTTCTCTGTGTATCAGACTCCAACGCCTCCCTTTGCGACACGATCAGAGCTCGTTCTGATTCCTCCTGCTGCTTCGATTGTCACTGTGATATCTGGTAGTCACTTCGGCTTCATCAAATAATTACCATGGGTGGTCAAAATCGCGAGGGTCAGTCAAGATACCCTGCGCTGGTTCTGTTGGGCTGAGGCTGACATCTTCCATAGGCGGCAAAGTAAAGCCTCTGAAAGCCCCCAAGAAACAACAGAAGGACGTGGATGATGATGACGTTGCGTTCCGCGAGAAGCAGAAGGCCGGTAAGGCTTTCTATCCCAACTCATATCTCCCGCTCGTTCAAAAACTGATATGCAACAGACGCCAAGGCTCGTGCCGAGATGGCTCAAAAAGCCGCTGGTAAAGGCCCTTTGACTAGCGGAGGCATCAAGAAAAGCGGCAAGAAATAGACGTTCGATATTGACGAATACACGAGACTACGATGATAATAACGACATGCCGAGCCGAGATGGGCTACGATAAGTGCCGAAACGGTTAACACATTATCGCATGGGATGTTAGGAGTGCTGTGTTGCTTACGGGATTACACTTGCCATAGCAGTCAATACATTGTCATTGCAACTGCAATTCTCCAAGCCCATACATGCCTAGGTAATCATATCAACCGCATACATAGAAGTCGTTTCAGACAGTGGGGCGTATTATCCCTATTAGACTTTGTGCCTAGGAGGTAGCCTAATAGGTAGAACTAGAAATACCCTAGGTAGGACAATCCAAAGTAATATGCTAGAGGTCCCTAGGAAGGAAATTTCAAGACAAGAAACAATGTCTAGTCAACTTTCTCAGATGGCTACGCGCTCCACATGAATCTGGAGAAATCCTCAAGGGTATGTGGTTAAGAATGCAGCTGCTGCCATCTGACAGTAGCCCGTTGTCTCTCGCCTCAACTAGTTCTTCATATGCGCACCTTTCTATTGAATCCTTGTAGTTCAGGAATATTTTATCAGTATATTTTGAAAGCCATTCTCAGTTACATTTGATACTGCATGAGCGACACCCACCTTGATTTGTGCTGAGCGCGATGTGAATGTAGCTTAGAACCTAGGTATCATAACATTTATCTCCATCTCACCATGGCCGTGTCCGACGCAGCAGACCTACGCCGGCGCCGACAACGATCCGCCGTCCCGGCAATAGCAGACGCTGCGATAGCAGCCGAGCATAAATTATCATCGGCATTGCTCCTCCTCTGGGACGAGCTCCCACACTGGCGCCGTGACAACGCCTTCATCCTATCGGGCTACCGTCCAGCAAGCAACAGCTACGTTGCGTCTTTCCTCAGCACCTTCAGCGTACACAACGAGAGCGTGAATATCTGGACGCAGTCAGTCTCCCGGTATCACTCGTTGCATTCTTGGGCTTTGCCATTTTCAGATGTCGTCTTTCCCTCATGTCTCCGAAACATGAGCTGAATTCTTGCGCTGTGCGATGATTACTAACTTCAGCAATGTAAATAGCGCCATCGGCTCGCTCATCCTCGTGCCCCTCGCGGTGCTGTATCTCTACACGCAGATCGCCCCGCGCTATCCGAGTGCCAGCTCGACAGATGAACTCGTCTTTGCCTGCTTTTTATTCGGTGCGGCGCTGTGCCTGGGGATGAGCGCTACCTTCCATGCTCTGTCCAACCACTCTGAAACCGTAGCTAAATGGGGGAACAAGCTTGATTATTCAGGTATTGTATGCCTAATTGTCGGTAGTTACGTTCCAGCTCTGTACTATGGGCTCTTCTGTAAGCCTGTGTTGCTGAGCCTTTACTTATGCGCGGTGAGTTATACCTAGCATTTAAAAATACCAAAACTGGAATCCTATCATGCGTTATATGTAGGTATTTCTCCTATATTATCACTGATTTCGGGCCCTTGGCTTCTAGATCTTCCTCCTTGGCCTTGGATGTGGTATCGTTTCCTGGGTTGAACGATTCCGAACACCGAGCTGGCGCCCGGTAAGTCATTGTCAAAGTCGTTGTTCCTTTGCGTCCTGCTTCAAGACTGTGAGAACTCTACATATCCTTTTGACATTTTCGAAAGGCTTATACCGCAGTCACGCTCAATATAAGATAATTAACTTTATACTCCGTAGTATCGAGCTGCAATGTTCGTTGGGCTCGGAGTTTCAGGCGTTGTCCCCGTCTGCCATGGGCTTAATATGTACAGATACCACTCCCTCAACGAGCGCATGGGATTGAACTGGGTCCTATTTCAGGGCGCACTCTACATCTTTGGAGCCTTGTTGTATGCAGTAAGTAGATAAATTACACAGGATCGGACAAGCGGAAGTTGTTGCAGACACTAATTAAACAGGTTCGTTGGCCTGAACGAACATCACCAGGAACCTTTGACATCTGGGGCCACTCCCACCAGCTCTTTCATATCCTCATCCTGCTAGCAGCGGCGTCTCATCTCAGGGGTATGGCAAAAGCTTTCGATTATCATCATAGTATCCTAGGAGCTCAATGTTCACTATGAAGTATAATTTTGATGCATTGTAAATATACCTATATACGATTCCGAAGACCATAGACTTTCTGCAACCGATTCAGTCAGAATCCAGCAGAAATCATGGAGGCCTAATATATTAAAGCGGTGGTTAACAGCAAACATCGAAGTTTCTCACGAGCAGCTAATCTAATACACGGCTTTGCCATCGTTGTAAACTAAAGCCTCTTCAGTCTTCATCGGAGATCATTTCAACATTGCCATCTTCCTCATCCACCTCATCTTCATCCATAGCATCCATGCCATTATCATGTTCATCCTCGTCATCAATACCAAATTCCTTATTATCTCTCTGGCTACCCTGTGGTTCGGCACCAACGTCCATAACTCTCAGCAGCCCGGATCCCATTGCCGCCGCCGCCCACCAGCTGAACTCGACATTCGGATTCCATGCTACAGCCGTTATACGCGTCTGAGGCTCGTAGAGTACAATTGGACCAGGCCCAGAGGTCATCGCCACTTCCTCATCGGCCTCGCCCTCTGGCTGTCCCGGAGTCTTAGCCTGCGACTTTGCAGAGTTCTCCGTCGTCTTCCCCTTCCCTTTTCCCTTGGATTCACCCTGTTTCGCACCTTTCTCGCGATTTAATCTTTGCGTCTCAGCCATCTTCACGCCAGTTGGATGTGAATTGGGTTCAGGCAGGAACCCATGTAGGATTCGACATACGCCCCGTGGTGCTGTTTCTTCGCCGTCGTTATTGGCGTTAGAGAATGGTGGCGCATAGAACTCATGCTGGAATAGTTTCAACTTGAGGGTTTTCTCTCTGTGGCTCGATAGTTTACGTAGAATGTTGAACACCCATATACTACCATCCGTGGATCCAGCGATGATGAAGGGATGACAAGGACCTATAGAAATGCACGTGGGCTGCCCGTTAACGGTAATCAAATGTCGACATACAGGAAACCCTCTGATGGGTAAGAATGTTAGGTTTGGATTTCCAGCAAAAGCTGACGGCCATATCGAAGCATAGCCCCTAAGATGAGGACTCCACGCAAGGAGATTAGGTTGAAGAGATACCATCATATTTGGGTGGTATGTCGTTTCTGCGCTTGGGTGGCTTAAGTCTGTTATGGTTAAGACACCACCGATAGGTACAGTTGATACAAGGAATGGATCAGAGGGATAGCCAGAGACGATGTCGATGATAGCTGTGGAATGGACTGGATGTCGCTGAAGTATCCGAGGAGGCGAAAGAGACCATACCATCACAGATCCATCAGAGAGACCAGCTGCCACTCGATTCATATTAATCCATGTGAAACACGTTATCTCAACGGAACACTCCTTGGGCGGTTCAAGCAGAACCATAGGCTCTTTAACTTCCTCTACGAAGTGTAAGTGATAGCCAAAAAGATGTAACAGGGAGGTGGCTTACCAAATACCTCATTGCTTCCTTGCTCTAAGATATTCTGGACGCCTATTATTCTGAGTCTGCCGTCCACGCAAAGTACACCTATAAGGCGAGTGGCGTCTTCATCTGTGAGCTGTACAGGACACCACTGTATTCTTGACACTCGGCCCCATGAGAAACACAATGCTTGAGCTAGACTTGGAGCGTGTTTTGATGGCCGAAGAATGCCTCGGCGATCTCGAGTTGCTTCAAACCTCAGAATTTGCACTGTGCCTTCTTTCTGTTCAGACTCCTTAGGGGCATCTTGGAGGTTATGGTAATAAGCCTGATCATGAAATGGAGCAACAGCAATCGCCAAGAGCTGGTTGACTTCGCTGTGCATGGGCGCCCATGCCATAGAAACCGGAATTCCTCCAACGTCGAGAAGCCACCCACCAGTTACCATCTCTCCGTCATCAGTGTCACGGATAGGGTGACCGGTATCAGAAAACGAAAGACTATCTCCGTATCGAATACGGTATGGTTTTTGATCCGAGACATGGCCTAAGAGCACATCCAGCTCTCCTTGAGCTTGTGGGATAAATCTATGAAATGCTTCAGTTTTGTCGATATGAGTTTGGGTCTGTTGTCGAAACTGGTGAACTAAACGGCCAGTATACAATTGATGGAATTTTGATCGCTGGTCGCCGGCGAAACTATCAGGCATCCACCCTCTCTGAGCTCTTGAAAGTTGGGCTTTGGAGGTCAACTTGGGTGGTATGAGTTCGTGCTGCCACCAGAGTTTTAAGTAGCCGTTGAGGATGTTTCTACGCTCCGGCTTATCACCAAACCACCAGTCAATCAATTCGTAGAATCGCGTCCATCTCTTGATCGGCCCTAGATACGTCCTCGTCCATCTCTGACCTGGATCTGATGGGTACGCCGGAACTTCAGCGAAGGCTTGTCCCTTGCCAGATTGGTCCTCCGGCTTAGGAGGCGCAGAGGATTTTATTCTTGTCTTTGCCTTTGCCCTTGCCGTCTTCGCTACCTTTGGAGCGGAGGCGCGGCGACGTGTTGACTCATCGCGTTCGTCATTTTTGTCATCGTTATCCCCGTCGCTCTGTACTTCGTCAACTTCCTCTTCCTCACCACCAGCGGTAGCCTCAACAACGAACTCGTCTCCAGATGAGTCCACTCTTAGCAAAGAATCGTCGTCAGCATCAGAGTTCTCTGGATCCAGGCCGTAGTCTGGCAACCGATACTGTTTCTTCTTATTTGATTGGCGGAGCCTCATGGTGCATGTGCATCACAAGCTCCAAAGAACCTAGGTAGAGAGTACCACTTTCATGCTCAGGCTGGGAGTGGGCGAGAGGGAATGGATCACTCCCGAGGGCTCCGCTTTAAGCTTCCGAGGCTAGGCCACTGGCCTAGAAACTCATGCATCTGACGATGACAGTAGCTTAGGGGTAGAGATAAGCATTTGGGTTTCCAAATCTACATTCTTTCAGGTGAAGGTTTGGGAATAGATATATTGATATTGTAGAGTAACAAAAAAAAACTACAGTGTTGGCCGGGGGGGATATATGGGCACCCCTCCCGTTGCATGTGCTGTCTGGAACAAGCTGCAGGTACTGCAGTAATAGTAGCTTATGTAAGGAAGGGATAGATACCTAGCCCGCAGACTACCTTATGTACTGTACATAGGTAGGTAGAGAGCTAGCAGCCTTTCAGGGATTTGGGGAGCTGTTTCTCCAGGATTCTTTCGGTCCCCTTTATCCTATCTCATAGACGTGTCTACTTAGTATCCTGACCAAATACCTGCTTATTCCTGAGCAATATATGGTACGCGTATGCTTATATAGTAATCGACCAGCCCCCTCTGCCTGAGGCCAGGGAACTGAGGTGAAGGGGCCAATGTGTGATGGTGGGGGCGGAAAGTGAGGGGTTCGAGGTGGGACTTACATGTAAGCGGGGTCACGGATGTTTGATAAAGTACCTCCTTGCCAATATCGGTACCTACCCAACCGAGCCAACTACGACCTATGTTTCCTCCCAGTCGAGCGAGCAGTTAAGACAGACATACGAAGTAATCAGGACCTGGACTGGAGCTATATGTAGATAGATACCGCACCTAAAGCCGCTCCAAACCTCTACACTGCCTAGGTACGTTGGATATATTGGAGAAGGGTCTTGAAGATGTCTAACGCATAAATGGTAACACTGTAACTGCCTGTTGCTTGCTACCATCATACCAGGTACTACATGAGGCTTTTGACATTCATTCCACAGTCCTGCGCTAATGTCGGGTTCCCTAAGCCGCCAAGCCGACCACATGGTTCCTCGTCGACGCCGCAGGGATTCTTTGGGCTTTATATATGTACTGTTATGTAGACTGACAGGTGCATATGTAAGTTCCTAAGTATCTATTCGGCAAGTACGGTACCTGTCAGAGTCTAGGTACGTAATGTACAGCAAACGAGCATTCAGGTCGGATCCTCTCCCGTCGGGTCATCTGTTGACAATGTCTGGAATTCCTGGTTACCTTTTCACCACACAGCTCTTCTTCTTGCGTAGCATCCAAATGAAATACGTTGATATCGGTACTCCAAGATGTCCTGCTGCTGGTACCATACAGTTGTGTAACTCAGCGTTTATATCCTTTTCTGCAACCCTGCGTACACTATATGTATGCTCCTAGGCAAATACATACTATGTACTTAGTAGTCCCTTGCAATATCACGTAATCACTTCGTTAATCTACACTACCATCAGGCTGTCTCTGACGACTCGTACCCACGCCTCGTAGGCTTGTAGTACAGTGCTGCTTGGTAAGTACGGAGTAGGTAGGTAGGTATGTATCTGGTATGTAGATAGGCAGGTATAATACGCACAATACTGGTTATCTAGGACTGGCCACGTCTTCGGTATATCCGAGAGATCAACTCCCCCCCTCGGCTTACGTGGAGGTGCGCACATTGGCCCACGGCTGGTGTTGGTAAAGTTCCGTGCATGACGATGTCCAGTTCCCTCTGTTTCGAATCAGGGGAGTTTGGCTGTCAGCGCCTACGTTACATTGTGCGACCGCGCCCTCTGCCCGGTTGAGTAGCGCTGGATGCTGGCACTGCTTCTGCTGCTGCTGCTGCTGCTGCTGCCCTGTCCCATCTCCACTCCCGCCATCTTTACTATGCAGAGCCCTTCCTTTCAGTGCAATCGAGGCGGGATGCGCTTGGTCTGCCTGCTGACTGCAAACGATGTATCTAGTCGTGCTCCATGTGTGTGTCTACCTGCCTGCCTGCCTGCCTGCCTGTCTGTCTGCCTGTCTGCCCTCTTGGTTGTTGCGCACATTCTTCATCTACCAGCTTTTGACTATACGTGATTCTATTTTCGACCGCTGTCTCTAATGCCAAAGGATTCACGCTATGGAAGAAGCTGCCGCCATCGGCAATCTTGACGCTGTGAAGAGTATGTTGCCAAGCCTGTTACTGAGCCACGACCCAACTGTGCCCCTCCACGAGAGGGCCGCACCAGGTGCCAGTACCATTCTCGATCGGTCCATACGTGCTGCCGCCGCTCATGGTTGGGCCGACGTCACCCGTTTCTTCATTGACCAAGGTGCCGTTATCGACGATGCCCTTGTCTGCGCTGTTATAAACTCGGGATCTATCGAGCAATGCCAGATTCTTCTGAGTCACGGCTGGGATGTCAATCGCAGCTACATTAGTGCTTCTGGTGATTGGCATTTTTGGACTCCTTTGCGGTAAGCCCTGACCGTCTTAGCTTCCAACAGTTCGTTCGCAACTCACTATCCTTCAGCGCAGCACTTGGAGACCCGCCGCTTTGCCGTTGGTTGTTAGAGCATGGTGCGGATCCAAATCTTTCGGAGTATGGGTTTACACCCATCATGGTTGCCGTTCGGCTGCATTCACCAGAAGTCGTTCAGCTTCTCATAGAGTTTGGTGCGGACCCGAAGACCCCAATGCTGTTACACTCTACTGCTAGTGCTTCGAGTAGGGCGATAAGGGAGGCATACCCTAATCGTGAGGATTCAGATAGGATAAGAGTTATGAAGATACTGCTTGATCACGGCGCCGACGTGAACGAGATGGAACCAGATCCGAAAGCCCGGCCGCGCGATGATACGAGACGAAGGCGGACTGTCGACACTGGCACGCCGCTTCACTACGCAGTGGCCGCGGGGAACCCCGTCACCGTAAGCTTCCTTTTAGCACATGGAGCGAATACAAAACTCCCGAGTTGGTCCGGGCACACACCTCTCCAGGCTGCCGAGGTGTTGGAGATGAGGTATATTTCACAGATCTTGAGGTTGTACGGGTGAAGTAAGGATGAAATCGACACTATATACACCTGGGCAGACAGGTCGTCATGACGGCTTTTTTATGTATTACTATCGGTAGGCGTTTCCTTGTTGGAGTTGCAGGTCATCGAAAGCGGCTAGTTGATATGTGGTACTAAATTTTGATACATTATTTGATTTAGTGCCTGTCTTGTATTTCAACTTCCCGAGACGATCGGCGAAGGGTTAGTATTTATGCATCGAATCGAACGAAGTTGCTCCCTTTGTCAACATCACCTCCACAATACCGACCTTGAACGCGATTATATTTGGAGGGGCTCAAGTTAACGGCAATTGGGAGACGCGTTTATATAAGTTATGGTATTGCTTTTAGGGGGTAGAGCGTAGACACTTCGCTGATATCCTGGATTGGGAGGACGTCAGTTCGAAATTTTGGGTGAAACCTTCCCTAGCGTTGGAGCACGACACCGATTAACCAGGGGGTGCCGTTGTTCCACGACCATGGGGCCGTCAGGTCTCTTAGATGTGTTGTGCTGCAGACAATATCAACATATTGCGTAGCGCTTCATAGGGATCTTCTCTACCCATCGCAACGACAAGCAATGGAATTGCTGGTTTACCATCGTGTATAGTGGTTGAGTTTCATTCTCTGCATCTGCAATGGTTGCGGCTGCGGTACACTCCAGCTTATGAGTCTCTGTGATAATCCATTGCACACACTCCAGAAAACACGATTCTAGCTGTACACCGGATAAATCAGATAATTCTTGGGATAACCAATCCTCAAGTCAACATCTTGATCTAGCGGTCAGGCCAACCATATCCGAATGGGCCCGGATACGGCCGAGTGTTATAATGCGACTAGGCTCGTGATAAGGTGCAATAGCACCGACTTAAACGCGCGAGAGCAACAAGCCGTCTTTAGCGAAAGTAGCTATTCGCTCCATACTAGATGAAGCATCGAGTAGAGAAGAGAGAAATGACATGTAGCCAAATTCCGTGCTCGATACATCACATAGTCAGCATGCTTGCTATACATACCGTAACGTATTATCAATTGCAACTTATACCTTTTGACGCCTACCGACCTTTCTAAGCAACAAAGTCACCTACAATCGGTGAGGCAACATGATCATATCCATAAGCCTGCATCGGAGTGAATGGAAATTCCGAACTTTCCTTCCGCCTAGTCGCCTCCTCCGACACTTGCATCACAGGAATGACACCGCCTTATCGAGCAACACATTAGTCTGTCGTACGAACTATCATAGAGGTGAACAGGAATCCCGCCAATTTGCCAGATGCAATTGAACCCGACCTTATGTCAGAGCAGCTTGATTGATCATATTGAAAATATTGCTGCTGAAGGGGCATGTTTAGCCGACGAGTTCTGTTGGCCACGTATTGATCATTCTTAAACCTCTATTCGGGCAACTGTATCCGAGTCATGGGATCTTTTCCTTTTTTCAGTTCCCATGCGCGACCTGGCAGCAACCGTGAAGGTAATTTGGAGAACAGCGTACGTAGTAGAAAATCTTCATGTTGATATAGCGCAAGCATGGAGACTGATGCCTTTCTATCGAGCTCAATTCCAAGGTCTGCTAACTTCCGAAGACTTGGCAGTGGTTTGGTCGAAGCAGGCACGTGTGACGTATCGTTGTTACCTTGGCAGTTTTAAATACTGATCCTACACTTCTCTATATTATGCTTGGGTGGACATTAAATCGTGCTGCAACGGGGGTGCCCTGAATACATAGGACCTAAAAAGGCAAGTTGATCAACAGTTGGGCCAATCATGATGTGTACGGACCAGGGCTCTGTGTCTAAATATAAACTTGAAGCTTCAGGTCGGAATACTGTAGTTGTCATGCAAGTGTTATGTCAAAAGATTGAAAACAAGCAATCATCAAATATTGCATACCTAACCTAGATAGCATACAAGCCTAGGTAGGTTTCTATTGCTGTGAGAGGTTGATTGACTTGTAGCTACTTCCATCTAATGATTGAACCCTACTTTCACAGGCCGCAAGGACCAGGCCATCATGATTCGGCTCATACGTAAATCTGGTCATTTTGCATAGGGACAAGAATTACTGTAGACGAAGAGGAGGTGTAATAGTAGTAATGAGCATATTATAGTTTGTGTTCCTCCCCAAGTAATATGTTTCGCCTCATGATTCCATGGGGATTTGGGGGGTTGCCTCAATAATAATTCAGCTAGGATCAAAGAATTGTAGGGTGTCCACATATAACTCTTCCATGAGCTACTCCAAGTAACTACCTATTCGCTACGGCGATTGTGCCTACAGTAGTGAATTACGACTTAAACTTCCAAATGTACGGAAGTAATAAGTTAAGGTAGGTAGCGTAGCGACTTTGAGTCATAGACAGCAATGAGCTAGCAGCACGGTTGTGATGAGATCTATGAAATGCCGTGTGTGACATATCCATATCGAGAGATGTTGGGTGTTGACTCAGATACCTACAACGTATATGTAGGTAGGTACCTAGGTACCGAATCTTTTTGCCTTTTGCCCGCCCTTGTCTCCGGTAAAAACCGGCGGGACGATACTCTTCTAGGTAACGTTTCTCGGTGTGATGAGTGCGCATCTAGTGTTCCCTTCGTCTTGACCGTTTTCTAAAGACGACCTCTACAATGTGACACGCGAGCTTCGTTCGTCTTACTTGGCCTTGGGTAGTTGTCTGGAGAGCCTCGTGACGAAGCGGGAGTGAATCGAAAGTAGAGAGAGACTTCAGAAATGGGAGTTGACCAGCGGGTCAGGGATAGATGATACTGACATACCGGTAGGCGGATAGGTAGGCCATGTCCTATTACTACGAAGTAAGTATGTACTTAGATCAGACCAGACCTCAGACTATTGCTCAGACCACTGCTCAGACCGCCATGCCCATCATGGTACACATACACAGACATACACCAAATGACGACCAGGCCAATGATGGAGACAGAGATTTTCTGGTAAGCCGATATCGCCACCACTCGCCACTCACGTTGATTTGCAGATAGCGGGACCCACAGCCAGGGCCTGCCGAGCCTGTACAGTACCTGTCGACTGTCTGACCTGTGTACTGCCTGTGATGGCCCTGTACTGGCCCTTACAGGGCCCTGTAAGGGCCTGTGCCAGAGGGCGGGTCTGCCTGGGCCAACGGCTGCACGACGCAGTACCACAGCGGCTGTCTGGCTGTTGATTGGACGGGAGCAAGCCGTGGCGGGGTCAACCCCACAGTTCTCACGAATCTTGGACGGCTAAGTTTTGTGGTGCCTCAGGATCGGCTCTAGACCTGCGAGCTGTGGTAGCGCCGAAAACCGCTGGATACCTTGAATGTCTTTTTCCCACTCGACTCACCACTTGTGCAGTCAAACTTCAAATTTGTCTTGCAGTGTCGACGTCGTGGGACAATTGATGTGGCACACCTTGGTTCCCGTCGTCATATTTCTAGGGTTCCCTCACTTTTCTTTCGAATTCGAATTTTGAATCTCAAATCTCGAATCCAAACACGACGACACTCCACGATCATTGTTCTAGGTGACCCATCCGTCCCAGCTTCCTGGACTTTTGCTGGCTGGTTGGCCCTCCCAGACCAAAGCTCTCCTCCCCTCTCCTCTCACGAATCCGCCATTTCACAATGCTTCGATCACGACAAGCCGCCAAGGCCGTCAGGGCCCTTGCGCAAACTTCGCGACAGAATCAGCGTTCCTTCACCGTTTCCCCCGCTGCTTCGGCTCTACAAACCACCACAAAGCCGCTCAACGCCGTCCGGAATCAGACCACCTCAGCACAACCTACCCCGTAAGTTTGCGATACTCTGCGCATTGTATTTATCTAGCTATTTCAGCCCTTAGACTGACATCTTGAGTGTTCAGTCAAATAAGAGACACGCCTGCGCCTAGCTTCAATGTCGCCGACGCAAAGGACCGTAGCCATGTGCAACCACTGGTCAACCCAAGCACCCCAAACATGGACGAATCGTACGTCCCTCCCCTTCTATGGCAATTGCGTTGAGATTGTAGCTGACGTAAAAACTAGGTTCATTGGCAAAACTGGAGGCGAAATCTTCCACGAAATGATGCTGCGGCACGGTGTCAAACACATCTGTATGTTTTCTGATAGCCATTTTACTTTTCGATAGGGATAATAACTTATAGTGACTCATAGTTGGCTACCCTGGTGGGGCTATCCTTCCCGTTTACGATGCTATATACAACTCGAAACACTTCGATTTTATCCTTCCAAAACACGAACAGGGCGCTGGGCATATGGCTGAGGGCTATGCTCGCGCTTCTGGTAAACCAGGCGTTGTTCTTGTCACATCTGGCCCCGGTGCCACGAATGTGATCACCCCGATGCAAGATGCTCTTTCGGATGGCACACCCATGGTTGTATTCACTGGCCAGGTGGTCACTGGCGCTATTGGCAGCGATGCCTTTCAGGAAGCAGACGTTGTTGGCATTTCGAGAGCTTGCACCAAGTGGAACGTTATGGTAAAGGATATTGCCGAGTTGCCGCGCCGCATAAACGAAGCTTTCGAAATTGCTACAACTGGTCGCCCCGGTCCGGTGCTCGTTGATCTACCAAAGGACGTTACTGCTGGCGTTTTGAGGAGGGCGATTCCCACAACATCTGCCTTGCCTGGCCTTCCCAGTGCTGCCTCGCGCGCTGCCATGGAGGCTACACAAAAACAGCTTGAACGTTCTTTGTCTCGTGTCGCAGAGCTCATCAACATCGCAAAGCGACCCGTTATATATGCTGGCCACGGAATTATAACGTCTGAGAACGGACCCCAGCTGCTCAAGGAGCTCGCAGACAAGGCGTCAATCCCCGTCACCACTACGCTACATGGTTTGGGAGCCTTCGATGAGCTGGATGAGAAGTCTCTGTACATGCTTGGCATGCACGGCTCTGCGTTTGCTAATATGGCTATGCAAGAGGCTGATCTCATCATTGCCTTGGGTAGCCGATTTGATGATCGTGTCACACTCAACATTTCCAAGTTTGCGCCTGCCGCAAAAGCCGCTGCGGCAGAGGGTCGTGGTGGCATTGTTCACTTCGAAATCATGCCGAAGAACATAAACAAGGTTGTTCAAGCAACTGAGGCCATTGAGGGTGATGTATCAAGGAACTTGTCGCAGCTACTCCCTCACGTTAATTCAACATCGATGGCGGATCGCAAGGAATGGTTTGACAAGATCAAGTCTTGGAAAGAAAAGTGGCCAATGAACTCTTTCGAACGCACTGAGAGACCAGGGATGATCAAACCTCAAGTTCTCATTGAGCAGCTCAGCGAATTGACTGCGCCCCGGAAGCACGAGACGATCATTACTACCGGAGTAGGGCAACATCAAATGTGGACAGCCCAACACTTCCGATGGCGCTATCCTCGAACCATGATTACCTCCGGCGGTTTAGGCACTATGGGATACGGGCTGCCTGCTGCCATTGGTGCCAAAGTTGCACGGCCTGATGCCTTGGTCATTGACATTGACGGTGATGCATCGTTCAATATGACCCTTACTGAACTTTCCACCGCTGCCCAGTTCAACATAGGTGTCAAAGTCATTGTTCTCAACAATGAGGAGCAGGGTATGGTTACTCAGTGGCAGAACCTCTTTTACGAAGACCGATATGCGCACACCCATCAAAAGAATCCCGATTTCATGAAGCTTGCTGATGCTATGGGTGTTCAACACAAAAGACTTATCAAGCCAGAGGACACTACAGAGTATCTTAAATGGTTGATCGAATCAGACGGCCCTGCTCTACTAGAAGTTATGACGGACAAAAAGGTGCCTGTCCTGCCTATGGTTCCTAGCGGCTCGGGTCTACATGAGTTCCTTGTATGGGACGGAGAAAAGGACAAGAAGCGGCGAGAACTGATGCGATCACGCACTAGTGGCTTACATGGCTAATAATTGATTATGATGTTGCATATGCGTTTGGCGTTTTGTCTGGCTTTATTTCTTTTCCCTTATCATTCTACTCGTGGTGGCAAGAAGTTTTTTGACGTATAACTGACATTGAGCGGTGTCCAAAAAGTCTGGAAGCAATTTACCAAAACTTGTATATCCTGTGTATGGTTTCGATCTCAATGGATACGGTGGTAGTATGTGGCTATGGCGTACCTATTTAGTTATGTATGCAATGTTTCTATCGGATATGGATTAAAATGAAACGGATTGGCAATTTTGAACATTTAACGATAACGATCTGAAGCTGAAGGCCATGGTTGGGCTGTGTGACATGCCTCTCTACCATAATGTATATTTATTATACCTTTGTAGCGCACGCAATTTAGAGTGACAAGGGCCATGCTCGTCCCATATTGAAATCTTCGTCTATCAGTGCATATCACTCCCTTCTTCTAATCCTTCCTATTGAGCTGTTCTTATTGTAGTATCTACGTGTCTCCCTCACGTGCGATGCCCTTACTAGAAGGCTGGTAGCCACCTACTCGGTAATCCCAATCGCAGCGCACGAGTAGCTGTGTTCCTTGCCCGCCCACATGCTGCAGAGCCGGATGCATTCGACTTTTGGTTTGCCTTCGGACACGTAACCGTTCACGTCGAAGCACGGCCAATGCAGGCGTCCGACCGGGTCGCCATAGCACGAAGTGCCATCTTCCGTGCTCGCCGGGAACCCGTACCAGCGCCAAATCCCGTCGTTGACGGTCGTTATGTACACGCTCTGCGTGGTATTTTTGACTGTTGCGCCTGCGTGTTAGCTTGATCGCTTTCGGTATATTGTACCAGTCTGTAGATTCGGTTGTGTCGAACTTACGTTTAATCTGCTGGTGATTTGTGCCAACTATTTTTCTTGGGGGTCAGTCGCTATTTTACTAATGGGAGGTTTTTGAATAGGGGGATAACGAGAGAGAGAGAGAGAGAGAGAATATAAGTAGGAAGTTCTGTGGCTGGCTTACTCCAGGCTTTTGAAATCGACCCGTCGCATCCCGGCCTAGCGAACTCGAAAGCTACCGTATTCCTCCAACCCGCAGCAACGGTAGCGAATGCGAAGAATGTTAATACTTGTTCTCTAAACCTCATGGTCATTGGTATTTGAAACTAGGTGTATCATACCTTTCCATCGGAGACTCTAATTTAGTGGGCGTCTCTGGACTTTATTCCTTGGGATGTCTTTCACATGAACAAACATGCCATCGTGTCTGACGACAAAGGACAGTGACGCATAGCATGAGCTCGAACTAAGAATACAGGAAAAGTACAACAATAGGCGCTGCTTAGTGACAAGGGCTGGCAAATATATGACATAAGTGCCGTCTTTCATGGTGCTCTTTGCTTTCCAACAATCTGGGTAACATGTGCCGCTGCTTTTTCGAGTATCATTAATTTGAAGAGGTAGGTACATGAAATTAATATTGACTTGCGAGACCCTATCATTTATTAAGTGTCTATCTGTGCCTACAACGTTCAAATTGTCTTAGAAGTGGTGTTTTGGGATACCCGGTGTTCTTATGTAAGTCGGCCGGGAGGATTGAGGCTGCAAGTACTGTATGTAAGGTACAGGTAGGTACCTGGTAGTTTACAGGCAAGGTACAGGCCTACTTACCTCGGTAGCCCAGGGACCCCTGCCTTGCTCAAGTTTAGGCAGAGAGGAAATGTACATTGTTCGATGGAAATCCCAAACTGTTCGTCTTTTTTACTTCAAACTACTCAAGCCATACAAGCGAGTTGGTCAATAGAATCAGAGTTAGGCAATATCTCTTGGTGCTTTCAGAGCCAGAGACATAAGTATAGCTCGGAGTAGGTAGGTGTCGAGTGGTGTAAAGAGACTACCTACCTACCTAGGTACTTATGAGAGGCTGGGGTATGAAATGTGGAGGGCGGAATGGAGGGGTAAAGTCACTTCAAGTCTTCAAAGGTACAGGGGAGGAATTAACATGGCGCTTGTGAAAACAAGAACGCCCCTCAATTTGGCTGGAGATTCTCATCGCGTGACGAAATGAATATTTGGAGTATTTCATCTCGTTTCCTCAATCTGTTCATTCTTATATAGTCCGCGATCATCTCACTTCACCATAGCGACGAGCACGTGCCCTGCGATCGACTAAACAAATTATTATACGACAGATTGGCGGGGAGCTCGACCTACGAAGCGGGGTGTTAAGTCGTGCATTACTCTGTCCCACGGTGCAGGCACGGCTAGCATCGAAGGGTTAGATCACCCTCGTGGTCTACGCGTATACATAGCCTCCAAGATGTCTGGGCCCGTGCCTACGGTGACTGCTTTAAGCGACATCTATACAACACAAGCTCTAGCAGACCAAGGGGTACGATGGAATAATCTGCTCGAGAAGTTCCAGGCGCGCTATGGCAGTCCTGCGCAATTCGTCGCTCGTTCGCCGGGCCGTGTGAACATCATCGGCGAGCATATTGACTATTCCCTCTACTCGTGCCTGCCTATGGCCATCATCCCGGATGTCATCATCGCTGTTTCGACTGATGAAGCCCCATCTGACGAAGGGACATTCAACATCAAGATCGCGAACGTGGATGATCGGCGGTTCCCGGCGCGAGAATTCGATATCCCTCACTCGGAAGTTGAGATTGACGCAACGAAACACGAGTGGACCAATTACTTGAAGTCCGGGTTGAGGGGCGCCTTGGAGCTCTTGCGGAAAAAGCATGGCCCTGACTTCAAGCCTAAAAGCATGCAGATGCTCATGGACGGGACAGTGCCTGCGGGTGGAGGTCTGAGTTCAAGTGCCGCCTTCGTCAGTACTAGTGCGCTGGCTGTCATGGTTGCGAATGGTGAGAGCGACGTTAGCAAAAAGGACCTAACTGAGGTCGCCATTGTCAGTGAGCGCGCCGTTGGTGTCAATTCGGGAGGGTAAGTAAACCCCTTAACAACACTATTTCTTGTAGGCTGCGCTTACACAACTTTTAGAATGGATCAGTCTGCATCAGTTTTCTCTGAACGAGGATCTGCCTTGCTGGTATCCTTCGTGCCCACATTGTCAGCGCGACCTGTGTTCTTCCCCAAAACGAACCCTGAGCTGTGTTTCATGATTGCTCAGTCTTTCGTCACCTCTAACAAGCAAGTCACTGGGCCCATCCACTATAATCTACGGGTTGTGGAGTGTAGCATGGCTGCGGCTTACCTCAATGCCAAGCTTTGCCCGGCGGGCACTGAGCTTCCGAAAGATGCTGGTCCTCTAGGCGTGTCAATTCGTGGCTTCCATGATAATTACTTCAAGGGCACACAGAAGTCGATGACTCAACAACTCGAGGAGTTGATTGAGTTGACCAAGAGTACTCTGACCCAAGAGCAAGGATACACCGTTGAGGATGTTGCTTCTGCTCTGAGTATCTCGGTTGATGACTTGAAAGGTCGTTTTATGTCGAGCTTTCCTGTTCGAGGGGAATATTTCAAGCTCCGTCAGCGAGCTCTGCATGTGTTTACCGAGGCGTTACGAGTTCTTCGATTCTTATCACTTCTCGAAGATCCCGCTGAAGCCCCCTCCCCCGACAATACAGCCCAGTTCAATCAACGGCTTGGCAATCTGATGAATGAAACTCAGGACTCATGCCGTGAAGTGTATGAGTGTAGCTGTCCTGAGATTGACGATATATGCCGCATCGCCCGCGAGGCTGGCAGCTACGGGAGCCGGTTGACTGGCGCTGGTTGGGGTGGTTGTAGCGTTCATCTTGTGCCAGCGGACAAGGTAGACGATATCAAGGCGGCGTTGGTAGAGAAGTACTTTTCTAAACGACAAATATCGGAGAAAGACATGGAGGATGCGATTGTTGTTAGTCGGCCTATGAATGGGAGTGCCATTTACAAACATGACGGTGGAAAGGTTTGAATGAAACCTGGGCTACCACAACTCAACCTAGACTTTGAAGTAGCTGGGCTATAGGCTAGTAGAGATTCTAGGCCTAAGATTATGAGTAATACTAGTACCAACATATTACTTAGTACTGCATCATATGTAGTCGCGTATTTGACTAGCAGTCGTTCAGCTTATCATTTGTTTATTGCCTATAATGACCCCATTGATCTAAAACATTTAATTCCATGCGAGGATTCAAGGTTCATGGTATGCAATTATATAATATTGAATTATAACAACGTAACTATGGTTTGGGCCTTTTTGATAATATCACGACTCCTTAATTAAAAACACCAACCCTGATATGCTCAACATAGAAAACCGACTGATAAGCCTCTAAACATTCACGACGTCCATCACATTTTGGTATGTACGCATTGCATTCATTTGGTCCAACCTAGCACATTCAGCAGACTGTTGCGCGGATCGCCGAATTGATCAACTAAGAGACCCTTTTTCCGAGCCTCCTCTACCTCTGGTGTATTCTGCTGGGCGAATATGTCGTCGAAGCCGACGGAACGTTGGTGGAGTTGTTTGGATACGTATAGACCGACGAGACCGGCGGCTCCTAACCAGGCGACTGTTGGCAAGAGGATTCTGCGATTCATGACTGGGTTAGCTTGTGCGACCTTGTAAGAGATATATATACAGGCATGTTGCTATTGATTGCTGATTGCTACGTACTTTGAGGCCACTGCACCGCCCTTCGGGATCATTGGAGTAACCGGGTGTGGTACCCCTGCGGCAACACGCAGACGCATTGATGGTTGCATCGTGTAAGTTGCTTGTTGTGTGTATGAGATGTAGGTGTGGGTGGTTGTATAGATAGGTATTGATTGAGGTTGCACTGAGAAGAGTGATGTGCTCTCAAGGGAAGGGTATCAGACACTCTATTCGACAGAGATGAAGATTATGAACTAATACTGCAGACGGATAATGTCTAGATGTATGATGTGTGTGATGTTGGTTGTATATTATTAACACTGCTTGTTGTGTGACACGGAAGAGAAGCCATCGTGAAAGGACACACAGTAATATCAGGGAGATATTATACTCGTGCCAACTAGTGTACATTCCCTCTTCAATGAGTCAAACTTTTCCCTGTGCCACTATTTTGGATTCGGCTTGAATCCTAACAATTTCCTATGAGGTCGATAATCTGGACGTGATCATAACACTCAGGAGCCTCATGAGGTGATACTGGGCCGGTGCCCCCCGAAGGCGGCCCCAGACGTCGGTGAACTGCATGTGCCAGTGGCCCCCTGTCGCAGTTTGTCCAGACAGGGGCGTGGCCCGTCCTGTTGGGCCTAGCTGAAATCCTACTGACCTGACCGTGGCACCACTTCTCCCATTTGTCGCTGAACAGCCTCTCTTTTCTCTCACTTCGTCTTGCTCGTGACGAGTTGTGAGGTCTAATATTCTCCCGTTTGACATCATTCGGGTCCCGAGTTGTTTTCGCGACCGGGCGACCCATTCGTCGTATTCATAACACCAAAAAATGAGGTTGCTTGGAACGTGACAAAAACGAAAAGGATGCCTGTATTCGGAAGTCCTGGGGAGCCGAGCCCTATTTTGTTCGACTGGGTCAGGTGTGTTGTTGTCGCCGAATTCTGACGTCGACGGTGAATTACTACTCCGAACATTATCGTTGGCCCGGCTTACCTTCTGATCATACCACAATGTATCATCAAACTGTAGCCATAATCCAGAGTTTGTCTGCCTTTGCAAGTTTATCAAAAACATACTGTAAGTCGGAGAAAAACACCATCACAATGAATTCTGTTTAGCGAAGCTGCTACATTAGGTGGTCTTGCATTCACGACATTTGACTATCCAAGGAACCCGGACTTCTTCTGTGCGCGACGCCCTATATTACTAATCGAAACCTTCTTCAATATCACCAGATCATCGTGTAACAAGAAACAAGCGCGACTTTAGAACGTGAACAGAACAGCGAAGATTACCTATGGCAATCTAGCCGTCGCTTTCAAAAAGCTAGACTTAGCTACGTCGACAAGACTTGAAGAGCACACGAAGGGCACACAACTGGCTTCGTATCAAAGCATCCCTCCATTTCGGCGACAGCTGTTATGTCGCTTGCGGTGATCTGGTGGAAAATCGTGTAGTTAGGGATTGTTCCGTTCCTACCTAGGCACTTAGGTACGCTATCGAGAACGCGTGTACCTATTCTAGGAATACGATTATCGGTAACATACATAAGGTCTGTAGGTGGTAAGGTACGAGCGTCATCAGCGCTCGTCTAACAGTTTAACCGTCATCGCATCCAACGTGTATTTCATCTAAGATGTGCTTTTGCCCAGCAAAACCATCGTCTATCCACGTTGTCTCTCTACTGAAGCAGGTACTTTGCGATGGGTCATACACACTGGATCTTGGACTCGGGCTCCCGTCATCTTCTAACGTCCACGACGTTGGATCGAAGATGCTGGCCAGCCCATCGCTAATTCAATAGCAGTTCCTCATGCCCAATTTCTACCTCACGACTCATCTTCACCAGACTCGTCATAGGGTTTTCGATCAGATGTATTCAGCTTTGAATAGTATCACGATACGCAACTATCCGAATTTCAATGAGAGGTGCGTCCCAGTTATATATATTTAAGCAGACGGCTAGTTGTTTTATACTGTAAGAAATTCTGTAATTGTCTCTCAACGACAAGGAAACTAAGAGTTGAAGATGTGTAAGTTACCAAATTATGAAGACTAATGTAATATAGACAATGAAAATTACTTGAGGCTACATGATCTTGCATCTTATTCGCAGGTGCTGCATTGCAGTCAGAAGCGATCAGAAGTTTGACCCAGCTGTCACCTGCGAATCCGAGGCCACGCTCACATTCCTGACAGTCACGGTGCTTCCCGACTCGCTAGTGACACGGACGGTTACAGTATCTGTTCCGAATCCGCTCGGATTCTCGAAGAAGTTGTAATCCTGTCGCTTTGTTGATTTCCAAGTCGAACCACCATCCGTACTAACTTCTAGCTTGGAGACAGGCTCATTGGCGTTCACGACCTGCATAGAAAACCAGTAGGCCGAGGTTCCTGACTTGTTGTGTAGGACAAGCGGTGAAGAGATGGGGCAATCTACGAATGTGTAAGAGGTGGGTAGAAGGCCGGTTGACGAGGACGCAAAGACATTGAAGGCGTCCTCGAACAGATCAAGATGGCCCTCGTCACATTCAGGGCATTTGTCCACGATCTGAAGGAGTCGTTAGCATATTATTTGCAAGCGTTCATCAGTGGGTGCGGAGTAAACAAGGAGCAGGGTTAGGGACTTACCATTACTGTGATCGTCTTTCCGTTCGCAGTGACATCGAGACACGCACCACAATGCGCTGCAGAGTTCCAAGCTGATCCTGAAAATGCGGTGCCATATATTCCCGATGGCAGTGAGTAAGTGGTGAAAGAGCATGTCCCCCCGTTGAGATTGCCTCCGTAGAATGTCGATGTTCCCTTCACAGCGTTGCTCGATGCTACAACTGGCAATGCCGTCGACGCAGACACCGCAGATGACGCTGAGGAAGAAGAATAATTGGGCAAAGGCGATGCAGAAAATGACACCGAGGAAGAGACTGCGTCTGGTGTTGCAGTAGAAGCTACAGCGGCCGTTGTAATTGACGTCCCTGGACGTCTCGGACAGGCCATAGCAGCTGGCACAGCCAGCAAGGCGAGAATAGCACCAGTGCTTCTCATCTTGAAATGACAAAACAAGGAATTTGCCTTGGAGAAAGACTGAAAATGGATAGTACGATCCGAAGACGATCTATATCACAGCATACTAATGGGCGGAATGTATCGTTTTATACCAAGATGCAGTGGGCATCATCCAGGGGAGATCCATAGTAGTAAGCTCACCATTCCCTCCATCTTACCTAACATTTGACTTCACAATAATTCAAGGAGCTACAAACCTAGAGTCTGATAACATGACCCATGGGTTAAAGTCAACCCAAGTAGTTGTGAGCCTTCGACCGGGTTCCTGGGCTCCTGCAATTTACCTCAAACGGGATCCCCACTGACAGGGAGAGAACAGGGTTAGTTTCTACGTAGATTTATGATGAAGCATGGCAGGCGATCCGGCCCGAAGCTAGCGGGGCAACATGCCTGGGATACATATTGCAAATGCAATATATCAAAAACGTGTAATCACGGCATCCTATGTAGTATAGGTATATACGCTGCTAAGTGTATATCATCACATTACCCCGGCACCTAAAGATCTGCAGAGATCTCTGTGGCTGAAAACGATATCAGCGAGCGCTGATGCTTTAGCATACTGTCGCATAACTCTAGGTTAGGATAATATATGAACACATAACTTTCAGCATGCTGTGATAATTCCCGACTTATATGTATCAGTTGGACAACTTAGGCTCGCTTTAGGAGCTGGACAATGAAGATAAGTGATGTGGATATCATCCGATTCAACTAGGCTAGTAAATATAACTACTAAGTCTCAGGACGACACCCGCCAAACACATGACTTTCGCAACTTGACCACAATAAGAGGAAAAAGCGAGATGAGAATGTAATATAAGGGGCCAAGAATACCATTCAAGTTATGTCATATATCTGTGTATACCCAAAAATTCCTCGAGAGTCCTGTATCGTACTTATTTATGCCTTACCACTCGCTACAACACTTCGTCTCCTTCCTAGCTCATTCTCTCCCGGCGTCGTCGAGACACCATCTTGACCTTGGAATCCACGTCCCGCACCCGCAGCGCCAGTTTCCGCCCTCCGCTTGGCGAAATGCCATCTCATCAACAGATACGCAGCCACACTTCCTAATACAAGCAGAACGAGCACGACGATGATGGCTATCAGGCCCGTAGAATCGGCCTGTTTCGAGTCTTGGACGTCGTTGCCCATGTTTCGAATTGTTGAGTCTTTCGTTGCGGGGAACGTTGTCGGGAATAGTGACGGAGTGCGGGATAACCGGACAGGTAACAGGACAGGCACCTTGAGTATTGTGGCCTGTATTTTGTCTTCTTTGCCGAGCTCGGTTACGAAGCGTAAGTGAACATAAACGGTGTACCTTCTCCGAACCTGCAATGCATGTTCTATCTCGAGCCCCAGCTTATAAACAGGCTAGCTCTAGATCAGCGGCTCGCTTTTGTATGTATAATAGAGAAGCTGTAATAGGATCCCTTGTAAATCCCCCGTAACAGGGAATCGGACTAGGGCAGGGAAGAACCGTAGATTAACAACCACTTTAAACAGCAATTTGCTCTCAAGAAATTTTATACTAGGGTCTGTACATCATTGCCAGTGTCTTTGTCTGGTTGCCAGCCCAGTACTCTTTGTGATCTGACGTCCTTGTAATTTTCATGATGTGTCTTGGATTTTGGGACGCAATTGGCTATACAAGTTTGCGCCCAGACAAGGAGAGAGATTCAAGATCAAGATTCATGTACTTTGATTATCGTTTGAGTTCATTTATCTATTACTATATAGACTCATGTCAAATTCATCGCTTGTGATTAACACTTCTATGACGCGTTCCAGCCCTTGGGTCGCGTAAGTGTCCTACCAGTAACTAAAAAGTATCTACATGTCTCATATTAACATTACAGTGTATACGTTCGACAGGCGCTGAAGCAAGCCAAATGACAGGTAGCGGCTACAGCCAATCTGACCAGTCACGGATACTGTCGTATTATTTGGTTCTTAGCCAGAAAGAACTTGGATTATGATGCTGGGTTCGCCATGCGTCCCACCCCCTATGAGCGCTTTGGAAATCGTGGAATAAGCGTACCATTCCAGGCAGGATATGACTATAACAACAGATGTTAGTATGCATCTACCAGCCTTCGGAGCTTTAAAGAAGCTCATTAAAGCAGGGAAGCGAGTGATTATCACTTACTGTATGCCATTGGCCGTCATCGTAAGAGCTACTTGTGGTCCAAGTGAAGACTGGTGTTGAGGTAGTAAGAGACGGGGCCATTGTTACAAAGGTTGAACTGGTCGAAGTTGGGTAGGGCAGAGATGATGTGGACAGGGATGTCGTGGAGATTGTTGACGGAATATTGGATGTTGAAGCAGTGGTCATTGATGTCGTAGTGGTGTGGGATACGGAGGTTGTGGAAGCACTGCTTGATGTCGAAGTAGTTGATATTGACGTTGACGAAGTATGAGATGTGGGCGTTGTTGGTGTTGGAATCAACGTAGTTGTAATAACCTCGGTAGTTGGCTCAATGTCAATGATTGAGATAGTACGCGTAGATGGCTTGCCAGATACAGTCACCGTCTCTGTCTCTGTAACAGGAGGCGAGGACTCGATGATTGTTGTCGGTGCCGACGTAACGGTGACTGTCAGAGTCGTGTCTGCATCGCTCCCTTGCCCCCCACTTCCATCAATTGGAACCACCGAATACGTAGGGCGTGCAGCGAGAGCCTCGGCAGCTGGTGTTCTTTTCCAGAAGAAAGGCAGAGCTGATGACGGGCTACAAAGGGACGAGAGAGCCACGAGCAGGGAGAGGGGGAGGCCGTTGGGTCGCATCTTGCTTAGACAGCTCTGAGATGCTGAAGAGACTCGCTTCACTTGTTGGCTTGCGATGGTGCAGGTCTACCAAGACAGAATTACGAAGCTAGAGAAAAGATCTACAGGACAATGGAAGACAGAAGAGAGTTTGACCTACGATCGGGACATAGACGGTTTTATTGAGAGGCACATGGGAACGCGAATAATGAGAAGGTTGGGAGTCTTGATGATTCGCCCTTCTTGTCATGACCACAGTTGGTTGGGAGAGATGCTATGTGAGGGGTGGCTGGGAATGGAATCACTGGGGGGTTTTACAGGTAGGTAGGTCCTTGCAGAGAAACGGCGAGCGCTAATTGGTGGCACCGTTACCAGCCACCCACTATATCCCTATTCTTGGGCAGACCTAGGCAAACCTAGGCAGCGTTCGCGGGGCATGGTCCTCTGTACCTGCATTAGCGTCAGTCGTATCTACCTATTAAAGGTTAGCGCGTGTGGTGCTTCACAGGTAGCTCTGTCTTCCAGGTTGGACTTGTTTCCCTCGTCGTCAAGATGTTCATATCCTTCTCTGCTACAAAAATAAAATAAAATAAAATAAAATTTGTTCACAGCTTCAAAACACTCGAAAATAAATGGTTCTTCCACACTCAAGGGAGGATTGAGTTTGCAAGGGCCATGAAACGTGTAGACAGACAGACAGATATTAGAGTCCAACGCGAACTTGGGCATTTTCCGGTCGGTTCCCACGTGCAGGCGAAAGGTACGGTAGATCTCGAAAAGACCCCCGGCTCCCTGTCCCTTCTCAGTATGTAATTTATATCCCTGTAGAAATCATGGAAGGAGGTTATTTGCAGCTCACCAGTCAAGCGTATATATATTCTTATTACCTAAGCCAATATGACGGTTTTCGTGTTGGAATCTTTATGGCTTTGTTTATCTAGAGACGACTATAGCAGTTAGCCCTCAAAAAGTGGAAATGGCCAGTGTCTTCATGATCATTTCAATACCTCTTACACAGCTGTCAAAACAAAACTGAATATAGTTGCAGCCTAGTCAAGAAACCGCCGCAGTTACGAATAGGACATGATTAATCACAGACATGGCTTTCCCCTCCTCGATTGAGTAGTATTTATAGTAGGTAGTAGGTATCCGTCTAGTTGGTAGCTGGAGTGAATTCTCAACTGTGGCTGTATCACAGTGGGCCCTATCCTGCTAGGCACACTGATAGCCGGTTGCGGCTGTAGCGGTAAACTTCCAAGGTTCTACTGTAGGTAAGTACACGTCTTTAGCGATGGGAAAGATGGGGCCCCGGTGCTAGTCTACCTACCTAGTTTTTGTCGGTTCTTTGGAGGTCGAATGACGCAACCATTCGCTTTGGTGTGTGGCGCCACGACGAACCCCAGCTGATGGCGTGAGGCGGAGTAGTTCTAAGCCATCAGCCGTCCACTATCACTACCTAGGTAACATGGACCTGTGGTCTTTACTTAGGCATCATCTTTCTGTTAACTGCCTCCGATTCCGTCCCTAGAGTACGTAGAGCTCTTGCCACTCTTGTCTTTTACCTACCCATTGGAATTGTTATTTATATAGACGTGCCCCTAATATTCCTTCAGCTGCTGATTTCTATATCGCAAAGCAACCGCCCACTAAGACGACATCCGTCTCTTCGAACCACTGTTCTGTAATATCTAAACAACTCCATACGAGCATCTACATGTACAACCAGCAATATCCTCCCCCGGGTCAATACCCAGGTGGTCAGTATCCCGGGCAGTACCCGCCGCCTCAGGGTCAATATCCTCCACAGCAAGGCTATCCGCCACAAAACCACAGTCCTTATCTGCCTCAGGGCGGTCATTACCCACCACCGCCCAGCAGTTATGGCGGCGGCTACGGCGGCGGTCCGGTAGAACTTCCGGGAAGCAGTGGACATCCGCCTCCCCAGGGACAATATCCTCCCCATGGTGGCCACCAGTCCTATGGAGCACCGCCGCCACCACCACATCCGGGTTACGGCGCTCCGCCAGGCCCCCCTCCAAATCAGTACGGTGCTCCGCCGCCAGGGCCTCCTCATGGCCAGTACGGTGCTCCCCCGCCTCAGCAGTACGGTGGACACCAAGCTGCACCCCAATACGCAGCCCCGCCCGGGGGCGGCGGTCCTCCGACCCAGCCTAGCCCTGGCTATGGACCGCCACAGATCATTCAGTGGGATGCGAACCCTGACGCTCAGGCTTTAAGAAAGGCCATGAAAGGGTTCGGTACCGACGAGAAAGCTCTTATACAAGTTCTAGCCAATAAAGACCCACACCAGGTTGAAGCTATCAAGCAAGCTTATTCCCGGTCGTTCAATCGTAATCTCGAAAAGGACATCAAGTCAGAAACGAGCCGATACTTCGAGCTTGGGTTGGTTTCCATCGTACAAGGCCCGCTAGCTCACGATGTGCATCTCCTGCATTCAGCCATGGACGGCCCAGGTACGAAGGAGAAGGTCTTGAACGACGTTCTGCTCGGACGCAGCAATGCCGATATGAAGGCTATCAAAGGCATGTACCAGCACACGTTTAACTGTTCACTTGAAAGAGATGTCAAAGGCGATTTGAGTATGAAGACAGAGCGACATTTCATGATTGTACTAGGTGCTTGCAGAGCGGAAGATAGCGCACCCGTCATACCACAAGCGGTTGACCAAGATGTTATGGAGCTTTACCGAGCAACTGAGGGTAAAATGGGAACAGACGAGATGCTTGTCTGTTCGATCCTATCGACTCGGAACGACAACCAAATCCGTGCTATAAGCAGAAGCTACGAGGAAAAGTTCAGGCGCCCGCTTGAGACCGTCATCAAAAAGGTAAGTCCGCTTTTGCCTAGCATGTTACTCCAAGACACCCGGTTTACTGACACGGGGCTATCTATATAGGAATTCAGTGGACACATGAAGGACGCGTTATTGTTCCAACTACAGAATGCTGTAGACAAGTACATGCATGCGGCCACACTTCTTGAAGATGCCATGGCGGGCATGGGTACTAAAGATGAGCTGCTTGTGGCGAGGGTTGTCCGATATCATTGGGACCGTCGCACAATGGAAAATATCAAGGCGGCTTACAACCAGCGATACGGGAGAAGTCTGGCGAGCCGTATCCAGGGCGAAACAAGTGGGGATTACCAAAGACTCCTGGTTACCTGCGTTGGACCCTGAGTGCGTTTAAAAACGACTTTTAGTAGTAGTGATTTATACCCTTACCTGGCACCTCGGCATTTCCCTTCATAATATGGGGTTGTACATAGTTAGGGCTCGTTCGTCCTGATGAGATTTGACGACAGTAACGATGATGCAATGAGCGGGTCTAACAATAGATACCAATTCGTTTTTTTAATTCTCCATTGTGTTGCACAAGCAGTATCAATCGGTATGATGAGTGAATGAACGAGGCCATTTCCCGAAGAATATAGCTATCCGATGTGATACGGCTGCGGTGCGTACTCACGAGGCATAACAGCAACCTTGCCTAGGATGACTGCAGCTAGGCGGTGAGCGACCACCTATGTGAGCCAGTCGACGATCGATACTCAATCTGGGATACCTAGGTATGTACCTACAGTAGTACTTTGGGCAATTTTCATCAAAACAGACGGGTACTGTGATGGTATGGGCTCAATTGGTCTGTATTGTGGGTGAAGTTGTAGGAGTCTAAGTCTCGGGCTCTGCCAAGGGCCACTGTGGGAGACTGTATACCTGGGCTACGTACAGTGGGTCTAGTCTCACAGGTACTCACTGAACAGACACCGAATGGAAGGCCGATAAAGCAGGCTGGAGCAGGACTACTATGTACAACCGACTGTATGGAAGTCGACTATTATTGGCCTAGTTATCTACCCTGACTTGCTACCCTGAAGTATTCGCTGCGTTCCGTTGTACAATACCGGTATGTCCGTGCAGACCCGTGTGCCGAAGGAACCTTGTTCAGACCCTGTTCCATGGACAGAAACATGGACTCACAGACGGGGATCTAGTATAAAGTGCCTACTCCCAAAGTACCTATGCATGTCGCTACGTTCCGTCATTGTTGATGATACTTGGCAGCCTCTGCAGCCCATACATGAACGCAGAATGAGCGGTACAAGAGTGGTAGTTACTTGAGAGGCTTGCATCTGATCAAAGATCATCAAGCGTTAGCAGAAAACAAGGGCCGTCTGATTGGCCCATAGCTTGCATTTGATGGACCAACCGGTTCTAGACATAACGGTGGCCAAACGGACGGCGGGACAAGGTCTAACATGTAGGTACATGCAGATATTCTATTCTTTCTTGGTTCCGTCGTCTGCCTGTTGCGTCCTACTTACCTACACGAAGTGGAAAAAAAAAAACGTAGCTCTCCACAATTCGTTCCTCTTCCACCGATCAACTTACCTACCTTACCTACCTACTCTACCCTACTTTCGGTCTGGTTAATATTGATTGACCTAAACCTACCAGCCATATATTCCACCATAGAATCTACAAACTTGAGAATGGTTGTCTTTTGAATTCTTCGCGATCAAGCTCTGTATCTCTTGGGCTGTGTTTTAGAAAAATGGTTTTCTTGAAGCCTAGACCTTTCCTTGTTCCTACAGCTATCTTTTACTAGTCATCATTGCCTTACTCACGATGGATGTCGCACATCGCTGTTCAATCGCCCAAGCCGCCGCGGCCGGCGCCTGTCTTATACTCTATTTTATATGTATTATATTACCCAGGGCGCCACAATGGGCTCGACCTTTTGCTCAGGAAGCGCCACAATACCAGCGTCATCCCAAGTCGTGGACATCTTGGTCAATTTCATTGTTCGCATTATCTATACTTGGCCTCGTATCGTCTTCTCTATTAACAATATCCCCTTCGTTCAACTACTTTAAGCTGTTAGATACAGGGCCATGGGTTGCTGGGTTATTGATTACCCTGGTAGGCCGCCCTAAGAGGACGCCAAAGGCCTTATTAGCCCTCTATGTTTTTTCCTTGGTGTGTGGTCTTATCGCACTTGCTAGCACACTTGACGAAATTCACCAAATACATATACTACGAGTTGTGACTCTTGGTATAGAGCTAACAACCTTAGTTGTTATTTTGCTCATGCCTATGCGCGATCCTTCTCTCGAAAGTGCTGGCATTGCGGGAACTAGAGAACCCCCTACCTCGGAATTGAGAAGCCCTGAAGATAACTTGAGTCTTCTACAGTTTATGACCATCTCTTGGTTATCACCACTCATATCTCGTGGATACAATAATCAGCTCAACGATGAGGATGTGTGGTTTCTTCCTTACGAATTTCAACACAAGCAGCTGCACATCCTGTTCCGCGAACTTAAAGGCCCTGTGTGGCTTCGTCTCATGCTCGCGAATGGTCTTGACCTTTTTATCATCTCGGCTCTAGGGATTCTAGAGGCTACGGCAAACCTAGCAGCACCACTTCTATTACAAAGCCTGTTAATCTCCATAGAGAAAGGCCTTAAGTATCGAACAGAATCTATGTTTTGGGCATTTGTAATGTTAACCCTACGACTCATCAGCGCCCAATCAGGTGTGTTCTCTCTCTGGTTTGGCCGCCGAGCATACGAGAGATCTCGCGGAGAAATGATCACTATGGTCTACGCGAAAACCCTAGCGCGTAAATCTTATGGCCAACCATTGGAAAATGGAGAGCACGCACACGAGAACAGCAATGAAAATGGCAACAGTAGTGGGAATGGTGATATCGATGAGGAAACCCCCTTATTAGGTCGCCAGCTCAAACCAAGTCGCTTCAAGCGATTGTTTGGATTTTTCAAACGCCAAAAGGTTGACAAGCCGGAGAATACTAAGCGTCCTCCAGACCAACCAGCTACAATGGGTAAAATCCTTAATCTCATGAAGTCTGACGTCTATGAAGTAGCACAACGCTTTTGGGATTTTGCTGGACTCATCACTACCCCTCTTCAACTGGCCCTATCGCTTGTTTTCCTCTGGCACTTGCTTGGCTGGTCCTGTCTCCTTGGTTTGGCATGGTTCATTATCGTTCAGCTCTTGAACGCAAGCTGCATTCGACGCTTATATGTTAACGAAAAGCTTCGTCGTTCTGCATCTGATGTGAGAATAAATGCCACATCTCAGTTCATCGAAGCCATACGACCCCTGCGGTGGTACGATTGGCAGTATAAATGGCTTGATACTATCATGAAATCTCGTACAGCTGAGCTGCATCTACGGATTATAACGGGGCTATGGAATATAGCGATCAGTGCAACTAATCTATCTGGAAGCTCGCTCTTCCCGGTGTTTACTTTCTTTGCTTACACATATATCGAAAAAAAACCTTTGACTGTTGATATAGCCTTCCCGGCTCTTCAGCTGTTCTCGATGCTGGAAACTAGCTTGAGAGAGATACCGAATCTTGTTACTGTGCTTCTCAATGCATACGTCTCGTTGGGTCGTATCGAGGCGTTCATGGCGGAGCCAGACAAGGAAGAAGGTGACTACGATAATTCTTTGTCTGACATTGAATTTCAAGATGCAACCTTCGTGTGGCCGACTAATCAGAAAACGGTCTTGAAGAATCTTAACCTTCGATTTACCCCTGGACTTTCCATCATATGTGGAAGAGTAGGTGCAGGTAAAACTGCTCTGCTCCAAGCTAGTAAGTTGTATTTGGAGCTGTCTCTGTCCTCTAGTCTCGTCTAGGCCTTCAACAAACATATAATCCATATTCCTACCTACACAACGAGTCTTACTCACCAGTAGACTTAGAGCACTCCACCAATTGCGGCATAGCTAACTCTTAATTTCGTAGTTCTTGGCGAGCTAGATAGAGTTAACGGAGGTAGTATACTGCCAAACGAAATGGTCGGTTATTGTGCACAATCTCCATGGCTTCAGAACATGAGCATCAGGGACAATATCCTATTCAACTTCCCGTACGACCCCATTAGATATAAAAAGGTCGTAGATGCTTGCGCTCTTACACTTGATCTTGCTAGCTTCTCGCACGGAGACTTATCAAACATTGGGGAGAACGGCATCGGTCTGTCCGGCGGCCAGAAGGCACGAGTCGCCTTGGCTAGAGCTGTTTATAGCAATTCACGCATTCTATTACTCGACGACCCTCTCGCTGCACTAGATCATAACACGGCTGAGTCTATCGTCCGTAAGTTGTTTCAAGGGTCACTTATGGAAGGTCGCATCATACTCCTCGTCACACATCGGGTAGACCTCTGCGCCCATCTCGCCGATCAATTTGTTCAAATCGACAAAGGACATGCCCGAGTCCTCGAGGCAGACGAGATCTCCCAGGAGATCACTATGATTACTAGGGAACAAGAAGCGCTTGCTGATTCTCATAGTGGTGATGAAGTCCATGCGTTGACCGAAGAAGACGACGATGCTGCCCTACCAGATAAGTTCATCACAGACGAACATCGAGCGTCTGGTGGAGTTGTGGCAAGAATATATTGGATCTACATAAAGGCCGGAAAGCTGAGATGGTGGTTAGTAGCCATCGCTCTCTTCGCACTCTTCCGCCTCGCTCGTATATTCAACGCATGGTTTCTGAAAGCTTGGGGCGAGGGGTACTCGACTGTAGAAGAGTTGACCTTCACTACCTCAGGTCTTGGAGATGGAATATTCAACAATCTTCCAAGCCCGATCGCAAATGTTACGCCCTGGCTTATGGGTTATGCAGCGTTAGGCGTTGCTACGACCATCCTTTTCACCATCACGCAAGGCGTCTTACTCTTGATACTGTATCTGGCCGCCAAAGACTTGTTCGGAAGGGTACTGCATCGAGTCAGTAGTGCCACGTTTCGGTTTTATGATACCACACCCGTCGGGCGATTGATGAATAGGTTAACGTCCGACATAGGAATGTTGGATGGCGGAATGATTGCACCGTTGCAAGACGTCACGTTCTGGTCGATCAACTGGATCATTAGTATGGTCGTCATTGCATCTATAACACCTATGTTTTTCGTCTTCGCACTAGCCATGACATTGCTGTTCACATATATATTCAACCTTTTCATACCTACGTCTCAGAGTCTGCGGCGACTCGAGATGGTGTCGCTATCCCCTTTAATGTCCAATTTTGGAATACTATTGGAAGGCCTAGCAACAATCCGAGCCTTCAAGGCACAGGCCCATTTCCAGGCCAAAAATATTGCCATTACCGACGCTTTCCAGAAGATGGACCACTTCTATTGGAGTTTACAGGCATGGCTACAATACAGATTTGATGCAATCTCAGCGGTATCAACATTTAGTTTAGTACTACTATCGTTATATCAGGGTTTATCGCCCGGCCTAACAGCCTTCGTTCTTGCAACGGCATCACAATTCGTCGATGCTACGCACGGAATATGCAAAGCATACGGGAAACTACAGATGGACTTCGTGTCAGTGGAACGTGTCGTGGAGCTGCTTGATCTCGAGGAGGAACCGGTCGGTCATCTCAAACCTCCAGCAAGCTGGCCTTCGTACAGCGACGATATCGCCTTTGATCAAGTAACACTCAAATATGCTCCGCATCTTGACCCTTCTCTACAAGACGTCACATTTATCATTCCTGGCGGAGCAACTTGTGCTGTGTTAGGCCGCACAGGCTCTGGGAAGTCAACTCTTGCCCTCTCCCTCCTCGCAACGATGCACCCTGAGCGCGGCAGAATACGCGTCGGCAGCGTCGATATCTCCCAAGTAGATGTACACACGTGGCGCCAACGCATCAGCTTCGTCGCGCAAGACCCAGTATTATTTCCGGGTACATTGCGTGACAATCTCGATCCCCTCGATCTACATAGCGATGACGAATGTGAGGAGGCTCTACATCGAATTCTGGGGCCTGGATGGACTCTAGACTCGCGCGTAGAGGACGGCGGCAAGAACCTCAGCCAGGGGCAGCGACAGCTCGTTGGCATTGGCCGTGCGGTGCTTCGGCGGAGCCCCATCATCATCCTCGATGAAGCGACCGCATCCATTGACAAGGAGACCGCGCTCGCCATTCAGGATGTCCTCCGCGACGAGCTTGCACAGAGTACCGTAATCACTATCGCACATCGCCTAGAAGCCGTACGTGACGCGGACTACTTCATCAGGCTTGATGCGGGACGCGTAGTTGAGGCCGGTCCTGCTTCCCAGTCAGTGCCATAAATACGAGCGATGGGAAAAAAAGGAAATTTTGAAAGGAAACAAGGTGGGACAAAAGATTGCTTTTGAATAAAATAAACAGGGTATATATGAAAGAGATGATAGCGAAATGTCGCGGATTTGTCCGCTCTTTATCAGGTCAAACATTGAGCTAGTTAAAAGCAGTAGAGTGACTGATGGTGGAGATGATGGATGACGCCAATGGTCCTTCGCCTCTATTCATTAAGAACGAGTGTATCCTAGGACTGGTTGGTACCGGTTTTTGGTGAGTCTTAACTCTCCACGCCTATCACCGAGGGCTCACTCAAAGACAGTGAAAATTGCGGCCATGGCTACTTGGAGAGACTAGCCAGTGCGTGATAATGAAGAAGATTTTATGAATGTAACAATCTCGCCATATATGAAGATGATGCTTGTCAAACTTGCTTTGGCGAGGATACCCATCTAGACATCACTTGATGGACTTCAATAGCAGGGTCTTTAGTCCTGGCGACTTGGGAGACTCATGCGTAACGATGACAGCTTGGAGACAGTGTCTCCGGTCAAAGAGAAGCAAGCTCCGAGCGAAGATTACGCTTGCTGAGATAGAGAGTAAGCGGGTTACGCCGAATAACATATATACTACCAGAGGAATCAATCAGGCAGCGGGACCAGGATGTAACTCAGTGTGCACGGCTACCTAATTGGAGATCACCACCGTATTGTTGAGTCTATGTGCTTCTCAGTGCATATTGTATACTGACACGGAGAGATATGCGGGGGAACCCGCGAGAACCGCGACTCAAATTTCCACACAATATCTCCTACTCCTAACCTTAGGCGAATGTTATAATTTGAGCACTGTTTTTGCTGTGTTGTCTATGCTCTTACCTCCTTCATCCAGCATTTTGTCCTCCTCCTAAGACAGGTCTCGCACTACCTATTCTGACCCTAAAATACACTTTCTCATTGCCAATTCCGCAAAGGGACGCTGAAAATGAGGTTCGGTCGAGACTATCACCAACGCTTTGTGCCAGATTGGTCTGGGTTTTACGTTCGATATGATTTGATAAAATGCCAGTTGAAATCTACAACTCACGCGTTTGACAGTAAGTAATGATAACACTTGCGTCATGAGGGCATTCTAAACCTTTCGCCCCGCACTTACACGAGATTTGACTTCTGCTCAGGTTCGCTACAGCTACTCTCCGATGACATTGGTGCCTTCATTTCGTTTCACGTTGATCGAGTAACCGATCTTGCTTATCGGGAGGCTAGCCTTTGGACGTTATTCGACGAGTCTCAACAAACTGGAGTGTTCCACTCTTATGAGCGCAAATTTCTGGTCAGCGAGTTCAATAGCTTGGTTCAGGAGTTGCTCAAAATCCAATGGTTCGATCGGGTTAATCAAGAAGCCATTGACAGACTCTTCCAAAAGTTCCATCGCGTTGCATCACAGAGCGGGTCGAGTCATGATGCCTTTGCATCCCTTAGAACGCGGTGGACTCGGATAAAGCAGACCCAGCAGCTTAACTTGAGTGAAATCGAGAATCGACTGCAGAGCAACATTGCGCGTGAGAAGAAAAGACGGGATACAGATGAATGGACTGACTCATCACTGCCCACCGCAGTGCGGGGATTATCGGTGGATGGTCCCCTATTCCGAGATGCTCTGTACAAAGCTCTTAATGGAACCGAGCCAGATGCTTCAACAGATTTGTTGGCGCTATTGACTTCGTTATCTGAGGCTGACTTCCTCCAACTATCTCGCTCACTATTCGTCTTCTTCGTCATTCGGAGATCATGGCGAAACGCCATAACGCTAGTCGAGCACATCACATCACGAAAAAGTCTCACATTCGCCGAAAACCACATGCAGCTTCTAATTACCGTGCATTTTCAGGAAATGAATGATTCGGAGGCCGGTACAAGTGCTATCACAACCTCTAATCGCGATGACGTGAGAGGAGCATTCGCTCTAGATGTATTTGCCCGCATACTTCAATCCTTGGAACCAGCGAGTACCGAGGAATTCACCAAAGGAAAAGTTGATGAGCGAGTGCCTTTACTGCATTCTCTTGCTAAGCATGGCCTATTGGAGTGGTGCCGCCTTGCTCTGCAAAAAATACAGGAGGCGAAGGGGAAACTAGATGTCAAGGCCACGATCCTCTCCATGGATAGATTGAAGCTAACGCCCCTACATTACGCTCTTATACATCACAATTTTCGTGTTGTGGATTTGCTCGTTGACAAATTGGTGAATAACATAGACGAATGCAGAGCGCCAGATTGCCAAGCTATCCTTGGAAGTTGTCTCAGTCTGGCAGTGGTACTTGGAAAAAAGGACGTCGTTGCTCAGATATCACCTTTGACGAACCTTGACATCAGGTCTACGTATGGAATAAGTGCTCTCCATTTGGCTTCACGAGATGGGAATGTCGGCATAATCGCACATCTACTCCAAGCTGGGGCAAGTATCGACGTGAGCGAGCATCCAAGGGGGTGGACGCCTCTGTTCGAAGCGGCTGTGAACGGTTGCATGGAGGCTGTTCAATATCTTATTGAACATGACGCAAACGCGACATTGGTAGACTGCGTGGGCTGGACAGCAAAGGAGTTGGCGACGTACAGAGGCCACCTAGCCATCGCTGAGCTTCTGGATAGCGTTAACTCCATCAAACACTCTCGGAACATAATACATGCACCTCGCCCGACAATTAATCTTCTTAGTCACGGTGCTATAAACTCCGGGGATATCATCGTCAGCGTGAATCTAGGTCCAATGCAGGTGGGAAGGAACTCGCCAGCTGTTCAGCTGAGCTATTTCTCAAAAGACCCTACAGGGGCGACCGAGTCTTTATTCAACCTGAGGGTATCAGCAGCTGGCCAGACTCATCACATAAGGCTTCCGATTCTAGACGACAGGTCTAATGTCCCGCTCGTATTTGGGTTTCCACAAAACGCGGACCTGCACGTTGCGTTCAAGATCTTCCGAGATGACCCGGAGAAGGGTGAGGAAGGTATGCTTGTCTGCGGCGGCACAGCTGTCTTGGAGAGCAACAGATTGCTATTCGGGCCAACAAGGCAAAGTCTTGTTAGGGAACATACGGTGCCGGTCTTGGATAGTATGACGTTAGATATTACTGGGTCGATACTGTTCACTTATGTGATCGCAAAGCCGTTCCCTCATCTTCAGTCGCCAAAGTACAGCGTCACCGAGCTTAATGCTAGCGAGAGTTCAGTTACAATAATCGGTCACAGAGGTATGTTCAAGTAGTTGGATTAACCTGTTGCTTTCTGACTCGTTCGTTACAGGCCTGGGACAGAACGTTGATAGTCAGCAACATCTCCAGATCGGAGAGAATACAGTTGAGGTTTGTGTGCTTCAGAAAGCTTCATTGGTGGTAAGGACTAACGGCAAGACAGTCTTTTATAGCAGCGGCGAGTGCAGGGGCATCCTTTGTGGAAGTAGGTTGCAGACTCCAAGACGCGAGACCAAGTAGATTAAGCTAACACGTCCGTTCACATCTAGTTTGGTATTGCAATTAGCCCTCCATTGGGTCTTTCAACGATGATAGCTAATGGCGCCTTTAGATGTTCAAGTCACGAAAGACCTTAAGCCTGTTATTTACCACGATTTCTCTTTGAGCGAAACTGGCACCGATATTCCAATTCACGATACCACGGTAGACCAGTATAGATATACCAGTAGCATACAGGCATCCCAACCAGTCCCAGATATCAATACATCGGGTGATGGCGTTAACTCAGCTTCCGCTGAGACGCGGCCACGATCACGATCTCTAACTAGTGGCAACGACCCTGGCGTATTCTATATGCAAGACCGACTGAGACACACGGTCGACTTTAAGACGAAAGGGATGAAGTCGAACATTCGAGGGCGAGTTATCCAGCAGCCCCTAGCTACGTTGAAAGACTTATTCCACAAGCTTCCCAACGCAATTGGGTTCAACATTGAAATCAGTGAGTCTTGCTCCCCACGGTGAAGAGAGGGAACATATGGTTGGATACTAGCCGTAGCCTCAGAATATCCTAGGTTCCACGAGACGGTGGCCGCTCGCGTTGCCCCCATCGGGCCCGAGCTCAACCTCTTCGTGGACACGGTCCTAGAACAAGTACACCTCTACGGCGGCTCCCGGCGAATCATACTCTCTTCATTCACGCCGGAGATCTGCATGCTGCTTTCGGTGAAGCAGAAGGCATACCCGGTAATGTTTATCACAAACGCAGGCAAGCTGCCGATGATTGACGTCGAGAGACGGGCCGCAAGCATGCAGGTAGCGGTCCATTTTGCGAAGCTCTGGGACCTCGCAGGCATTGTCTTTGCTTCTGAGCCGCTGGTCCTCTGTCCGAGGCTGGTACGATATGTGAAGAGCTCTGGGCTGGTCTGCGCTTCGTATGGGCCGCAGAACAGTCTACCAGATGCTGTAATAGTAAGTCTAAATAACTCCCGACCCCTTGAAAACTGATTGTGCCAGTATCATGGCGTTAGATTCGTTTCCTATACCGAGAGGATAGCTAATTGATTGCATAGGCACAAGTACGGGCTGGGATAGATATATTGATCGTGGACAGAGTAGGATTGGTTGCGAAGACACTGAAAGAGTTAACTCCCTAGATTATAAGAGGCATACACCGTTTGAGGGTGGTAGTAGGCTTTGGGAGAGCCATGGGAGAGCCAAAGCGACGAGAAAAAGCCAGCGTTATCATAACGTGCAATGCAAGCAAAGCTAGGCTGCGGAATGCGAGACAGACTCCTCATGTTGCATGGCGATATCATTTGGATGAAAGCCCTTTGCTATTACAAACGAACATTTGACAAGCACAACTCCGGGCGCCGTCTCAGTTCTATGCAGGTAGATACTACGTATACCGTCACCGTCACCGCCACAAGACCACAAGACCACAATACCACAATACGTGTATGTGTATGTGTGTACCTAGGTTAGGTAGGGAGTCGGGAGTAATAAGGGAGGCCTGGAACAAATAATAGAAAGCGCTAGTGTAAGCGTAATATCAAATAAGTACTGTACTTGATTATAGTAGGTACAGAAGGTTTAAATACATGTACTAATGCAATACCTATCTAATTATTCAACCGGATATTAGCCCGGCAGCAGCATTAGGCGCTAAATAAAGGTTTGCAGCCCTTAAATAGCGCAACGGACTTGTAAATTTGATGTGCAACCAATTATTAACGCAAGAGCTACTTATATAAAAGAGTGGAGCTGCAGCTTTAGGTTACATTTTTTTATATAAATTGGGGCTGCCCCGTATTTAGTGTTTTAATTTACAGGTAATCACATTACCTACTCCATTACTACCTCTACGGTCTACCTACTTACATTAAATTAAGTACGGTATGTACTACATGTACTGGTACTAGCATGATACCCACGCCTAAAAATCACCCGGATATTTCGCCCAGATATTATATATCATCGCGTTTCAAAAGATACACGCATCTCACTTCTCACCTCAGAGGCATCGGGACGCTTGGTGTTGATTTCCTCAATCTGCCTGCGCGTGCTACTGCGTGCCTGCCTCACCACTCGAGGTAACTCTGGCGTTTTGCACTTGGTGCTACCACAAATAACAGCAGCTGTTATCTATATCTATATCATCCACGTCGATAAATCTAGGTGTTAGTGGTTGTTGCCCTTCTGCAGCATCCAAGGGCTTTCGTTGATGTCTAGCCCACGACATCGGTACTTTCTGCAAAGAACGGCATCTGAACTAGACCTTGCCTTACTTTGCTTCCTTCTCACCTTTTCACCTTCTCACTTGCTCGAGATTCTCGAAATTGAATGAGAAAGAACGAAGGCATGACTGAGAGAGATTGCAACTACCTATCCAGTAGATCACCACTAACTGCACACGCAACCTTGTTGAGACCATTGGTACATTCACCTCAGAGCCGTCAGGACACTGTAGCGGACTCATCTTTTCTTACAATGCCACATATCTATCTGCCTTAGGTACTCGTTAATCCGGCAAGCAAACTCCATAAGTGATCTCTTGGTTGCTGTGGATATCGAATGCTGATTCGTCTCCGCCCACACTCATTACTCTGCTATCACACACCACCCTCGTGAACCCCCTTATAACTGCTCTCACGTCAACAACCCTGTTCAAGCAAGACATTGATTGACCTGCGAGGCGAAAGCTTCAACCATGGAGGAGTCAATACCGGTAGCAATGGAAATACCAACAGCAATGGCACCGCATCCGCCATCGAAGGCGCTTAGCGGCTCACCAGCGTTGGCCAGGGAGACGTCGCAGACGCCGGGACGTGACACGGTACAGCCTCAACCCATAGAAAGCGCACCCAATGGAGTTCACGTCAACGGCATACACGTAGAAAATGAGGTCGAAACATCTTCTCCTACTACGACTCCCGTGCCACAGTCGGTACAACCTCCGTCACAATCTTCGGCACAGCCCTCACCACTGTCGACGCAACCGCCATCAGTACTAACTCATGTGTACCGGGTGCAAAACCAAGCAATTCCGGCACCACTCGTACCGCATGGCCAGCCCGCATCCTCATCGACTCCTCAGCCATATCAACAATACCAAGGGCCTCATTCTAGTTCGGCTCCTCCTCCAAGCATACCCTCGCCTTCACCATTTGGGCACTTCCACCGAGAGCCTCGAGACATGAATAAGTCTAAATCTCCGAGGAGATTTGCCTCGCCTCACTTTGATCACGATGCTCAAATCCCGAGATTCAATAGGGATGTATCTCTTGTAGCAGATGTCGTTCAGCAGGCATGCCCAGAGGCCGTTAGGAGAGTCATAAGAGATAAGTGGGAGAAGTGCGTTATGGGAAGCGAGTTCCACCACGCTTTCCTTGTGAGTATATTCACCCGGTCTTTCCTATACACGCCGCTGTTACTGGTGTCTATTTGTTTACGACAAGACTGATTCGCTCACTGACCCAACTGTAGATGAATGCAACTATGCACCATGCGAGCGGGGATATAATGCGTCGCGCCATCCGAGACTTCGGCCGGAATATGGTAGTAGGAGCCAAGGCGGAGATTGCTTCTCACCTGGGCCCCGAGGATCTAGACGACATTGCTCCTGTGATCCTTGAGAAATGCAGTGACAAGTTTCTCGACAAAGCTTTGGAACAGCGTTTGAAAACAATTGATGCGCGATCTTTGATCAATGCACTTGCACGTGCGGAGCGTCTTGGGTACGAAAATAGTGACATTTTAGAGGATCAGCCCGAGAGGGTGGTCCCTGCGGCTCGGCAGCCCCAATTTCCACAAACCGGCCCTGGCGGAACTGCAATAACATATCCAGCGCAGCCCGTATCACAACCTGTGCCTCCTAGCTCTGATCTCAAGTGTAGGATGTGCTGGAGGCAGTTTAATCTTACGAGAACTTATGAATACGTAAGTTCTGGTTACCATTCTGGTTAGCTCAAGCTAATCGATAGTAGCATGTTCAGAAGCAGCTGTGTGTAAAGGCTCGACAAGAACAATATAGTTTCTGGTGCGATACATGCGGTGCTGGTTTTACAACCAAAAATGGCAAGCAATATGTGAGTGGACCTTTGTATGCGATTTGTAATCAAAATGCTCATAGTATTTGGTAGCACGATGAAAAAGGAGTTTGTGGCTCTCATGATACCGCACCAGCAACCCCGAGGACTTTGGTGCCAACTCCCATAAATTACCCTAACCATATAGTGCCGCCAAGTTCTCACCCTTATCCGATGCCGTCACAGCCTACTAGTAGCCCTGTGGGAAACCCAAGTCCGTTATCAGATGACCCCTACGGACACCTTACGCAGGAGCGAAGAGCTCAATTAGAAGAAGAATTACGGCAGGCTGAAATAAGCTATATACCCAGGTTCGCGGAAGCGGAGGCAATTACTGACACGGAGGCGAAGAAAGCCAAGCTTGAGTCCCTGCATAATACTTTCAGCACTAAGCAGAGTATGATCAGGAAAAAGTATGGAGTTCGCCTGAGGGTGAGACGCACTCGACAGGAGATTGAAGCAGAGAGATTGCGTAGATTGGGTGTTAAGCATGGCCCCAGTTCGCCGGGCAGTGGAGCTGGGACGCCCTCTGCTAAACGGCAGAGAAGTGATAACGGACCCAATGGATCAGGCACGCCTTCGCACATAAGCCGTGGCCCTCCGGCCCCGGCTCCAAATCCTCAGCCTATAAATCATTTATCTATATCTCAGATGAACAATTCGGGTTTAGGTGGTTCTACGGCAACCGCAGCCACAACAGATCCGACTGCATCTATAGCACCCAGCCAACTGCCGCTGCCGCCTGCTCCTGCGAAAGAAGCATCCCCAGAAACTAGTCTGTCATCCTTGCAGCGAAAGGGCTACAGAGTTTCATCACATATTAGGCAATCGACTCAACCTGCTTCTCCCAGTCTGGCCGAGCGCAAGGGCTCGGCATCTATACCAGTCGTCGTAGACGTCTCTTCGGATTCAGATACGGATACGGATATGGACGAAATCCCTGCCACTATTCCGCCGAAAAAATCCTCATGAGGAGCCCACCAATTCTTTGGAGAGACGGCTTTATTCTCCTAGGGTTACTAATGTCGAAAACGACGAAGACCCTATCCGCAAGCTATCCATACCTAATCCCTCGACTCTATTCGATTCATTAATCCGTGGCCAATTATTCTAGTTGTATAATATCACAGTGGGATACTCAAAAGGACTTAAGGAGTGATGATCTTTAGGGAGCATGGACTGCCCTACTAAAAATTTCCATTTGGCGTCGGTTCAGATTACGGGTGCATCTTGCTCTTCAGAGAGCAGCCAATCATCAACATGTACTAACCAGGGAAGGGATGAAAAAGGTGACGACGATGGATATGATTAGCAGCTGAACTCGGAGTTTCGCACGATTGCATTTCTTACCTATGATCCCTGCTTTGAGGCTGCGATTTTCTCAATCTTCGCTTAAAAATGAGCTGACTCCCTAGGTAGACAGATATCTAGTTAGCTAGTCGCATATAGGTATTCAACAGCATGGGAGGCTCGTTGACGATGAAAAGATTCGACTCTCGAACAACTTGGGTGTTGCAGATTATTGCGTAGTGAAACTGCTTTTTTTTCTTCTTCTTTTCTTTACACTCTTGTCCCCTTCGTAATTAGCGTGATATTCTTACTAGCTATATATTAGCTGAAAAGCAGAGAAAAAACATGCCTCAGGTAAATGTCATTCGCATTGAGGTATCTTTCTACCACACAAAACAGCGTATAACATAGAATTACCATTCCACCAAGACCAAGTAGAAATCAACGTCTACAATACAAGTAGATAAATGTCTGCGTAGTCTCCCTATGCGCGAGCTCGTCTCTGCTCTTTCTTTCTTTCCTTCCTTATCTTCTGAGCGCACGCGCGTGTACACGAACACATAAATGCAAATCGTACAATCTTCACAAGGGGTATCCCTGTTCATCTCTGCATCCCCCTCTTTCGTTCTCGCTCTTGATGTGAAAAAAAAAAAAAAAAAAAAAAAAAAAAAAAAACCACAAAAAAAAAAAAAAAAAAAAAACAAAAAAAAAAAACAAAAAACAAAAAAAAAAACACCCCACAAAATAAATAAGTTAAAAAATTAAAAGGGGCCCACA